TTCAAACTGAAACGTTCTTCATTCTGTGGTGAACACTGTAAATGCGAATAAATGCTAGCCAGAACAAGCGAAAGTGTCGCCCACAAATACAAGTGCAACCCAGATTGATATATGAAATGCAACTCTATACAACCATGTGGCAATATAAATTTAGATAACGCATACAGAAACACACAGAATGAGCGAGAGAAACGGAGAGAGAATGAGATTGCAGCAAAGGCAGTCGCTTGCAAAATGAGATATTGTATCTGCAAGATAAAAAAGCACTTCAAGTTGATGTTGCTGCTGGTGCTGCTGCTGCCGCTGCTGCTGCTGTTGCACAGAGCCCCATTTCGTTTGAACTGCAAAATGTAAAATGCTGCAATTAGACGCCACAATCGTCTTCAAGTGCCATGGCTCGAGATACAGATACACAGCCACAGCAACAGCCACAAAACTTCAGTTAAAACAACAACAACAACAACATCTTCAGACGTGTGTGCTCTTGGCCATTTTGGCAATCAGACTTTACAGTCAACCCACACACAACACACACACACACAACACACAACGGGCATTAGCAACAAGCAATCATATTGCAGCAAGAGATTTCTGTTCGTCGCCGTTGCCGTTTTATTTTATTTTTTTTTTTGAGCCGTCTGTCTCGCAATTGTTCTGCTTTTGGCTTTTGGGGCCTGCTTGCCTCCGTCCCTGCACCACCACCTCCTCCTCCTCCTCTTCTTCGCTGAGAGACTGCAAAATGAAACTCGTTTTACACACACACACACACACTAGCACAGCTGGCAAACTCTTGTACATTATTTACCAACAACGCTGTCTGACGCCTGATTTTTTTTTTTTTGATTTTTTTGCATTTAGGCTGATTTTGGGCGTCAGTCGAGTTACATTTACTGTACGTTTGTATGTATGTATTTACTGAGGTGGGCAGACAAGAAAGATATATATGAGCACACACCCCTCAGAGACTCGGGGCTGCCTATCTCTGAGCAGCACTTGTCCGTGTGGGCAGACGAGGCTGGGCGTAGGATTGGCGCAGCAGACGCCAAATGCGCTTACAGTGCGAGCGGCTTCAAATCGGACCACCCGTTGCCCAAACTGCATGGGTTGATAAAGCCAACAACCAACAACTAGCAGCCAGCAACAACGACACCAACAATAGCAACAACAGTAATAGCAATAAGTGGCGCTTGTAGCTTATGCTTGTATGTGTGCTGTGTGTGTGTGTGTGTGTGAACTAAATTACAAATGAAACAGCGAAAAAAAAAGTGAAGAAGCAAGCAATTTTAATTGAGTTAATAATCTTAATGGATTTTCTGACTTAATTACCAGTTTGTGCGCTTCTATTGAGTTGCTATTGCTTTTGCTGTTGCTATTATTATTTTTGTTTTTACTATACAATTATTGCCTTAGCAGCGCACTGTTAATGTAGTGTTAAAAAATAATTTAAAAACCAAAAAAAAATCAAGATAAAACAGCTATCTTAGGCAACGCCGAATACCCTTCAAGAACGCACTCAGCTTACCGAATTCGGAATTTCGCAATAAATTTCAAAAATAGCCGCTTTGTTCTTATAATAAATGACTATAAAATATGTTTAGATATTGAAAGCATTATAACACGTATAACTTCTGAGTTTGGCTAGGTTAACATGGTAGTTAAAACAGTTTCTAACAGAAGAAGTCATTATTCGACAGATTTATTGTATATGCTAGCTATATTTGATATATAATAATGTGATCTAGTACTGCTGATCAAGTTTATATTATATATCACTCACTGCGTTACAAACTTAACGTCAAAATTATAATATCCTCTTTTCAATACGACTAAAAAGTGAATAGTAACATTAACGAAATAATGATATGTTTCAGGCTCAGCTGCATTTTCTGAAAAAATCAACTTTCTTTTCTTAAGGCACTTCTTTGAGCTGTATCTGTAGTAGATAGAATAAGGCACTTCTTTGAGCTGTTTACAGTATCTGTAGTAGATAGAAGGGCATATTATACATTTATTGAGTGATCTCTCATTTCATTTTTCACATCATTATTCCATTTATTCTGTTTAGTTAGTCACCGATGTGTCTGCTCTGTTTTAAATATTTTTATGGCTGCTCAATTGCAACAAAAATAATACTAGGTTTTTTTGTTATGTCTATTTAAATTTCTTTTTTTTTTGTTCTCGTCCGGCAACTGTCATGAAAAATGTAATAAATATACACAAAAAAAAAAAAAATGTATTTATATTGTTATGGAATTCTCGGCGGAGACAATGATGATGAGGTTGCTAATTTATGTAAATTGTACAGAATTTATTATGAACACAAGTTTAAACAAATGTCATGCGAATTGTGGCAAAAGATTCCAACAGCAACAACAACAGCAGCAAAAAACTAATTACAATCGAAATCAACAAAAATGTATAATTTTATTCCGTTATTATGAATGTGTGGGAAGAACTACTCGAGAGTTCCGAGGCCCCGTTGGCCGAGCTGAGTCATAACACAGACGCGTGAACTTTATTATCAGTATCAGCTAGCTTATATAGTCTGGAATCTAGATGCACCCAAAAAGTAAATATATATATAAATATATATGTAGCTGTTTTTTGTCGCCTGAGTGGCGCTGCCATTTATAAATATATAAATACGCCGGGTGCGATAAGGTTGAACGTAAAATCAAGAAAAGTGCTTAGAAAATATGTCTATTTTATTTATTTGATTAATCAAGCTGTTAATCATAATGCGTAAGAATGTCGTTAATTCCGCATCGCCTGTTTACAGCTTATCTGTCAACAGGCACTTCCCTCAAGTGCTTTCTGATAAAAGAAAAAAAAACAATGCCGACAACTCCGGCCTTTGAGCTCCGTTTTGTTTACGAATTCGCCGCGCCAAGCGATTGGTGACAAGCTGTCTGTTATGTTAATTGTTGTTATTTTCTCTTGTAGTTCCAAGTTCCACTAATCGTTGGAATGAAAACAATAACAAACCAAATATTAATTTGTATTGGACACGAAACGAAACGAAATGCAACGAAATCAAAGCAAAAACACAAATACAAACATATTCAAATCCACATGGGAAGCGGGGAAGAATGGGGCAAATACTTCGAGTGCCTTTTATCATTGTTTGGGCAAAATATGTAATAATAAATAACAGAAAAAAAGACACAAATCATGTAGATAAAAATAATATGCAAAATGAGCGGCGAAAACGAAGACAAAGCGTGGCGGGGAAGGGGAAGGGGAAGGGGGTTGGACCCGAGCATGAAGAAAGCGTTTTGTTACAGGCGTAAATTATACACACAACGAAACTCCCACAGGAAGTTCGATAGCAGGCAGCACAACAAACAATGCCCAGCAGCAGAGGCTGCATATACATATGAAACAAACAAAAAGTATAAAAAAAATGGTATGCATACATATATGCATTTATGTGTGTGTGTGTGGTGTGTGTGTATTTGCCATGCAAGCGAAAACCGTATATGACCCAATTAAGTGAACCCAAGCGCTTGTGTAATTATGAAAGCTGCTGTCTGTGTGTGTGTGTGTGTGTGTATGTGTGTGTGTGTGCATTGGAGCTGGAATTTGCAACGAAGCGAAAAGGTTGCCACTCTTGCCGAAGTTATTGTTGTTGCTGTTAATGCTACTGTTATAGTTGTTGTTTCTGTTAATGCTGTTGTTGTTGCTATTGCTGGTCATGCAGATTGCAGACAGCAGCGAGAGCGCCACAGATAACCGAGAAGAGCACGATGTTCGTGGCGAGTTTGGCAGACGTTCTCGAATACAAACACGCATATATATATATATATATATATATATATATACACACACATGTAAACACATAGGAAAAGAAATGCATTAAGCCGAATCGTCGTTGACCGCAAGCTTTTAGCCTGCAAACACAAAATCCAATTGGAACGGAAATCAAATGCCAAAGGCAGCTTAGCCAACAAAAACAAGAACAAAATATATATAAAACAACAAACAGCTTCCAAATGGCGACAATAATATTTTATTTTTAGTGTCAGCCAAGGGTTAAGAGCTTAAAAAGCCGCAATAAACACAAGCATTGCCATAAGTAAAGGGCAATAAAAACAAAGAAAACAAAATAGCAGCAGCAGCAGCAGCAACAACCCCTGAGATGCCCTTAATTATTTTAAAATGGAGTTTAAAGAACACACACACCCCACACACGCATACATACAATAGCTCTATATATATATATATATAATATATATATGTGAAAACCCCACCCAAAGCTTTGGCAAAAAAACCCAGTCATGCACAGGACGTACTAGAAAGCACTTGCGTGTCCTGAACGGAAACGTGTGGAAAAAGAGAGAGAGAGAGATAGAGAGGAAGACAGAGAGATAGTTGGGGAGGGCGGAGAGAGAGAGTGAGTGGGAAAGGGAGCGTGAGCGAGTTAAGGGAACACACCCCAGCAGCACTGCTGATGTTGTAAAATTGCATTAGCGCTGGCACACAGAGAGCGACAGAGAGAGAGAAAGAGAGTAAAAGGTGAGCAAGAGAAAGGAGTAGGGAAGGGGAGAGGGGCTCAAAATGCATGCAGACAGCTGTGTGAGCATAGAAGACGAAGAAGAAGAAGAAGCAAAGAAAAGTATACCAAAAAATTTAATGATTTCTCCAGGTGAGAGAAGAGGCACGACACATGGTGCAAGGACACGGACACACAGGGAAAACGATAGCGGAAATGCAACGGAAACTGAGTGAGACAAATGGGAAAAACAGGGCGCAGGACGACAACAAATAATGACGTTTCTGACAAAATACACAAAATGTGGCACGAATGACTCACACTTTTTGTTATGCCTTGGGTAGAATTAAATATTCCCTATGATAAAAAAGATATATTCAAGATAAAATAACATATTGAAAATATTTTACTGACAAAATATTATTATTATGGCAAAATCGGATCAGAAATATTTCAATGATTCAATGTTCTGATTGGCATCTGATATATAAAGTTAGTTTAATCTTACCTGAGGTGGAGCACCGGCATAGCATGCGTTCTCCATGTTGTCCGACAACAAATTGGGCTGCTGCTGCAGTTGCTCCTTGGTCTCCTCGAGCAGATGCTTCTCCTCGGTGGAGGACGAGAGCGGGGAGGGTGTCAAATCAACAATATCCGCCTGTTGCGGTTGCAAATCAAGTATTGTGGCAGTTGTAGCTGCTGGTCCTGCTGGTGAATCCTCGAGAGGACTGAAAATGGGCGCACTGGTGTCCATCAGCAGGCTCTGATCCAGATCGACGGCCGGCTGAGAGATGCCAGCATCGCTGGAGGTGTGCTCCAGATAGAAGGAGGCCTGCATGGGATCAACGAGATGCGACTGCTGCTGCTGTTGATGCAACTCCTCAATGGAGGGCGATTGCGAGATGAGCTCCTTCTCCTCCACGTTGAGCAACTCCTTCTCTTTGATCGATGACTCCTCGTTACCCATTTGCTGGGGCAGCTGCTGCACAGAGTTCAAGATGTCCGTTATGGACATGGCCTCTGTTTCATACTTGTCCTTGTTCTCCAGCTGCTGTTCCAGTTGCTGTGGCTCTGGCTCCGATTCCAAATCAACGCTCGTCTCGGGACCATGATCGATGCGCAACTCCTGCTCCAGCTCCAGCTCCTGCTGCACCTGCTCCAGGTGCTGCTCCTCCTGTTTTTCCTTCTGTCCATTCTGGAGCTGATCGGCTTCGCCGGGGAAGGTGTCATCCTCCAGTTCCAGTTCGTGAGGACGCTGTGCGGCCTCCGAATCGAATTCAACCTCGTCGGGCAATGGAATTGTGTCCATATTACAGTCGCGTGCGCCCTTGCGGGGGCTCTCCGCCACCAGATCATCGGTGAGCAGCTGACGGACCACCAGCGCCTGCAGTGGGTCAAGAGGAGCCGGCGACGATGGCTGTGAACCAAAGTTGGGCACAAATTCAACGGCATTCGGATTTAGTTGCGAATGCGGCTCCAATTCCAACTCAAGTTCCGGTTCCGATTGCTGTTGTCCAATTGGAGCTGCATTCTCTTTGTTGTTGTTGTCGTTGAACTGTTCTGGCTGCTGTTCGCTGAGGCTACTGGTGCCGTACGTGGTTGCCACCGAGCTAGCCTCCTCCTCCTCTTCCTCAACCCCCTCACCCTCCCCCTCCGGTTGCTGCTGCTGCTGCACTTGCTCCGGTTCCATATTGACAGCTGGCTCCACTTCACCCGTGGTTGTTGTTGTCGTATTCGAGTTGCTTGAAAAATCGCCATCATTTTTAATCACTTCAACGTCTTCTTCTTCCTCCCCATAGGCAGCTGCTTTGACGCTGCCAACGCTGCTGCCGACGCCGACGCCATTGCCCAGACTCAAGTCCATGCCAAGCGACATGTAAGCGTCGCTGCTGCCAACGTTGCCGTTGCCGTTGCCAACACCAATACCAACAAGACCAACACCATTGCCAAAGGTGGCGTCGACGTCGCCGTCAGAGTTGCTAAACTTTTCGCCGTAGAATTGTTGTTGGTGTTGCTTTTCGCTCTGCTGCACTTCTTTTATGTACTTCCATTCGCCGTCGTCATCGTGCTGCTCGCTACCATCGTGCTGCTCTCCACCATCCGACTTGGGCACCAGCAGTTCGGCGGCGACGTCGACGACAGCGTTGCCGGCGCTGCCAGCGATTTGCAGGCTCTCCGCGAGACGATTTTGCAAAAAGTTGTCAAAGTGTGCGTTATCCTCGTGTTCCATTTTGATGATGATGATGCTGGTGATGATGATCAATAATCAATTGCTTTTGCTGGGATAACTGCTTATGCAAAATATCCAGAAAAAAAGAGAATGTTGAATGTGATTCAGTTTTTGTGCTCGCTCTCTTTTTTGTGATTCACACGCCGTCGCTGCTTCTTTGGCTCTTCTTTCTTGCAAATTCTCCTTTTTGCTCTCGCGCCGCTAACGCTGACATACACATACACGCACACTGACACACACGCACGCACACACACGACGAAGAGCCGCCAATAACGAAATGCTTCTTCGACTTTTTTGCACTGTCCTGCTTCCAAAATGTGTTCACAATTTGACTGACTACGCCACACACATTAATTTTTTAAAATAAACAGTTCAGTGTGTAATGTGTTGCTTTTATTTATAAAATTGGCAATTTCAATTTCTTTGTGTTTTTGAAATGCACTTTGCCGACCGATTCTTGCGCACATACGACCTTCCAGGTTTAAAACAGATTTCACAATGTTGTGCTCGATTGTACAAGTCGATACCTTAGAGATGATAGTAATGTATCGACACCGTGGTGAGTTTAAGAGTTGAATTCGCAATGTGAAATGTGTGAAATTTATCGAGTTACTATTCGATTACAAAATAGGCACGCTGCCAACTTCACTCGAGTCAAAAATTCGTGGAAATTTGGTTTTAGTTTTAGGCGGTTTTTTTTTATGTGTTAGTTGTGTGTGTACTAAAAAATATATTCATGACAAAAGACACACTGCACACGTACATAGCTTAGAGTTTTATTAAATAACTTTGTAAAAGTAACAATAATACTATTATTCATAAAACTAAGGGCTCAAGAACCCAAACAATGCTTTGAATGCAGTTCACGCTTTAGCGCTTGATAATTTAACATTGTTGCCCTCAGCCAGGAATCCTTCATGTGAAACCGTTGAAACGCTTTGCTACTATTTAAATGCTTCGCATAATACTTGTCGTAAATCAATTTCACAATTGCATTGCGAGCAGTTATTGATGGCGAATTCATTTGTTTCCACTGCTCATCGCTGGATGTTAAATGCATGTTATCTGTGACAAAATCGCCATCATCCCACCAGGAAGGCAACCCTTCCACATTCTTCCACTCCTGCGAACGTTCTTCCTCTTTCTTTTCGAATTCGTACAACAACTCCATGTACTTGACGCGGGTCTGGCAACCTGATCCCGACGGCAAGCCCAGGGCTGCAGCAACATCCTCCCATTGGTCCACATTCAAGGCACCTCCTCTCGCTCTTACCAAGGCATAAAATCTATCGAACAGAAATGGTTAACTTTTGCAATTATTTTGGGTTTGGATTTACAAGTACTTGAACAACTTGATAGAACGCTCCTGTATTTTACATTCTTCCTTGAGAGCACTACGCCTCAGAAAATTCCTCTCCAGCTGCTGCGGTGTGCTCCAAAACCAAAGCGATGAATCTGCAGCTGGTATCAGTGATTCTGTCAGATGCTCCGGAATTCGTTCCGCACAGTTAGGCAGTGACTCCGACTTCGCCTCCGTCGAAGGTGGCACTTTTGTTTGCTCGGCTTGTTGTTGGCTTGTTATCGCCTGTTGCTTTGTTGTCGTTTTTCCACTCAGCGCTGCGTGCTTTTTGCTTATGTGCCGCATTAAATTGTGCAGCGATCCGGCCGCATAAGTGCAATGTGGACACGGCTGGTACTGCGACACCGGCACCTTGCCCTTGTCATGGTTGCGCTCATGGCGCTCCAGATTATATGCTCTGTTTGTGGTGTAGGTGCATCCCCGTCTACGGCACCGCAGGTGCTCTCGAGGATTGTGCATTTTGAACGTTTGTTTACAATTTTTGATATGACATATTTGTTTGGCTTGCCGTACATCGCTAAGTGAATTCCAAAAAATATCGATACATCGCCGTGACAAAATATTTGCGTTGGGCACAAAGCGATATTCCACATCTGCATCTTAAATAATTATATTTTATTTTCTCTCAGAGTAATACAAAAATCAGGTAGGTCACAACAATTATAAATGATTAAAGAAACGACGCCATCAAGTAATTCTCTTAACAAATACGGATAATTTTTTATGAATTCAACTTCTATCGAACCTTTTCGATAACTATTCGGCAAATGCAGGCAGTGAGAATTGATTAATTTAAATTACTCGACCACTTCACCGGCGTTAAAATTAACTGACCCGTGCCAACTCTTATAATTGTCAGACACCTGCGCTCAAAGTTCATCATAAAACGAGGAAACAGGTTGGTTTTGCGTGTAATTTCATTGTGCGTCGGAGCAAACTGATTTTGAGTAGTTCAAAGTTCTTACAGATAAGGAAACATTTTGTTATTAGCTAATTTGTTCGTCGTTTAAAATTGGTGACGCACCCAGTGACCTTGATCAAAGACCATGGCAACTGAACGGCAGCTGGACGTGATCATATTCGGAGCCAGTGGGTTCACCGGCAAATACACCGTCTACGAGGCGGTGTCCGTCCTCAAGGATCTCCGCTGGGGAATTGCTGGACGCAATCGTGAGAAATTGCAAAAGGTGCTCACGGAAATGGGCGGTAAGGCCAAGAAGGATCTGTCCCAAACGCCCATCATTATTGCCGATGTGAACGACGAGGCCTCGCTGCTGGATATGGCCAAATCCTGTCGCATTGTGGTCAACACCGCTGGCCCATATCGTTTCTATGGCGAGAAAGTGGTACGTGCCTGCATAGAGGCGGGCACCCATCACGTAGACGTTAGCGGTGAGCCGCAGTTCATGGAATCGATGCAGTTGAAGTACAATGAGCGGGCCAAGGAGCGCGGTGTCTATGTGGTCAGCGCATGTGGCTTCGATTCCATACCAACCGAAATGGGCATCGTTTTTGTGGAGAAGAATTTCGATGGTGTTGTCAATTCGGTGGAGACATTCCTTGTGAATGGCGCCAAGGATGTGGATGCGTCCAGTGGCAGTGCTGGCCTCAATACGGGCACCTGGGAGAGCGCTGTCCACAGCCTGGCGCATTCCGGCGAGCTGAGTGCCCTGCGCCGGCAGCTATATCCGGATCGAATGCCCAAATTCTATCCCATACTGAAGCAGCGACCGTTGATCTTCCGCTCCACGGAGGTGGACAAGGTGTGTCTGCCCTTTCCGGGTTCGGACCGTTCGGTGGCGATGCGTTCGCAGCGCTTTCTCTATGAGAACGACAAGAAGCGACCCATCCAGATGCACGCCTACATTGGATTCCCCTCATACATTATGGCCATTGTTGTTGCCCTGTTGGCGACCATCTTTGGTGTGATGACAAAGTTCGAGTTTACTCGCAATCTGCTGCTCAAGTATCCCAGTTTCTTTTCGGCTGGCTTTGTCTCGCGCAGCGGTCCCAGTGAGGCTCGCATGGAACGCACCTTTTTTAAGATGACCATGAAGGCGACCGGATGGCCCAACTCACAGCGTCTGGCCGAATGCACGGATCAGTACAAGGAACCACCAACAAAGACTCTAATGGTTAAGGTATCGGGTCCGAATCCCGGCTACGGTTCCACCTGTGTCGCCCTACTCTCCACGGCGGTGACCATTCTGCGCGAGAGCAGCAAAATGCCAAGCACTGGCGGTGTCTTGCCACCGGGCGCTGCCTTCTCCAAGACCAGCCTTATTAGCGAGCTGGAAAAGCATGAGCATGGCATGAAATTTGAAATATTGGCCAATAAGTGATTGTCTCCCAATTTTATTTTTTATTGCAATCTTTAAAGTGCATTATTTTATCGTCGCTTAGTCAGTAAAAAGCTTAATATCATTGTTACTAATAATTGTGGGAATTAAAAATAAAGGAACTAATGTACATGACAAATGGCAACCGGCATTAAAATAAATATTTGGTCATATTTAAATTAGCCAGTATCGTTTGGCATATACCGATAGTATCGATACCACAAGTGCGTCACAATGCGAGTAGATGGCAACTCTGCTGATGTCGCTGTTTTTGTTTACCTGCTCGCTTGCCTGGCCGTTGTCGTCTTATTACCATTTTGACCGTCAGCATAAAAACAATAATTAAATAATGAGCGCCAAAATCTCCGGCTTTCGACGCTTTCTCCACTGGGGCCCAATCACCGCACTGAGTAAGTGGAAACCAAAAATTGCAATATATATGTGTTAAGATAGAAAAAGAAGCATACGCCCTACACGAACGAAGTAGTCAAAATAATAATATCTGTGATTTATGTTTGCCTTATCAGTGGTAGTCTCCAATAAGACCTCGGACTAGTTGCTGCTTGCTTGATGACAGCTTGCAAATTAGCCCGTGCAAGCGTAGAGTGAACGAACCTGCGCCATAAAAGAGAACCAACAAAATGACCAATGGGAAAATGAAGCATGCTTGGCTTAGCTTAGTCAACTGCTTCTTTCCCTCTCTCTCTCCCTCGCTTCCACCCACACACAACTTGTGTTGTTTGTCTGCAGCGAAATATCGTGTTTCATATTTCGAGACGGTCAAACGGCCGTCGCCTGGCGCCATTGAACCCACATCAACATGCCCACCCCTTTGGGGTGTAAGGTTTGTAAGGTTCTCAAGGAGCAGTGTGGGCTTCACTTTAATACGCTTAAAATGCTGCGTTAATTGAGTTTCAGTTAGCTTTGGCTACTTGAAGGGATTTTTGGGTCCCTCTTCATGCCACAAAAAAATATATATGTATATATATATATATATATATATATATATGTGGCATGCACTGCGACCATTTAGCCAGAGAGAGCATCCGGTTCATGTTGATATTGAATTGCGATACAATTGTGAATGGCTTTATTACTTACTATGGTCAACGCCGCTTGTTGCTTGTGGCTTCTTGCAGAGGGTGCAGCGATGGTGCGATGGTTACGCCTCTGACCTAGGTGCGCTTAAAATACAATTGGCCACCCTTGCGTTAACGCTTAATCATAAAAAAAAGTAAACAATAATAAAATGTGTTCAATTTCAATGGCACGCAAAAACAACAACAAAAAAAACAGAACCCAAACTTCCAATTCCCCGCCTAAGTTGATATAATTACCAGAAATACGCAATTACAAATCTAGCACTGCGATAGCCAAACAAAAAAAAACAATAGAAAAAGAGGTAAATCGGGTAATAACTTAACCATGCGTAAGATTTTCAATTATATTTGATGTTTTGTTTTGTTCTGCGTGTGCTTTTCAGGCATCATTAAATGCATAACGCTGACAACGCTTTATATGAACTCGATGTGGTGGCCGCCAAATGAATCGTTTGCTGCCTTTGCACATCAGGCGCTGTTCCTGCTGCTCTCCACGTTGGCCACTTACAATTACATCATGGCCACGCTGACAGGTCCCGGCTTGCTGCCAAAACAATGGCAGCCAAAGGTAAGGAATAGCACCAGCCCCACACACCCAACTCCAACTCCAGCTCCAATTGCTACCCGCTCCATTAAACACACACACAAACACACACACACACACACACAGCACAAATAAAAAACAATAAAACATTTTGTCGTGACACGCTTTTGTCGCCGCTGCTGACATTGGCATGCATGGGAAATGTTTGTCAACTGGGGTCCGGCTGCTCGGCTCCCTTGTGGGTCACTCCACTAATACCCAGGGCGTGTCAGTAGCATGTGCATATACCACCATATATATATATATACATACATATACATATATATAAATATATATATGTGCATTCATTCAGCTTACAGCTTTTGATGTGGTCGTTAGTTGATTTTGAGCTCACTTTGCATTTTGGAATTAATGTGTTGGGCTGGAATAAAGCGGAAATCTTCAATTTAACTTTGGTTGGCAAATAATTAACTAAAGCTATATCATTAGTCAAATCCTAAAGGGCGTAGGGTTTTTATAAAGAATTTCCTAGATTTACATATTATATATGAAATATGCAGGCGCATTCAAAGTTCTGCAATCCTTCAATATTCCCACCTGCTTCATATATATTAGTAATCCTAAAGCACTTTGCAGTTGTTTACTCATTGTAAATGGGTTATGGAGCCTTTAGCTGAGGACACGCTTCTCGCCTCGCCTGCAAATCGTCAAATTTGTGCCTCGTCAGCATTGGATCGGAAACTAGGGTTTAGCACAACAAAATCCGTGGCTGCCACTTGATCGCATGTCCGGAGACAGGCACGGCACAATCTGTAAGGTGTTAGCTGTGAGCTGTGCGCAACACCTGCAATCGAGAGTGCCAAAACAAATGGGGTCAGCAAATGTTTGGGGGGCATCGCGTGCTTAATCCTTTATCGCGGCTCTGACGCGTAATGCAGCAATTAAACGCTGCAACAAACTTGACGATAAGCAACTAGGCTCAATGCACTAAAAAAAACCCAGGCTAGTTTTCATTTGGGACGGTTTCAGTTTTTCGACCCCACCCATTTCAAGGTGGGTTGAGAGGGTAGTGGGCGGTTCAGGCCAACCAACCTCCTACGTCGCCTGAAAATTTATGGGCACGCGAAGGGAAAACGCAGCCGTTGTGGAGACGTGGTCGGAGCCGTAGTCGTAGCCGTGCTGGTAATGCAATTACCTGAATTTGCATAAATGTTTTGCAGACGTGACTGAACGCATTGTGGCCGTTGTTGGGGTAGCTGGAGTGGTTGGGTCTCATTTAATGAGCTGCGCGTCGTTAAGTTTTCTCTTCTTCTTCTTCTCTCATAAATCATAAAAACTTTGATGTATGACGCATATTTAATAGAATTTAATTTGGCAGGAGTCCAAGGACATTGAGTTGCTGCAGTACTGCAAGGAGTGCGAGGGCTACAAGGCACCACGATCGCATCACTGTCGCAAATGTAAGCATATTGCACTGCATATACCCTGTAAATCTGAACACTCTATTTGCATACATATATTCACATTTATAGGCAATCGTTGTGTGAAGAAAATGGATCATCACTGCCCGTGGATCAATCATTGCGTCGGCTGGGCCAATCATGCCTACTTTAGCTACTTTCTGTTCTTCTCCATAATTGGCAGTCTGCATGGCTCGGTGGTGCTCAGTTGTTCCTTTTATCGTGGCATTTATCGCTACTATTATCTCACCCACAGCCTGGCGCATTTGGCCAGCGTTCAGTTCACAGTCAATAGCATTATCATGTGCATCCTGGGCATGGGTCTGGCCATTGGCGTTGTCATTGGTCTCAGCATGCTGCTCTACATACAGCTAAAGACAATTATCACAAATCAGACGGGCATTGAGATCTGGATTGTGGAGAAGGCCCTTTATCGCCGCTATAGATCCGCAACTAATGAGCCATTCATTTATCCATATGATCTCGGCTGGCGGCTCAATTTGCGCCAGGTCTTCAATGAGGAGTGCCAAAAACGCGGCGATGGCATCGAATGGCCCGTTGTCGACGGTTGCGATCAGTATACGCTGACCGTGAGTACCAATGACCTGCTGCTTCTCTTTCTAATCCATCAATTTTAATTGACAGCGCGAGCAGCTGGCACAGAAGGATGAGAAGCGTGCAAGGACACGTGTCTACAAGTGCATTAGCAATGTGACGGGTCGCTGGCTGCCAATCTTCTCGCAGGGCTGGCGCGTCTGCGTGAGTGCACCCTGCACGGATGAGCCGAGGATTCGGTTACAGCCAGACGACATCATCAGGGTGACACGCTTCCGCCGACACTGGCTCTTTGGTGAGCGTGTGCCCAGCGAACGGGAGCAGAAGCACCGACTGCGCAAGGGTGCCATGCGTGGCTGGTTTCCACGTCGCAGTGCCGTTCCATTAACCGAAGTGCCCGATTCGGAGAGCAGTGATGATGTTAAGAACAGCAAGTCTTCAACAAACAATGGACATAGTCATGGCAAGCAGCAGCGCAATGGACACAGCAAAAAGTACATGTAGACGCCCCATGTAGCCCTGTGTATTGGGCTGGGAGCATGCCATGGTTATTTCAATTCAACTATGTATACTATGCGATCAATTCCAGATCGGCTTGTGAATAATGATAACGATTACTCCAATGCCGCCGGCCTTCTTCTCGTTATATATTGTTAGCTGAGAGCCAATAAATAAAACTTGAAGCCTCCATCGATTGAGTATAATAATAGATTGACTTTTCATTCATTTAGCTAAAAACTCTGTGCCCAATGAGAAATGGGTATATCGGCTTAGTCCGTCTGAGAAATTGCGACTGCAACTAGCTAACCATAAATTAAACTAACTAATCACAAAGAATGCGATATTTTTATTTGGGGGAGCTGCACAGCGACCTATTTGATCGATTGTGCCCCCTTCTGAGCTTATAGCTCTTCCATCAGCCCCAACTCCCGTACGAACGTGAGGATCTTTGTTGGGTTGAGGTATTCTATGTCTTTGTAATTCAAGACATGCGCCCCTAGGATCCTGCTTCTTCTTCTAGCTAAGGCGACACATTCTGCCAGGATGTGCATCGAGGATTCCTCCTCTCTTTCACAAATGAAATGTGGAGAGTATAAAGAATAATATGTATATAGTTTATAGGTTTAATACGTATGTTGCGTACATGCAATTATATTCCATATACATGTCAATTTATATGTATTTATTCACATAAGTTTAACAACTTATTTGGATGCCATTGTTTGCTCAATTTCTTCCACAGTGCGCGGCACAATTGCAAAATTTTCCGCACCGGTCTTCGTAATCAGGACATCATCCTCGATGCGCACGCCGCCAAAGCTGCGGAAACGTTCCAGCATCTCCACATTAATATATTTACGTATTTGGATATTGGCGAGCGCCTTATCCAACAGTTGCTTTATGAAATAACAGCCCGGCTCAATGGTCACATACATGCCTGCCTTGAGGATGCGAGCGAAGCGCAGCTTGCTCAGCCACGGCTCAGTGGGACGCGCCGGTTCCGTGACCAAATAGCCACCCACATCGTGCACATCGAGACCAATCAAATGGCCCAAACCGTGCGGCTGAAACACTCCTGAGACGCCAGCATCGAGCATTTCATCCACATCACCGTTTAGCAAGCCACCAGCCATGAGACGCTCAAGGAGCACCTTGCCCGCCAGCTTGTGCATATCCACCCAGGAGACACCGTCACGTGCCGTCTCCATGACGGCATTGCGTGCAGCGAGCACCGCATTGTAAATGAATTTCTGGTCCTCGGTGAATTTGCCATTTGCCGGGAAACTGCAGGTGATGTCAGCAGCGTAGCCACAATAATTGGCGCCCATATCGAAGAGGCACATCTCACCATCTTGGATGGGTCGATTGTTGGGAGCACCAGCGTGCCCGTAATGCAAGATAGCAGAATTGGTGCCACTGCCGCAGATGCAGGTGTAAGAGGCGTGCCGGCAACCGCCCACAGCATAGGCATGATGCAGAAAAACGGACTCACCCTCGTACTCCATGCGACCGGGTCGAATGAACTGCATCACCTTGATGTGCGCATCCGAGGATACCTTGGCCACATAGCGCAACACCTCAATCTCCTCCGCGGACTTAATGACGCGACATTCCGAAATTATGGGATAGAGCAGATCACAATTCGTCACATATTTCTCTTTGCCCGCAAACTCGGGCGGTTGCATGGTGAGGCCGCTATCGCTATTTGTGCCACTCAGCGTCAATATGAGCTGGGGTGACGCCTTCTCCAGATACGTTTCGAGTTCATCGACATAATAGACCTCGTCCACTCCGTACATGGCCTTGAACTCATCGGGCTTTAGCAATGAACCCATCCACGTCTCATACTCATCGGGCAGACGGGGTACAAATAGAACGGCACTTGGCTTTCCCGTCTTCGTATCAATGTTGAGAATGCCAAGGCAGCCGGGTTCTTTGGCGCCAAACATATACTGAAAGTAGGACTCCTGGCGGAAAACATAGTCCACATCAGTGTTGTAGTAGCTCAGTTCTTTGCCACCCTCCAGCAGGATGAGCAATTGGCCAGTGCCTAACTTGAGGCCCTCTTGCGATTTGGCTACTATCGCTTTGCAGACTTTGTCCCGATTGTTTTTAAACAATGTCATCGGCACTTCGTGACAGGATCCCATTCGAAAGCAAGCCATTTTTTCCACACGTTACGATTATCAAAGTCGGAGAGCAACTGGTGTTTTTTTTTTTGCCCTGATTAGCTCGACGATATCTACTTGAACCACTTGAGTACTGCAATAAATAAGCTGTTATTATCGGTTGTTGCTGCTGCTGATTTCTTTGTTGTGTGTAATAATCCCCTCGGCAGTCAGATTGTGTGTGCACTGTTGAATTGTAAAGAGATTGCACTATCAAATTAGTTTTGTTTTTGTTTGATTTCGCTTTGTTTAATTCGCCTGTTAACTTAACATTTTGCTAAATGTTATCAACAGCAGCCATACAACTCTCGAATAAAAGTTGTTGTTTTCTTTTTCCAAAGACTCTTAGGAATATTTTTAGAAAGTGTTTAGTCTAGCAAGTTAATTTAACCGATTTGTAAGTGTAGCGAAATATTTTTTAATATGTGAAAGCTTTAAATTTAACCGCTGTTAACATATAACATAGGCGTAACGTACAGAGCGATATTCTTAACAGCGTATATCGATATTACAGAAAGAGATAGCGAAATGCCACGAGCTGAGCCTAATTTCAAATCTACATCAAATACCATTGTCACGTCTGCTAAAAATAACTACTTTATAAAAACAATCAATCAAAGAATGTTGTGAAAATTTAGGGGATTCGAACATGTGCTTTTTATGCCAAACACACTATATTTCGTATTAAAAAGTATATCAATATCAAAAGCAAAATCACTTAAATCAGTTCAGTAAGTCAACTAGCTCACGTTCACGCTTTGGTATATTTTGCACATCACTATCGATCGAAGTTGGTCACACTGCAAGCTTCCATCTAAGTACATTTTTTTTTTGCGGATTCTATTTTCATAATTTAGAATAACGCGTTTTATTGGAGAGAAATAGAGCGTTTTGGTGCGTTGCTGTGAAACATTGAAATTCACAGCAGTGCAACTCTATATTTAGGCACTTGAAGCACAATTGCTCTTCGCAAATAGTCCTACATCTGCGTCACAAGTTTCCATGTCGGCGTCACAACGCGGATGCGGCATGAGCAAACAAATTAATATCAACGCTCTCAAGCAAAATTAAACCACGCAAGTCGACTGAGTAAATAGGGATACCGATCCCCAATGCACAGTAGTAGATCGACGAAAGATTGCTGCCATGTCTAGTTCGGTGTTCAACGAGACGCCCAGCATACGACCAAATGGCGCTGATGGAGACTCCAACCTGGTCGTGGTTTACACCAAAAATGGCATCTCATTTGACGAGCGTGCCATTGGTAATATCATCGGTAAGCAAGTCCATCTCCAGGCCTATATCGTTTACGTATATACAACATTATCATTTTAGAGGAAAAATCAATTGCGAGTATTAGCGTTGTGCGGCTGACGTCGCCAACGCCAAGCATGGTCGATCAGGAGGAAACCGAACGTCTGGAGGAGCTGGAGCGTTTCTTAGAAGCGGGCACAGATCGTGAAGATTCGGATGCGGATAGGGATACGGATAACGACAGTCTGAGCGGCGGCGATGAGCTGATCAGCGAAAAAGATCATGTTACCGGCGATGATAACGACAACACCGGTTGCGAAAACAATGACGACTCCACAGAAACCGAAGCGGAGGCGCCCAAGTTAAAAAAGCGACCCGGCCGCAAACCGAAACCGCCCAAGAAGCAGAAGAAACGTCGTAAACCAAAGGAACGCCCACAAATTGTTGGCCTAAGCGTTGAACAGTTCTACGCGGAAAACTCGGCCGATCTGGTGGTGAAAAATGCACTCAGTATGTAGTTATGCAATCGAAATAGACGTGAAACTAATGCATATTGTTTTGCAGAACTCGCTGGTCTCTCCCTATACAAGCGCACGCCGGAAACCGATGCTATCATGGAGGTCATCCGAAATGATCATAACTACACGCCCTTCACCTCGCCGGAACAAATGAAAGCGCAGAAGGCGGCCGAAAAATTGGCCATGGAAAGGCAAACGGCGCAAGGACGCAAATTTATTGTGCAGACCACGGCGAAGAAACGGTTCCAGGTGGTGGCCCTGGGCCAGGCGCAATCTCCACTCAGACAACTACAGCAGTTGCCCCGACAACAGCAGCAATCGTCCAGGCAACCACAGCAGTTGAGTAAGCAGCCAACGCAGCTAACCAGGCAACAGTTACCCAAGCAGCTGCAGCAACCCCAGCCAACAGCATCCAAACAGCAACAGCTTATGGGGACGGGGCCACGATCCGCTCGCAGCATTGTTAATGTGATTAGCAGCGCGGAGGACTTTCTCGATGATGATGAGGAGGCCAACAGTTCGGCGACGGCTGACGAGGAAAATGCCGACACTGAGGAGCTGAGCGAACCAAGTGATGCATCCCGTGAAACAGACAATGATCGGGACAGCGACATAGATTTTAAAATGAACAACAGCCGCAACTCAAACAAACGCAAACGCATCAAGAAGCTCACACGCCGATCCCACACACAGTCCGCCCGTAGCCAAGTGGTGCAGACACAAAAGGCGCCGGTGCAACCGGCCGCGACTCCGCCAGCATTTCCGCATTTAAAACGCCGCAAGGAGCCAACGCAAGATGCTAGCTTGGCTCCACCAGCAATCGGTCAGATTGTTCAATTCAACAATACGAAAGCGCCCGCAACGGTTATTGCCTTGGGTCGTGGCATACAAAGTACATCATTTCTGAAAATGCGTCCCACACACAAATCACTGCCCATATCCGCCGCTGGCTCATCAGCGCCCGAGGCAATCCGAATGAGTGCTTCCGCCGTTCTTGCCGCCAAGATGCGGCGAACACCAATTGTGCAAGTGGCTCGTACGGGGACGGCACCACCATTCGTTGCGCCACCGCAGGATATCAAAGAGATTATCATCAACAAAAATATGTCGAGTCCGAAGGGAGTGTTTACGAATCTAAACAGTCTCCTGGCCGAGAATAACAACACAACAATGCTGACAGCGTCACCGGACAGCAGCAACAAGCAGACGATTCAACTCAATTCACCCAGCACTCCCAAGTCCAGTCTGAATGCAGTGTCAACAACAGCGGCATCAAGCAGCAAGGGTTTCACACCGATTGGTGTAGAGACGACTTCCAAGCTGCCTGCCCAGATTGTTATCGAGACGCATCAGAGCTCCTCGGAGCTGGCAGCCGAAAATGATAAACAACTTGATCTCATTGACTCCATCGTACTGGATGAGCTGTTGAAGGCGTCGTTGGTCGAGCAACCGCCAGACGCTGCCGATGAGAATACTATACCCAAACTGGTTCAAATGCTCGAAAGCAGTGTCGCTTGCCTGGATAAGGTGGCCAAGCCAAATGTGGATGTTGTCAGCGAATCACAACAACAGAATTTCGATGCACAGGCAGCTGTGGACAGCATTGACGAGGATAAAATCACAGCCGATTTTCTGCAACATGTGGTCGGCCTTATCGAGGAGGACAAACAGTTTGAGGCCGAGGTGGTCAAACAGGTCCTGGCCAGCACGGAGACGGGCGGTCTGGATGCCATTGCTAGCGTTGTGGCGCCCCAAATCTTCGATGCTGCCAACCAGCTGCCAACGATCTCACAGGTAAGCTGTATACATATATTTAATGATGTCCAGTTTAATAGTCTCAACTCTATTTCCAGCCGTTGACGAATGAATTTCCCGCCAATGTTTTAACAAGTTCTTTGGCAAATTTGCCCATAGCCAGCAGCACTCCCGCCCGCACCACAACAACAACGATATCATTGGCCTCACGCCCGGACACGAAAGTTGTGCGCAATGGCCGTGTCATTTACCTGCCACCCATCGAGGCGCCCACAACACGAGCCAAGCGACGCGCTCAGAACTTCCCCGCAACGGCGTCGGATGTGAGCAACTCTTCGTTTGGCGAACCGACGCTAGATGTCAGTCAATTGATCAGCAGCAGCTTGGACAGTGACATCTTTTCATCTCAAGTTGGTGGGCTGATCCGGAAACAGTTGCCCAAGGGGGAGTCTGGCGGCAGTGTAAGGCGGCCCAAGAGATCAGATAAGCAGAGTATGGGCAACGATGCCAATGATCCCGACGCCTCAGAATCTCAAGAGGACGACGATGATCCCAATAAGTAAGAATTGTCTTAAATCCTTAAGAAGGATTCTATTACTTGAGCATTGGTCACTTTTTAGGCTGTGGTGCATTTGCCGTCAACCGCACAATAATCGTTTCATGATATGCTGTGATCTATGCGAGGATTGGTATCACGGCACCTGTGTCAGTGTCACAAAGGCCATGGGCCTGGAAATGGAACAAAAGGGCATTGACTGGAAGTGTCCCAAGTGCGTTAAAAAGCAGGAGGAAAAGGTAACCAGTAAAAATTGCACAAGGAATAGCTTTGCAATCAATATTTTGCCATTGTATATGGTCTTTTTAGGATAGTCATACAAAAGTTGGTTTTATATACAGATATATTGATCCATTTTGCTCATATCCACAATTTTATAAAACTACATACGTATTTTTATTTGCACAGAGCCAGCCACGCATCACGGACATGCTGTTGCCCCAAACAATTACGGACTCAGTGGAGTGTGTGACGACGTTACCTAAGCAACCAAACGACACGAAAGTAACAGTGGAACTTCAGGAGCTGACGCCCAGGAGACAACCGGGTGTTGCAGTAACTGTGGCATCGTTACCCACAACCACAACTAATTCGCTCACAAAGCAACAACAAAAACGACCGCTGATCACAAAGCCACAGCCGAAAATGCATCAGCAGCAGTTGCACTTTATCAAATTGGGTTCCAGCAGCAGCAGCAGCGTCGCATCCGTGTCAGATGCAAACGTCTGCATCGTCTGCAAGCGTGCAGCGCGCATCAATTCGGTTTATTGCAGCGACGATTGTATTCGCAAGTATGCCCAGAACGCCATCCAGGCGCAGACGGTGAGCAAATCACCTGAACCCCAGCAGCTGGCAGCAGCAGCAACGCAGGCGCCGCTCGCCAATGCGCTCGATGCGAAGAAGAACAAAAAGAAGGATCTGTTTGAGGATGTGTTGCGACAGGCGGACTCCGTGTCTAAGGTGGAGCGGGTATGTCAATTGAGGATTATCAAAAAAATAATGCTCGCTGCTAATGCTCGTATTTTCTACGTAGATCAATGTCTTTGAGCGGCGTAGCGGTCGTGCTATTACGGGTCACTTGGCACCCAGTGCTCAGCAGCTGAAGAAATGGCTGCAGGACAATCCCAGCTTTGAGGTAGTCCAGCCAGGCAGTCTGCAGGCACTGGAAATCGAGGTATATATTAGTTTCCAACTAGCGAAAGCGACTGTTAACCAATCATTTGGTTAACTCTCGTTGCCCTTTATTGTGCTTAATTTCGCTTATCTTATCTTTATCTTACCGCAAATATCAAAGTGATAAAAGAATATATCTCATTTATGCAGGCATAATTACTAAGATTACATCAGATCGAAGAGGTTTTTGTCTTACATTTTATTAATGTATAATTATTTGCGCAATCCCTTACAGAAACGTCAAGGCAAGCGCCAACCGGAACTGGCCTCGCCAGAGGCAACACCCGTCAAATCTCCCTTGCCATTTGTAGTACAAAAACCACCCGAAACACAGAGATCAATTCAGCTGCTGCCAACCCTGCCGAACACAGTCAAAAAGGAGAAGGTCGTCGCCAAGACACCGATTACTCAAAGGCGCACACTCACCAAGAGCAGCACGGAACGGTCTGGGAGCAAATCTCAGCCGGAGCCCATACGTTTGAATATACGACGCACGCTCAAAGAGCAGTTGCTGGCGCGCATTAAGGAGGCCCAGGATGCGGATCTGGCAGCGGACCAGTCTCAGTGGCTGACGGCGTCGGAGGTGGAGAACTTTGTGAAGAGAGTGGAGTCGGAAATGTATCATTCGTTTGGACGGGATGTGGGTGCAAAGTACAAGTCCAAATATCGCTCCCTCATATTTAACATCAGGGATCGCAAGAATAAGACACTCTTCGAGAAGATATGTGCCAAACAAGTGGAGCCCAAGCAGCTGGTGAGAATGACGCCGTCTGAGCTCGCCAGCCAAGAGCTGGCCAAGTGGCGCGAGGAGGAAAATCGCCATCAGTTGGACATCATCAAAAAGTCCGAGCTAGACTTGTTGGCATGCGCACAAAACTATGTGGTGAAGACGCACAAGGGCGAGGAGGTAATCGAGGCAAAGTTGGATGTAACGTTGCCCGAGGAGGAGTTAGAACCGGAGTCAAATAAAGAATTGCTGCTTGACAGCTTCGACAGCAAATCAGCATCCCAGTGTACAGCTGACACTTCGACCGCCACAGACACTTCCAGCAAAGAGATTGATCTAGAGCGTTCTCATGGCAAGGAGAAAACTACGAAATTGCGGGATAAGGGGCACAGTCGGGAGCGTGACAGAGACAAGGAGAAGGAACGTGATAAACGGCACAAAAGCCGCAAGCATCATTATCAAAGCGGCAGCAAAAGAAGCCGCAGTCGGTCAAGCAGTGAAGGCCACAGTCAACGCGGCCACAAGCGGCATCATCACGATCACGATGCCGATAAGGTAGAGAAGGCGGAGAAGGAGCCACCGGCACGTGAGAAACAACTGAGCAAGGAACGTTCCGAAAAAGTGCAATCCCCCCTGCAAAATAAACCAGCTGCAGAAAAGAAGGTCGAGCAGCCTTTGACCTTCAGTTTGGTCGATCAAATACTAGAGTCGGAGAAAACGGTCGAACAGGCCGCCAATCTCAGACAGCCCGCGAAGCCAACGCTAAAACCATTGCCCACAAAGCCAGTGGCCAAATCAGAAGTGCGTGCTCCTGTTTCGGATAAATACGTTCGCTATTTGCAGAGCATTTCCAGCCCGGCCCTCTGGACTGGCAATTTGAATATGGTGGATGTGACCGATTTTGATGTGATCATACATCCCGTATATGGCAACACAGGCCAATTGGGTAAACTGATGCCAGCCAATCTGGATGTTATTGGTCGCATAACGCGTGTTAATGTCTGGGATTATATTAAGAAGATCCGAAAGAGTCCCACCAAAGAGATTATAATTGTCAATTTGTTTCCTGCTAGCGTCTCGCAGACAGTCAAATTCGACAGCTTCTTCGAATATCTGGATACTCGCCAGCGACTTGGTGTCTTGGGCGCCGACTCGGAGGAGATTCGAGATTTTTATATATTCCCATTGGGTACCCACGACAAGTTGCCCACGGTGCTGCAAACGTTGGATAGTGTACCATTTTACGAGGATACGCAACGACCAAATACGCTGCTGGGCATCATTGTGCGCCATCTGACCAATCGTTTGGTTAACCTCAGCCAGTCACTGCCCTCATCTGTGGCCGCTGCCAGCAATAAGACTGCCAAGGTTGGATTTGCATTCAACTAAAACACTCGAAAATATATTATTGATCCATTTTATTTTGTAGATGTTAAGCAAAACACGTGTTAGGACTACGTTCACGCCGCCGTGCAGTCCGAAGCGCAAGCCTAGCACGCACTCGACCAGCTCCAAGGATGATGAGTTTGATATTGACGCCATCATCAAGGCGCCCATTGCCAAGCTGCAAAGAAGTGAGTACTATGAAGATTATCATATATAATTAATTGTTTTAATAAATTGTGTTTTACAGCAAATGTTTCAATAGAACCGAGGACTAGCTTAGATGATCAAAATGCGCCCTATTCGCCAGGCGGCAGTTCTGACGACAGTGATGTCTTGTCTGCACTGCCTCCAGCTAATAAGGATGAACTTGAGCGTAAAGTGGATGAAATTAATAAGCAAATCGCTGCACAACGCATGGAAATTGCCGGTCTGCTAAATATGGAACCATCGGTAAGTGTCATCAGCAGCAAAACACTTATTTTTAAATTGGTTTAAATTTACTTGCTCCGCTCCACAGTCTCTGGACAAGCCCACGTCATCATCTAATGTGCTAGCCGGCATATCAATTCCACCCAATCTGACAAAGATTTTAGCAAGCTTAAAGGAGCAGAGCGAATCGAATAAGGCAGCTTCCAGCGATAATGAGTACAATCCGAAAAATGCAATAACCCTAAATAGTTCATACGCTATGTGTAAGTGTGAACTGTGAAATATTCAATGAGTCGAACACAATTGTTAATTGTTATATTGATTTTGATTCCAGCAAATCAAAATGCAGACGGTGTGACAAAGACTAAAAGTCGCTTGGCGCAGCTAAGTGAAGCTGAGCTTCTTAGTATGGTGCCGGATAATCTGGTGGATATACCGTCGACGCCATCACCATCTATCAGACACAGTGAGCCTCCACCGCCCGGTGTGTAGACAATGGCTCAGTACGATTATAATATAATCACATTAATAATGATAATAATAATAATGTAGAATTAACGTATGTACGTGACTAGCTTTCATCTACGTAATATTATTTTTTGAATGGAATTCAATGTTTAATTTTCCTTTAATTTTGCGCAATGAATAGATGCGCTTCGTTATGATGTACATTCACGTTCAACGAATTGAATACCATTTCTGTATTATATCCAGCAATCGGAACAATTGTAAAGATTTCATCGTTTGGATACAGTTTGTTAATCGTTTTATTTAGCACGCAAATTCGAAAATTGAAGACTTCTCTTAAAGCATACCAACTACTAACCTTCTTATTTCTTGTACATTTTTTTCTTAAACACAAATAAAAACAGCTACGTAACATTTCTAATAGGGATACCATATAATCCATACTTGTATTTATTGAATCTCTCTCACTTAGTTGACTTCGCAAGGATCAAACTGGCTATCAAAATGGGCGCACGATATCTTGGGCCCATTGTGAACGCGTGGAATTGCAATGCGAAACAGAATCCCATTCGGCATGCACACACAAATCTTGTACTGTACGCTTCCAGTGCGCAGACCCAGCTCCGAGCTGACAATGGGTATACGATCCATGTCGAGGAAAACTCCTTTGCCTGCCTCTAATACAGTGGCGCCTTGTGTTGAATTAATCGAGACATGATGCTCCACCTGCAACTCTATGGTAGCTCCATCGAAAAATACACCCTCTGATCCCCTGATAGCCATGTGACCGTCGCTCTGCAGAATCAAGGGGGCGCCAATTGGGCTAGTTATGCGGCTCGAACTGGCCACCTTGGTCTGTAGCATACCATCCACTCCGGCGGGTATTGTGTATTGCGGTCGGTGCGTTGAAAAAACAGTTGAATGATCGTTCGGATCTTTCACTTCAAACAGATTGGCTTGGATGGTGATACCATCCTTGTTAAGCACAACCCGATCGCGTTCATTGGTGGTGGCGGCACCACTGACACCACTATTACTGTTGCGGAAGATACGAAAATGTACACCACTGTCGCCGCCATCGCTGCTAATCGATACGGGCACATCGGAGAAGCCATGGATTCCAATAAAATTCGTTTGGATGCGATCCAAATCGGTTTCATCGTAAAATTTAATTAGATCCACTTCAGGTATCAGCTCCATGCCCTGCAGTCCCTTGCCCAAACGGAGCACACCCATAATTGTCAGCGTCAGAATTAAATTGCCAATAGTCAACAATAAGAGAATTGTGACAGCAGTCCAAAATGCAAAACTACTGCGACCTTTGCGGACAGGCTGCAAATGGGAGCAGCTATCATCATCGTATCCGCAATTTAGTTTCTCGTCGAAGAAATTCACAGTGTCCGTCTTCGAATCGATGCGACCCAGGTTCAGATCGCCGGCTCCGATGGGCAGTGTTGCGGACAAAGCCGTTTCCGAGTTCGCCTCGTCCGAGTACGAGGGCGAGGGACCCCTTACAAAAGTATTTTCGAAAATGTCCACCATTTAAATCGAGAAGTTTGCTGGATTGTCTCTTGCAAAATTGTCTGCTGTGTGTATGCTGTACGGGCTTTGTATATATAAATCCGATTTGAGGACATGCGCATTGAACAAATGAAAAGCAATTGGCGCGAAATCAAAAAACCAATTAACCACAGCTCACATTATTCTTACACGTTGCTTTTCAGGATTTTAGTTGCATGTTATAATTCTCTAGCTGGAGATTTTACAAAATTGCACTACAAAATGATTTTATTTAAACAAATGTCGTTAATTTTAGTTAATTACCCCACACTCTCAAATCGAACTCAATATTTTTAATTTCTGGTCACACTTGCTCGATAAATCGATAATTAACTTTCATCAGATATGCGCGACTACTTTAATTACGATAAATACATAACGCGCTTGAATAAAAATAACTAATCAATTAGTATGTGTATATAACTGAGCAGATATATTTTTCCTTACTTGCATTTTCTATTGCAGCAGCTATACAACTTGCTACTTAAAAATACTTAACTTAGAGCTGCATTCGCAGTAACCGATTGGCTGATCTAAGTACAAAACGATAGAATAAACTAGATGGACTAGAATCAGGGAGTTGGTTCGTTCATTCGGTTCAGAATGTGGCTCGATTGAACTTATTCAGAACGGTTCGATACAACTCCAATCACTTTTTATTTAATTTTCGCAGGATGAGCTTTAAGGTGAGATTACAGATTTTTTCCCGTAAACTATATTTAATAACTTTACTTGAATGCAATGCACAGCCAATCGAACTTAAGCGTGACGAAATTCGACGCTATTTGGAGCGCGGAAGCGTTCTTGATGCGCTTACGAAAGTCTTCGTACGCGTAATCAAAGAGCGTCCCGAAAATCCAATGGAGTACATACGGAATAATATTGGCGTGGTGCGGCATCAGCACGATAAGTACGAACGCCTGGCGCAGGACCTTCAGGAGGCAAACGAAGAAATTAAACGTTTGCGCGCCATCATAAATGTCATTAATCCAGATGTGCTGCAGCCTACCGGCGAATCAGACGATTCCGAGCCAGTGACAGTTGCAGAGCAACTGGAAACTTCGGTCACTTCTGCAAGTACACAGGAGACTAATCAGAATTTGGCTGCAGCTAACGGTGTTGATAATACACCAGTTGATGCCAAATTGACCGTAATGCTCGACAATTGTCGCATTGAGGAAAACAATATGGCCGCCGAGCCGAATATCGATAATACAAATAAGCAAAGCTCTTCCGTCCAAGCTGAGCCCAGCAGCACTGACACCGAGTGAATTACGGCTTTAATTCTTTAAGCTTCCACATTAAACATCCCATTAAAATGCATTCTCATAGAAATGTTACCAGTACGTAAGAAACTAGAAAATATTATGTATTTTCTTAAATGTTAATAAAAGCGTGTGGCACGAAGGCACGCAATTTCCTTATGCGAGAGAGCGTTTCGTTCAATTCAAGGCGAAATGTACATTTTCCACATTATTGGGTCTTTCATATATATTTATTGAAATCAGTTTTATAATCCATACACGTGGTATATCATCATTTGTTTATTAATACAAAGGATTATTGATAATACATATTAATAATAGTAATTTAATTTGTTTCTTTTTTTTAAACACATCTTAAGAATGATAGGGGATGATTAAATAAAAAAGTTGTACATGTAAGCGTGGATCGAAATTTAACAGCTGATCATAATTGGCAAATGATGAAAACGGAATTGGGATGAAATAATAAACGTGGGAACATCGCTATCAAATAGTTTTGGGTGCAATGTGGACGAACATAAACTGATTTTTATTTCGAAGGTCAAAACTTAGTACTTTTACTTTTTCTTGGCAAGCGTTTACTCTTATTTTGTTTGTTATTTTCTTCCATTTCTCAATATTAAAATTTTGAAGGCCAACTTGAGTGTTTACAAGGCCCAAGAACATTATTTTTCTGGTTTCTTTCCAACGGACTGACGACTGTTGCAGTCGCCTTTGCTCGCACGTAGATCTATGCCAAATAAATGTTGCTGCTTTTACTTGTAATAACATTTTAGTCTCGCTTTAAAATTGGACAAAACATACTTATATGTACACGCATATTGGGTGTGTGTGATTGTGGTTGTGTGTGCTTTTCTTTTTGGGTGTCGCTAAACGACAATGGTAGATAGAGTTTGTGTGTGTGGGGAGTAGGAGGAGGACAGGGTGTAGGATTTATGTTTATCAAAATAAATGATTTTATGCCTGGTGGTTTGAATGCATGCGAAGGTTGTTTTTGTATTTGATTTTGTTTTTTTTTTTTTTGTAATTGAAGCAAATCTCTTTATTTCTTAAAAGGTCATTAGTTGTCGTTTATTTTAGAGCTTTCGGTTTGTTTTCCTCTGGGCTCCAATTGTGGTTCTATCTTTTGTTAAAGTAGATTTGCCCCTGCTAACGATAGAAATGCAGATAAGAATTTGATATGGAAAAAAGTTATTACGTTATTCGCTAACTTACGTTGTTGAATCATTTTAAATCGTATTAGTTGTTGGCCTTTTCGCTTTGTAAGAAAAATTTGTCTGTGTATGTGTGTGGTGTATGTGTGTATATGTGTGTGTGGGAAGTTTATTGGTGACATTACTTTTTACGCTTGTCAGCCGGTTTCAAAATCTGGAATGAGCACATTAGTGTCTCATCCACAGACATCATTGCGCCAGCGTTGTCAAATTCGCCGCAGTAATTTGGAGCCGAGAAGAGCGTGACCAGCTGACGCTTGGCAAAGAACTCATAGCCATCCTCAACGACCTGATGGGCGCGGCAAATGAGATCGAACTCGTGCTTCTCCAAAAATTTGGCGACAACCTCGGCGCCAAATGTGAAACTGACGCCACGATCATTTTCGCCCCAGCCCATGGTGTCCTTGTCCGGATCGGACCACAGCAAATCGCACAACAGGCCCTGATCAGGGACATCGGTGGGTCGCATAATGCGACGTATTTGCTCCATCGACGAGAGGTCGGGACTGAGTCCACCATGGCAACAGAATATCTTCTCATCCACAATGGCTGCCACTGGCAAACAGTTGAAGCAGTCGGTGAATGTCTTCCACAATTTGATGGTATAGCGACGCTTGCATTCATCATAAAATCCGTAGATGCGATTTATGCTGGCACACTCGTGATTGCCGCGCAGTAAAAAGAAGTTCTCCGAGTATTTGATCTTGTAGGCGAGCAGCAAACAGATGGTCTCCAGTGACTGTTTGCCACGATCGACGTAGTCGCCCAAGAACAGGTAATTTGATTCGGGCGGAAAGCCGCCGTACTCAAACAGACGTAGTAGATCGTAATATTGGCCATGTATGTCGCCGCAAATCTTTAACGGTGCCTCCAGCTCCAACAGTATGGGCTGCGAGAGAAATATCTCTCGCGACTTCAGACAGAGGCCACGAATTTCGCTCTCAGAGAGCTGAACATTTTTGCCTGGCCGTGCCCCACGCACTTCCAGAAGTCGTGATATGATGCTGTCGATATTCATAACATCGCCCATGTTTCTGTAATTTGTATTGTTTCGCTTAGCAGTAACTGTGCTATAATTTTTCACCGAAGAATGGCAAGTAGCTCCGATGTATATTTTTTCACTATAAATATTTTTCACAGCACAGCTACTACCAGAAAATTTCTCCAGTGTGCCCACATTTCACAGAAAAAAACAGGAGGAAATGAAATAGGCAGTTAGTCACACTCTTCACACAAAATACATCTCACTTGCACTCACACAATCGCCCTGTTACCCGCCATTTGCGTCGTTTGGCCTGCTATTGTTGGAGTAAGCAGGTGAACACTAGTGTACTTTTTATCGCCCTGCCACCTTGATTTAAAAATTTTAGATGGCAAAGTTGGGTCACTTAACAGCATGTTAATATACCATTAGAGCATAACAGCAATATTACATTAAGAAAGAACGCAAATAAATATTTAAAAAAATACAGTTATAAACTATATTTATCCTGGCTAATATAATGGGTGTTTGGAAATTAATTATTTAAAGTTGGGATTCCGGAAAAAATATATATATTCTTTTCCTACAATGGTCACACAGAAACTCAAATGCTTACATAGTCTTTACTCTATTTGAATAGATGTTTCCGTCTCAGTTAATTAAGTTCAATTGAATTAAATTTGTACAAGATGTTGTTGCTTGATATAATGTCAAAAAAGATATGTAACGAAGTATATATAATTGCGGAAATTGGTCAAAATCATCAGGGATGCCCCGAAACGGCTAAACGGATGATACTGGAAGCGAAGAAAGCTGGATGCCACTGTGTGAAATTTCAAAAATCCGATTTGGCTGCAAAGTTTACAAGTTCCGCCCTAAATCGAAAATACGTCAGTGATCACGCCTGGGGCAGCACATACGGGCAGCATAAGGAATATTTAGAATTTTCCAAGGAGGTGTACCATCTACTGCAGGACTATAGCCGTGAAATTGGAATCGATTTCACTGCATCCGCTATGGATGAGGTAATTGAAAATATTCCTGACTACGACAACATGTCCGTCAATGTTTTTATTTTTAGCGTTCTCTGGAGTTTCTGGCAGATTTACGAGTTCCGTTTATTAAAATTGGCTCAGGCGATGCCAACAATTTTCCACTTCTGACAAAAGCTGCTAGCCTGCAAATACCTTTGGTTATATCAACCGGAATGCAAACCATGTCCACAGTCGATAAGATCGTTGAAATTATGAGCGAGTCACGAAATGAAATGTATGCCCTAATGCACTGCATCTCGGCATATCCGACACCGCCAACTGATTGTAATTTAGGTTTGATATCAGTGCTTATGCGACGATTTCCTAATGTGACCATTGGGTACTCTGGCCATGAACTGGGTGTGTCCATTACAAAGGCAGCAGTTTTGATGGGCGCCCGGATCGTTGAGCGACATTTTACCTTGGATAAGAACCAGAAGGGATCAGATCATCGCTGCTCTCTTGAGCCAGCCGAAATGTGTTCTCTTGTACGCGGTATAGATCAATTTAGGCATAACAAATATCTTCTCAACGCCAATTATACTGTTGAGGAAATAATTAAGATGCTGGGCGGCGGAGATGAGTTGAGAGCAGCGCTGAGCGAAGTTGAAAATAAGGATATTTTAGAGTGTGAGCTGCCCTGTCGCTTCAAATTGGGTAAATCAATTGTGGCTGCTCGCGATCTGGATAAGGGCCACAAAATTCAAGTCTCCGATTTAACAATTAAGGTCAGTGAGCCGTCGGGTATATCGGCTGAAACATATTTTGATATAATTGGCATGCAATTGACGCGAAGTGTTAATCAAGATGAGCCCATAATTGAGAATGTGCTGACGTCATAAGCCAGCGTAGTTTATTTTTGTTAATAATAAAATGTATGAAAGTCTTATTGCATTTTTTACTCGGCTGCATCGTCGCTGCCTCCATCTTCATTCTCATTTTCAATCATCTCAATGTCTTCCTCGATATCGCCCTCCTTTTTGTCGGTCGGTTTCTCATAGACGGGTGTTAGCGGCGACACAACGACTCCATTCCAAACCGACATCTCACGCACAATGCTGGTGTTCCCTTCTAATCCTAGGATGTGCTTGTATCCACCATGTGCCAGAACTCGAAGCAGCGTCTGAGATGTGTAACAGCAAATATCCTGCTGCTCCAGCGTCATCGCTGTGTGGACACGAATGTGACCCGGTTCGGTTGGATCGGTTATACCCGCTGATCCGGGTAGGAAAAGTCCAGCCGACAGCAGTTGGAACACACGACGAAACGCCAAATTGATGGGCAATGCTTGGCGTGATGGATTGTTCATAATTGCCAGATGGGCAATCAGATCCAGCATCCAGGAGGAGAGTGGTGAGAAGGCATCAAACCGCTTGGTCAGATCCTTCAAAATACGTATGAGGACTTTAATTGACGAATGATGAGCATTCTCCTCGAACCAGCGAGTATGCCGGATGGCCGCTAAATGGCTCTGCATATACTTCTGATCCATATGTATTTCTGGCTCCAGTTTACGCAAATTCTGTGGCAAGGTGGCAATCAGAATGCGCACCTTGGCTTGCAAATTGGATACATCGAAGCCTCTGTCATGTATTTGTATTGTGTGCTGTTCCCCCTTGGTCAACACTTCGGTTTTCATGCTAGTTTTCAGATCGGCCTCCACCTTCTTGGCCAGTGCCTCGCAAGCTTCTTTGGTGGGAAAAGTTTTAAGAATGACAACCACATCGGCCACATTGTTGCCAGTGAGAATGGTGCCCTTCTTGAAAGATCCCACCTGGCGCACCTCTTCCAATTGCTGCAATAATTATAGTTAATATTTAAAGTGTCTGTTATTTGAGTTACTTACGCAGGTATTGAAATCGCCCGGAGCAACGACCAAGTTATCCAATACAACTTGCACCTTGGTAACCAAATTGCCAATTGAAGTCTGTTCGGCAGGAGTAGGACTAAGGTCTTGGTTGCGTTTTAATAGAGCCTGTTGGAAAGCAATATGAATATGGAAAATCAATGCAAATGTTCATTGTTGTATATGATTTTCTTTTTATCGATTTTACCGCAGTCAACGCAGAATCATCCACAGCCGGCGAAACCTTTGGAAAAACAACTTCCGCCAAAGTTAAATCGAATGGATGCCGCGGGACAAACGTCTTCTTGAACGGTGGCCGAATGCCACCACGCATGGGCCTGCCGCCTCTTAGTGCTCCGCGCACCATACTTTTATTAAAGTGAATAATTTTGGCAATTTTGATCTTCAGTCAACCACCAAGTTGCCCACAATTCGACTTCAATGTTTAACTAGTTTACACGGTTGCATTGTCAATAAGTCGATAGTTTCCGTGCTGGGCTGCTAATCGGAAATATCGAGATATGAATTTCGACGTTTAATAGATAAGCCAATATCTACTATTTAATTCACATAGAGCCACATCTGAATAGAAAAAAATGTGGTGGTTTCGTTAAAATATCGCTCTCATGCCAACAATCGATATGTCACCATAATTTACCGCCCTAGTATTTTTTACTATCGGCATTCACAGAATCGATACCACTGTCGGCGATAGTGTCACAGCTCTAGATTGTGCTTGTCATCTTGTCATTTCGGTGAGAATAGTCGGCATTTATTTAAAAAAATTATTGTAACACAAATTTAGGCCAATAATTATGGCTACTGAACGCTACAGTTTCTCCCTAACGACCTTTAGGTAAGTACAGCTTTCGCTCGCATTGCAAACTGGCATCAGGCTCATTTTCCCCATTGTAAACTCCATGACTGGCATAAACACAACTTTACGCATTTTTTCTTTTGCAGTCCTTCAGGAAAGCTCGTGCAATTGGAATATGCCTTGGCAGCTGTGTCCGGTGGCGCCCCTTCTGTTGGCATTATGGGTAAGTCCGATTATAATTATATATTTTTGGAGACGTATTTATTAAACATTTCTGTTCTTCTCAGCTTCCAATGGTGTCGTTATTGCCACAGAGAACAAATACAAATCGCCGCTGTATGAGGAGCACAGTGTGCACCGAGTGGAAATGATAAACAAGCATATCGGAATGGTTTATTCTGGCATGGGTCCCGATTATCGCTTGCTGGTGAAGCAGGCACGAAAAATCGCCCAAACGTACTATCTGACCTACAAGGAACCAATTCCTGTGTCCCAGCTTGTGCAACGCGTGGCAACGCTAATGCAGGAATATACTCAGTCCGGGTAAGTGTTGAAGATATATCTTCATGCATTTGCCATCTTCATAAAAAATTTCGTTTCCCTTAGTGGCGTTCGTCCCTTTGGCGTTTCGTTGCTAATTTGCGGCTGGGACAATGACCGACCATACCTTTACCAGTCGGATCCCTCGGGCGCATATTTTGCTTGGAAGGCCACTGCCATGGGCAAGAATGCTGTTAATGGCAAAACTTTCTTGGAAAAGCGGTAAGACGAGTTACAAACATAAGTAGTAGAAACTTGTAACGTGATTTTTCTTCTTGTAGTTATAGCGAAGATCTTGAGCTGGAGGATGCCGTGCACACTGCAATTTTGACTCTCAAGGAAGGATTCGAGGGAAAAATGACATCGGACAACATTGAAGTTGGAATCTGCGATCAGAACGGTTTTAAGCGTTTGGATCCCGCTACAATCAAGGACTATTTGGCCAACATCCCTTAAAATTGTAAAACACTTTAAGATCCACAAGCTAAGCTTTTCTACGCGTACATAAATAATAAAAATAAAGTTTGTAAGTGTTGCGGGCTTTTTAAATGAACGAATGATAACAATTATAATTTGTTTTTTTTTTTTTTCAATTTGATTGGTTTTGTATCATCTTAATTTTATTTGACTTCACTTTGGACTTTCTTTTCCTCACTTTTGGGCACTTTTGTGTATGTTGTATAAATGTTATTGTATGCGTTGAGGACGCGGCCTAAGTGCTACGAGAACTTAGCTAATGCTTAACAACTATATCAGATCAGAGTTATCGAGAGTAGTTACTGCTTATTGTTACGGCTATGATTATTTACAATTTAGAGAATACATCAAAATAAGTCATACACTCTCGTATGCTGTGATAATGGATTTTGATAATGGATTTGGCATATTCTGCATGCGTTTCCCTCCTGGCCCCACCGACCAGGGCCACAATCAAATATTCAGACAGCGCAGCTTTGTATCTGGCACCCGTGAGGTGAACTCAAATGTTGGAGGCCGGCGCACATCTTCGTGGGAGTCGCGACGTATACGATCCGGATTCCGACCCATCACCGACGACAGCGGAATTTCCTTGCTTAAAATCTCCTCCAGCACCAATCGCTCCAGCTCAAATAGATGCTCATCCCACACGCCCGGTATTTCTTCGTGCATGAACAGCGCCAACCGCAACAGATATTCGGCATTGTGGCCGCTCGGTCCACGGCTATTGGCGATTTGTTGCGATATCAGCGCCAGGGGTGCATCGCCCAGCCAATGCCTATTCTCCGGCGTTGCCACATAGATCATTACCTCCACGGCCTCGCCACTGAAGGGCGTGTCATGTGATGCGACGCGGGGAAAGAATTTGGCTTCGATCGTTGCATAGCCACCTGTTGAAAGTCCCAAATAAATTTGCCGTATTTTTCACTTATGTATGTAAAACTGCTTACCCAATGTGCACTCGCGTTGCTTGAGATACTCCAGAGCCGTTGAGCCCGTTATTCTGTACGCACAGCCCCATGTAATGCCCTGCAATAAATAGGAAAAAATCACAATTGTTAAATACAAATTTCTAAAATTCCAAATAGCTCTAACTTTTGTTAAGTTAAATGGAAATTTCGTTCAACGCGCATGTTCTATTTATAGCTGCTCTTTAGGTTATTTTAATTGCTTAAAATTCCCAACACGTTATTCGGCGAGCGGCGCGTATAAATAGCGGCGACCGACTCGTTTGGTAGGCTGTTTTGAGTTTTCCTTGCTTGTCTCTCGGGGTCACAAACGAGCTCCTGGTAGCTCTCATAATATGATCACACCCTGGGTAAAGTCCCCGGGCCTAGGATAGAAAGTATCAAGGCGTAAACGAGAAAAGTATTTGTTCGCCGGACAACGGTTGCGCAAATATTATATATACGCCTATATTTCGCGGTATTTCGCCATGCGTACTCCAATGAAGAGAGACCCGCTCCAAGGGACTCGAATTGTTGCGCTCGGTTGACTGCGGAAATGTGCCAGAGATATTTAAGATATGGACGAGTGGGCGGGGGAAGAGGGGGGCGTATCACAACGCCTATCCTCCTCCCCCGTCTACACGGAATGGGGCTTACGTAGGGAAATTCAAACGGCGCAATAACTTTTTTCATTGTGATTGATTTATGAGGTAGTCTATTATATTTACCTCTCTGTCCTCGATTAAAGTGGCAACACGTCCCGGCTGTAAGCAAAAAATAAAGAAAATACATCAAATACTATATGCAGAAATTGTCTGTGGAAAGTGCGTCTTCTCTTTCATTTCTGAGTGCTGCAAGAGCGATGAGTTTACTTAATGTCGACTTGCATGTGGATGCGACCTTGACTTATTTTTACATTGTTTATTAAAGTAACATTTAATGAGCGTCGCGAAAAAATAAATAAATAATGTTGCACAGAAGCTGATTAAATAAAGCAGCGACAGCCAATCCCATTATTCACAGAGCTAACAAAATAAGCGTCTGAAATATGCAAGTATAAAGGTTATAAAAATATGCACGATCGTTATCTTAATTAATTCAGTAGTCTATCCGGCTACGTTAAGAGTTATCGATTATGTAAATTAAACTCAGTGTAGCCGCAACATTTATTTTCTTTGTTTGCTCGCTATTGATAACACACATGCCAATTGGATAATCGCAATTGTCGACAATGTTTGATGTTAAACAAAATTCCAGTTTTTCTCACCTCTTTGTCGGTGCCGCGATGCGTTACGTTGCCCTGCCAGAAGCGCCGCACATAACCTCGTATATAGCCCGTAATGCATTTGGTGTAGTTGAAGCCCGGATACCAGCACAAAGAGCCGTATCCAAAGACCCAGCAGACAGCGTTGGATTCATTGTTGCCATTAACGGCACGATTCTCCTGATCATTATTATTATTGTTGTTGTTGTTGTTATTGTTGTTGTCGTTGTTGCCATTGCCATTGCCATTGTTGTCATCCTCGTCGCCCAATTGGCCATTGGTGAATAGATTCTTGAAGTGAGCGGGCACCTCACTTGGGGCCTGATGTCCGCTGTAGTGTGCCATTGTGTATGTCCAAAGTAAAACGTTAATTTGAGCCTTTATCCGAATGATTTATGTCTGGTAATAATGTTGATGTTGGTGTTGCTGCGTTGCTCTGATATTGCTTGGATTTTATAATGGCATGCTGGTGGTATATATTGGGGGCATGCAATGCATTGCTGCTATCTCACTTTTCTCATTTTTCTTCCAAGCCCTTAGCCGTATTCGCCGTATGTCTGTAAGTCGGAAAAAAATATGTTAACCTTTTTGGACAAATTACATAAAACAAAAAAGGTGTTTCTTGTCAAATATGCGCTTACTTTTTCAATCGATTATATGTCAATTGTGTGTTTTATTTTATTTAATTATTTATTTTTATTTTTTGTATGTGATTTTGATATTACATTCAGCTAAATAGTTCCACCAACGGCCGGCAACTGAACCGTACGCTTCACGATCCTAAGTTTAAATTAAAGAGCCGTGCGGCCACTACGAATAACGAACACATTTCTGAGCGAGAAAAACATATTATTGTTGAAAATATATTTATGACAATACGTCTCTAAGTCGTCTGCAGCGTCGGATGGGCTTATCTGTGTTTCTTCTACTCAAAATTATACAAAACTAAACAAATGTGTGTGTGTGAGTGGCGCGTTTATTTTGAAATTGTTGTTATTTTCTGGCACGAGCGATCTCTCTTCCTCTCCCTCTCTCTCTTTCTCTCTCTCTTTCTTTTTTCCTCTCACAAATGCCTAACAAACGGTTTGTACACTCTCTCGCTCTCGCTCTCGCATTCTCCCATTTTGGTGCTGATAGTGAAACTGAATCGAACAAGTTCTTTTGCTTAACGTTAAGGTAGAGCAGCTGACTTGCCTTAAACCCGATTAGCGTTACGCTATTCATAAAATAGTCGCCCATCAGGTATTTCCAATTATAAATGTGCACAATCAGTGGGTACTAAATCTTTCCTTTAATGACACGACAAAAAAGTTGTTTAATAAATTCAAATTGTTCACAACACAAACACATTCAAGTAATTTGAAGTGGTGTCTGACTTAGAAATTGTTAATTTCTTTGTAATCAATTTGGATTAGACTCATTGAAATTTGTCTCGTTTGCCGTCAAACGTGCAACTCTATAGTAATACATAATAATACATAATAAGCTTATATAATTTTCCATGTCATTTGTTCCCCAATGAGAAATTAATTAATTAGACTTGGTTAATCAGCAGCATCCCAATTCTAACTGTTAAGAAACGTATGTTTCTTTATTCAACTTCAAATCACCTTGCTTATACAGTACGTATAGGAGATATGCTTTTGCACATACAGCTAAGCTCAAAAAAGTAGTACTACTGTTGGAAAAATGGATAATATTGAAAAAATTTACAAAGTGTTATTTTTTTTACTTCTCTTGTCTTTGGAGAAGTAATTTGCATTTGAGTTGCAGTAATTTTGACAAGTCTGGTAACAAAACAATTAAAACTGAATCAAAATCAATTTAATTACAAATGCTGTGCACCTATCAAAACTGTTTGCTCTGTTAATAAGACTATATTTTTGTAGAACCACGTTTTGGTCGATTTGCTTGTGTGCTATGTATACCTATACCCTAAAGAGACCCAAATCAGTAATCAGATATATTTCTGCAAGCACTACTATAATTTTGATGTATCTCTGAAATTGATAGAAACGCGAAAAACAAAGCATCTAAAAATTCCAAGTAATATGACATTCTATAATGCTCCTACAGGACTATAAGTAAGCGAAAAGTGAAGATTTAGATATTAAGCAATTTAGCAAAGATATGTGAGATCAAAACGATACTATTATTCTGAGTGCAACTGTATGAACGTATGCATGTATATGTGTGTGTGTATGTGTATAGACATATAAAATCGCACAAAGCTGCGAGTATAAAGACAAACACAAACAGTCGCACATTGGAATAGCTGTTGCTTTTGTTCTCGTTTTCATTTTTGGCAAACATTCTTAGATTGTTGGGTTTGTGTCTGGGATTTGGAGTCTTTACTAACTGCGCAGCTGTTGAATTAGAATGGGAACGGGAAGCCAGAAATACCCGGCGCTGTTTGCCGTCTGCTGCTGCTTGGCTGCTATCGCAATTTGACACATACATACATACATACATACATACATACATACATACAGACAGATAGATATATCGATGTATAGAGGTGTATGTATTTAAGTATGTTTAGATATTTTGCAGTCTGCTTGTTATTTTATTTTTTTATTAGCTTGCTCGTGCAGACTTCGTACTCTGTGTTGATTCAGGTCTATCCCGCCAGCCAGCGAGCGAGCGAGCGTTGTGAATGTTTTATGATTTTTGTTTTCTGCACGCTCTTTCTAAATAGTAGCGTATTTCCATTTGTTTTGATTAAATATTGTGAGGCGTTTATGTTGGTGACCCAAAAACAAAAAAGTAAAATGCGCATGGAAAAAACCAGAAGTTTGAAATGCTCAGCATTTTATGCAAACACACGCACAATTCAGAGATGAGACACACACACACATACATATAATCAAAGTGTATATAGACAGTCTACAGATTTGTATACGAGAACGTTATTCTTTGCTGTTCCCTGATATTCGCTCGTTACGTATACGCAACGTTTGCCGCCTTGCGTGCAAAGCAAATAAAGCACAAATTTTGTTTATACTTGTTTGTGTGTGCAAGCATTTGTACATGCATGTGTACATGTGTAAATATGTGTATGTGTGTAGCCAAGATACACGCTGTTCGTTTCTGAGTCCTTGATACTGAACTTTTTTCATTGTGAAAGTTTTTTGCAAGCGGTTCAAGGTTACTCTATATTCCCAATGACTACACATCCAGATGAGAAGGGCAATTGACGGGGAGTGGAATAACTAATTGCTTGCTTGTGTGTCTTTGCCACATTCTTATTCGCTTTTTTCTCTTTTCTTTTCTTTTTTTTTTTGGTTTTTGTTTTTTTTGGGTAACAGGCGCTGCAGAAAAATGCCCAGTCGCACAAAACATTTTGGCACTTTACAACAGATACTTGCTGTTGTAGATTGTTGCTGTGTGTGTGACTTTAATTCGCTAAGAGCCACAATAATATTAAATAATAAAAGCAAATAAAAGCTGGCGGCAGAGCCATGTGCCGCATGCATGTACCGTTGCTCATTTCCTATTTTGCGGCATTTGTGTCTCATATACAATTGTACAATTGTATCTTATACATACTTTGTCACTTTAGTACGTATTCACTGCGCTCAATTGGGATGAATGATGCCTCGGTTCGATCAAATGCAACAGTTGTATTTGTGTAACGTGTTGCAATGTCAAGAAATATATCTCAAAATAATATTATTATGTAATATGTATGCCTTGAGCAATTGATATTATACACTTGAACACGACAACAAGCAGTTCCTTTTGTACTTTGTAGAATCAATTATATTTATATTTATTTTATTGTTCAATTATAAATACATTTGGCACGTATTCAAAATGATTAGCTATAAATACGTGGCTAAATAAATACAATTTTTGGCAAGGCAGTCTACCGAGTGCTGCTTGATTGAAGTGCTTAATAAATTCATAAATGAATCGACAAAACATTTCAACTATCAATCGAAAAATTTGCTTTGCTGATAAGGTTTTATTAAATGGATCTGATAACGAGCAACTCTTCAAGTGTGCTCCCAAGGGAGACTCTGCCCAGACTGACTACACATGTGTGTGTGAGTGTCTGTGTGTGTCTTATTATTATTATTGAACTGACTGATTAGAGCGAATACGTCACGCAAATTAAAATACTTAATGTCTGATAAAAAGAGGTTAGAGACTTTTGAATTCGTAATGAGTCAAAATGTAAACAACAAATGTTTTTCTATAGATATTCTGCATTGTTTTCAGCGTTAAGGTCATAGGCAGCTTGATTAAAGTAGGGAATGTGTCAAATAAACAATATTATTTAAAGAACTGACCTAGAAACGGGATCAGGCACCTGTATTTTGTTTGGTTGAAACAACAGTTAGTCTTAATTATGCGAAAACCTGTTTAAATATTCTACTTTGCCTTGAAAGTGAAATAAACTGTATATTCAGAAAAATATTGCAATTTTCACTGGTTCAATGTCTTACATAATGCTTTAATTACGTAAGTAATAGTTAATAAATGAATAAGATTAAAATGCTGAATAAATTATAGCCGTCTTATGCACATAAACTGAAGTATTTTGACTTGTCAAGTTAAGCATCAAGCCAAGTATCAATAATGTAGTGATTTTTATAGCTAATTGCTGTAAGTATTTAAGCCTTCGCACCTTGTTAAACCTACAACTCTCGTGTACGTATTAAGTGTTATATATGGGTTAATTATAAAATGCAGCAACAATATCAATAGCCAGTCATTTGTATGCATGGATGATGAAAGATAACAAGTCTATTTAGTATATATATATTTAAAATACATATGTATTTATTAGAGCAACAGAGAGCTGCATCTATCTTGACCGATGAGCATCAGTTCCACTTGTAATAAATCTATCTCGCTGTGGACGTGTTAGTGACACGTGCCGAAAAGTGTCGCTGAGAAATCAACACAATAAAGTAATTCTAGTTGAACAAATTTCATCTCAAACGGATGTTGACCTTGAAATGCGACACACTTGGAAAGCCCATCGTGTATATTTAATATTTATACAGCTTTTCAAACGTACATAATGTGTATGTATATGAAAACTACCTTATTAATAAACCTTACAGAAATTAGCTATTTAAATGAGTAAGTGCTTAAGGGTATAATAAATATGTACCGACCACAAAAGCAACGATAAGCAGAAATTAAACAGACGCGTCTTTTTACTGTTTTGAGACAGTGAAACGATAACAGGTGTGAGAGAGCGAAACAAAAAACAAAACAACACACACACACACACACACATGCACATGCACACGCACAGCTATTGATAAGAGAGCGTGCGAATTACAACAAAAGTGCTGAGAGTTGTAAGACGAAAACAAACTGAACAGGCAAGCATACACACACACATATACACGCATAGACATATGAAAGTATATGTGCTGACACTGAAGCTTTTGTCGGTGCATGAATGTGTTATGTGTATGCATGTGTATGAGAGAACCGAGACCAGTCAGTCAAATAGCCTATAAGCTCTGGCATGCTGACACACATGCGAAGGTATGCGCCTATGTGTGTGTATGTATGTTTGTATGTGTGTGTACATATTCGCATTGCTTTCAATATCACGGCTAATGCTTATGCTGCGACTGCAGCTTTTTACCTGCTCATTTGTTGCAGCTTTCACAGTTAACACTCCACGAATGGTAAACAGTTATTTCGTTTGGTTTTTCTCTCTTTTTATGTTGTTTAGCTATTGCAATTATCCGTTCTTTGTTCATCATCAACTTCCGTTCAACTTTTGCACTACACTCTTTGCTTTTGCCGCTTTTTTCATCATCGTTTATCAGTGTTCTCCTCTACTCATTGTTCACAAGTCACTATGCGAAACAGATTGAAAATTCTAAAATTACATTAACACCAAGTTGCGGGTTGCGCATCCGTCTGCTGCGACGTCTTCAATGTAACTGCTTGCGCTGCCGTTGCGCGCTCAAGTAATATTGCCACGCAATACTCCGTTTCGCTTTATTCACACTCTCCCCACCCCATCTCCTTGTTGTACAACATTGCAGCATTTTTGCTCGTTGTTGCTGCTCATTGTAAATATTTATATGCATAGAAGAAAAAAAAGAGCTTGTAAAATTGTTTTCTTTTTCTCTCTTTATATGTACGCGATTAATTAGTCATTCAGGTTTATACGTTCAATTCAACTTGCCACTTTTTGTGGCACATGCACATCTGTTGATGTCCACGCCAAAGGCAATGCCCGAGATAAATGATAAGAAAGCTTCTACTCCACTCCCCCTAACCAAAAGCTAACCTTCCCCCTCCCATGCCTTTCACTCTATTTCACTCTCCTTGCAACAACATGACCTAGCACATGCGCTCTCACTTACTCTCTCTCATCAGCAGCATAAGCATCTGTGCCAAATAAAAAAACATTTTTGTTTGGCTGACGTAATTTGTACGCGCATTTGCAGCATGCTGCACTTTTTTATGAATGGAAAGCAGAAGCCACTCACCACTCACCTCAGTTACCATGGCAACAATCGAGCTTTAAGTTCTCAACTAACACCATTTTTAGCTAATTGCAGTTAATTATTAAAATGCGACCTCGCGAAGATACTATAAAAAATTCCGACATTTTTGCTCAAAGTTTCATCAGGTAATTGAAAATGTTGTCATGGAAGAAATATGACACGCAGCAAGAGATAGTTAAAAGATCTTACTACATAGATAACAACAACGTGAAATTTTGAACAATTTAGTTGATTATTATTATGATTGTGAGTTACTTTCTTGATTTTGGCATCATGAATGTCAATTATTTTTAAGTATTTTTTTTTTACAATTGATGGTAATCACATAGTTGTGTATCACTCAGCTCATCAGAGAGGGCATTAATAGCAAAGACTACAACCATTCACATTTTCAGCAGCAGGTGGCGCTGGTAATCTTCGCAATGGGCAGCACTGACACTTATCGTTGACAAAAACCACAACCAAGACACTTTCAAATATTTAAAATTTATATAAACTAGACATTTTTAAATGATCATTTAAATGATTAATTTTGTTTCGATAAAACTTGGAAAACTGTTACAAAAATTTAAAATTGGACCTCAAAAAAGATATTGAGTTAGAGTGAAACTCACGTTGTTAAAAATTAAGCTAGCTTATAATTAAATTGTTTAGATAAATAAATGTATATTTAACAGATAACAGATAAAAATATCTTATCTTAATATGCATAGGTTGATCTTGCCACATATAGCTAAAGACCCATAAATACCTTGTTACAAAATAATTAAGAACAAACTAAAACCGACAACATAAACTAACGCAAAGTACACGAAACTTTGGCAGTTTTTGGTTTTAATTTTCTATTGGGATTATCTTGGGCCGAACATAAACAAATTTTGTGAAAAGCCCTCACCTCAGTGTGTTCAAAATAAAATCAGAGCAAATCAAAACAAAACATTTGTCAACGCGCCGAAGAAATATAGGAAAAGCGGCGACAAAAGAAAAACGAAACGAAAAAAACACGGAAAATTGTTGTGGAAATGGAAAATGGAAAAGGGAATGCCAGAAAACCCCGAGGCCCTAAGACAAAAAGATTTACAATATCATTCAAGAAGATTGTAGAGGGTAATTTCAAAAAAATATAAATTTTGTTTGAGCAGCAATAAATAAACAAATTAGATGTGGGGGAGGTAAAAACACAATTTTTAGTTTCTCTCGTTCAGTTTCTGGTCAATTTGAGGGGAAGCCAAAAAAAAAAAAAAAAAAAGGAAAACAACAATGAAAATTGTATAGTAAAATTGTGATTTTTGTTTTGGGGTGTGTTTGAGGGGGAGGTAGTGGGGGGGGGGGGGGTGCTGGATGCTGGGTGGACTGCCTCCATTAAAAGTGTCACATTAACGAATTGTTTGCCTTCTTGAATTTATAAGCGACTTGCGCTAATCGTTTGGCCAGGTAGTCTCCAAATTTATTTCACTTCCTAACCATAAATAAACCAAAGTCCAATAAGCCTTTCACAAACACACAGACACACACACACACACACCCAGAGAGATCTTCTCTTGGGTAGGGGGCGTGGCCAGCATGGCCACACAATTCTCGCGTCCTTCTGCTTAGAACGCCAGTGTCTAATGGCGTGTCGTGTTATAAATAGCTGCCACTCGAGAGCCAGCCACTCAAAACGCAGCAGCAGCAAGAGATGAGAACTGATCAGATCAGATCTGAGCAGAGCACAGCACATGTGGCATCTGGGCAAGAAGAATATTTTCCGAATATCATTCAGCCAAATGTGTCGCGTTTGTTGCGGGCGTCGGTTCGTCTCCCCGATCTCGTTCCCGTTCTCGTTCTGGTTCTCGTTTCCGTTCTCCTTCTCATGCCCAACTCTCGATTGAGATTACGGAGTGGCGTGTAAAGTGCAGTGAAGTGCTTAACTGATAAGAGTCAGCAAGTTAGTTAGTTAGTTATTAGCTGCTAGTCATGACCAAGTACAACAATACAAATGCCATGTTAGCCGGCGCCGGAGCAGTTGCAGCCACAAATCATAACATTAAACAGGAATATCTCAGTTATCCACAGCAGACGCATCCGGCTGGTTATCATCGGTATCATGAGAATAGCTTGCTACAGTCGAATGTGCATCACAATCCGCAGCAGACGCTGCAGCATTTCTTTAGTCGCTTCAATGCCGTCGGCGATGCAAGCAGCGCTGCCTGCAGCTTCAACAATAGAAGCCACCCGGCCACAGATGCCGGCAAGCAGCTCTCCATGACCTCATCGCCCATCTACACAACGGACTACGACGATGAGGACAGCAGTGTCAGCTCCGAGGAGCATGTGCTTGCCCCACTCGTCTGCGCCTCGGCGCAATCCTCGCGTCCCTGCCTCACCTGGGCATGCAAGGCGTGCAAAAAGAAAAATGTTACCGTTGATCGACGCAAGGCTGCCACAATGCGGGAGCGACGACGTCTCCGAAAGGTATGCTTGCAGCAGAGAAAGATTTTCTAACAGAGAAAGAGAGTGAAAGTTTCTCCACTTAAGAAAATAAATAAAATTCAGTTAGAAAAGGTGAACATGGCTAGAAGAAGATCTCATCTCCCCTCCAGTTATAGTTTTTGTGCTTTAAAGTCACTTGTTCATAATTAATGAGCTTTAGTTTGTTGTACTGGAAATCTGAAGCTCTAAAAAGTATTTAATTCGATATGTATTTTTCAATATGAGTTCTAATTTATAGTTTATGTGTAAGCTTGGCATATTTGCGAAAGCGAATCGAAATTGTTCCAAAATATATAAATATTGTTCCAAATAATATATAAAAGGGAGCAACGGTTTGTGGTTTTCAATATTGGCATTGTTTAAATTATGATCGATCGTCCAGATTTGGAAACAGTTGTATTTAGCTGGATTAAAATAAATTGTGTCTATTCAAATCAAAAGTTTCCGTAGTAAAAGTGGTTTGAATAATTAGGATCACATCTATTTCAGCGAAGAAGAAGAGAATGAATCAGATAAAATATACGATTATTATAATGGCAATTGCTGCTAATCTTAATACGACTCCAACTTGAAAATGTTTGAAATCAAACTTGGGGAACTAATATTTGCCTGACCAGCTATTTGCACTGAGCTTCTTCTTCAGAGAGAGAGAGAGAGGCAGAGAGATAGACAGTGTGAGAGAGAGAGAGAGAGAGAGAGAGAGAGAGAGAGAGAGAGAGAGGGAGAGAGAGATAAAGAGAGAATAGGAAGAGATGCAGAGATGAATACACCAATTGGTATTAAGAACCAAATTTAAAATGCAAGCACCATTTCCTATGGTAGTTATAAGATAGTTAATGTCTATAAGCCAGATCCGAATCAGTTTACATTATATCAAATGAGAGTTCATAAGAAATTGTATCAAATTAGAAGGTGTAAATGTGTATATGAATAAATTGCTTTGGTAATCGATTATAATAATTATAGTTTTCACTTGAAACTATGCCTGCATTCATGTGCATACTATACAGATACAGATATAGAAATGTCAAATGTGTTTGTCAAATCTAGAAAATTGTTTCGCAGTTATATTGCGATGATCGACGCGACTCTTGTGTGTATGTAGTCTAGGGAGCAATTGCCCGCAACTTTGTTGCGCCACAGGAATTAACACATCAGCGATGTAAATGTCAGTTGCAATCATTTAGCCCTAAATTTCGAAAACCATTTGGGCTGCAGGGAAGCCACCACCCAGTATGCATAAAACTAAAGGATTTGCCAAACATTAAACATAAAACATTAACGAGCGCCAGCGAGTTTTGCGACATATCGTAAAAAAAACTTCCGAGCGACAACGCTGTATTTATAGATCGACAAGACACCCCTGCCCCCAACCAACCCGCGGAAGAGTCATTAACAAATATGAAAAGGGGGGTGAACGTGCAACGACTGTGGCCGTCATCGCCACCCGCGCCCAACGGTTTAATTGTTTAAATTTTATGCGCGATTTAATTTAAAATATGTTTTATTAAAGAGCCACTTAAAGATGAGCAGGCGGTCTTCTGGGCGGGTTTTTATTGCATGTCTAATGGCTTTCCATGATTCCCATCATTTCGATGATGCATTTTAATTGATGATTCCGCATAACTTGGACACCATTTTGATTTTCACTGCTCTATGCTTTCTGCTTTCTAGGTTAACGAGGCCTTTGAGATCTTAAAGCGACGCACTTCATCCAATCCCAATCAGCGTCTGCCCAAGGTTGAGATCTTGCGCAATGCCATCGAATACATTGAAAGTCTCGAGGATCTGCTGCAGGTAGACAATTATTTTGCAATTACATTTTCAAATAGTTAAATGATTGTTTTTGTTTTTTGGTTTGTTTGTTTTAGGAATCGTCGCCGGCTCGAGATGGCGACAATCTGGCGCCCAGTTTGAGCGGCAAGAGTTGTCAGTCTGATTATCTGGTAAGTTTTGTTGCTGAACGCCAATTAATAATAGCGTTCCGCAATTATTTTCTCGTAAAAACCCCATGCTTGAAAAACATTTTCGTACATTTTTCTTTCGCTGACGCGCACATTCATCAAAAATCTCAGGGTCTACGACGAGAGCTAGCCGAACGTGAAAATAGACTAGCATGACTTTTGCGTTTAGCTTCAGCCCCCCCCATTCACCATAACTCATAGCCTCAATATATCGGATCCATATCTAAAACCCCCATGTCGATGTCGCAGTATCTGCTGCTGTCCAAAAAAAAAAAAAAGAAACAAAAAAAAAAACCAAAAATTTATGCGCTCGCTGACGTGCAACTTAATAAGCTCCCTCTACTCTGCATATATACATAAATATACCATCGGCTTATTAAAGGGAACAATTATGAATTATTATAGCCAAAAAGACTGGGTTCGCTTTCCCGAGCAGAGGAAAACTAGCCCACAAATTAACACAAAACTACAAATGGGTATTGCCTTTATTTATATGGGGTTTTTGGGGTCCCTCGTTGTTGTTGTTGCTGTTGCTGTTGCTGTTGCTCCTGTCTGCCAGCATTTAGTAGAATTTAATAAATAAATTTTCTTTTTAATGTGTTGCACATAGCCCAATCGAGTTGGCCACCCAACTCTTAAACTATAAACGAGAGTCGTGTTGTAAATTAATTTCAACAAATTCGAGTGCTGCGCCTCAAAAAAATACCTTTCACGGCAGCTTTCAATGCGATAAAACTTGAGCTACATTCAAATTTATTTTTCTTTTTATACCCTTGCAGAGGGTAGTATGATTTTGTAGTGTAATTTGTGAGGTCTATGCGAGCTAGGGTAAAATGAAGTTACGCAAATGTCTGTAATCATCTTCGATCCCATCAAGTAATTTTATATTCTGGACCGGTTTAGTTGAAAGTAGCCGAAGCTTGAGAAATTGTGCCTGCAAGTATTCATATATTATATGCAAATTAAGTTTACATAAATCTTGATGACACTTTGAACATATCCGTCCTTTTGCTGCAGTCGGTACATATATCAGAATCGACCGGATCGGAGTGAAATGCAACTATCAATCAACAGACGAGACAAAAATATCCAAAATAAGCTCACTTGTTATGCATGATTTAAGATTCCCTGCAAAGTGATCAACGTTAGACTACTGTGGACTTTGGTCATATAGTGTATGTTGTCTTCTGCGAGCCTCAGATGGATTTTCTCTCTTGTCTTGTTTTCTCTGAGAGGGGTCGGGGCCTATCTATTCAATAGACTATTTCACAATGCGTATATGTTCGAGTTGAACAAAAAGGGAAATGTGTCAGTTGACAAATTGCACAGGAAAAACATGACAAGATCGGAGCGCTGTTCCCCGAAAGGTGTTGCAAGACATGGGGCCATTGGGCCAAGGGGGCCCTGGGACAGCCAATGTGACAGCACAACAAATTGTCAACAATTACGCGAACATTTTTGCAATAGCCGCCGGCTATAACTTTTATGGATGGTCCCCGATGCTGGCGTTGCACACAGATACAGATACACAGTTCTTTTGCCACACTCTGCTGAGTAATTTCCATGCAGTTTGTTTGAGTTTCTCAAACTTTAATGTACAAATTTGTTAATTTACCATAAAACCTTGCATATTTGTATGGCCGACAGTGTGCGTCCTCAATGGCAGATATTAATGTTCGCCCATAGTTTGATTAAAAACTGGCGAATTGCCAGAGTGCCGGCATTAAAATGCATTTCAGCCACAGCCTGACAATCCATCCATCCATCCACAATTCGGGGTAGCCATAGCAACTAGCAACTGGGGGAACTGGAGTTGTTCACATTTATTTTTGCATAAGTGCAAAATGTGTACTAAGCGTTGATAACAAATGTGCCATAAATAAACCCAACCAATGAACGGTCTTCAGTTCAAGTTTAGAAATCGGTCTATTATGCTGTAAAACATTTAATAATCATTCAATCTATTATGCATTGTTTTTATTTTAAAATCGCACTTAACTTTATCTAACAATTCCGATCGTGTTAGTCGAACACACACACTTCAAAATATATTTTATAGTTGGCTTATTTGAAGCAATTTAGGTGCAAATGACTCATGTCAGAGGCTATGCGAACTTATCGTCTAGCTATAAAATTCGGAAGTGAACTTGAATATGAACTTACTTGCGACAAATATATATATATATATATTCTTATCTGTTTGCTTAGTCAATTTTTGATTACAAAATTTCGATAATAAAATATTTGCTGTAACAATGACCAAACGAACACGAAGTGATATAAGCTCTTCATACATATATAAATTGCATATTGGAATACATACAACATAATGCAACATATCCGTTACTGTTCACAGAAAATCTTGGGAGAAAGACTTCTAAGAAGAACGCGCCAAAAAGCGGCTTAAAATCTTTGCGCAACTCATAAATGCTTAGGGTGTGATAAGTGGCATTTCATTCAGTTTTTATAACATGCTTAAGTACGCATCTATGTATACTTATTAGTATGTTGCCAACACCAAAATATATATATATATATATATATATATATATATGTGTGTGTATATATATACACAAATCGAGCGCACGCTGTCACTAAACGCTCGGAAAATGATAAATCGCTTTATAAAAGTGCAGCCGCGAGTTGTTTTGTTCGGCGTTTTGTTCTTTTGCTTGTTCGCCTGCTGTGTTTTGTTGGGTGTCGTTTTCATGTCACTGCGCCTATAAATACCACTTGGTGTGTGCCGCTCTGTCAGTCTGTAGCTGTGAAGGCACCCTTCCTCCTTCCTCCTTCCTCCTTCCTCGCACCCGCACCCGCACCTCATCATGTGCTGTGATCCTTGCAGACGCTGCGTCGGCATCCAAAATCAACGCATCTCAATAGACGTGTTTGCATTTCGGAGTTCTATTCCCACCCAGAAGGGGCAATTATAATTGGCTTAGCGGCCATGCACATTTTTCTAATGAAAATCTGCGTATCTCCGATTTATTTAGTAGTCTACTCTCTGCCACCCCCTCTCTCTTTCTCTATCTCTCTTTCTCTGTGTCTTTCCACCAACAACAACCCGACAATTCCTGTCGTCTGCGAATGCGTGCAAATATTGCAAGCAAATTAATTTAATTGGTAATAAGTGGTCCCAGGGGAGTATGTGTTGACGGTTCCAAGACAATGCCTGTGCAGTGGTTCAATGCATTTTAATTGGCTGGCAACATTGTTGGCTCCGGCGGCCGTTTGCATAAATTTTGGCTTAATCTCATCATTAGAGCGCGTTTCGTATGGCATTTGGTGGAAAAGTTGACAGTTGACACACAGAGACAATTTTGTGCGACAGTTTGGCCATTTTGCTGTAATTTATTGTTTTTAGCTCATTTTGTGGCACATAAAACAAGCGGTGAATGCTCTACAAGTAAATTGCCGTATCTCATAAGCACAATTTCAAATATCAATTGCAGAGCTCGTATGCCGGAGCGTATCTGGAGGATAAACTCAACTTTTACAACAGACACATGGAGAAATATGGACAATTTACAGGTAAAATTGCCTAATGTAACAGTAGAGTTTAAAGATATCTTGTCAGGGATTAAAATATTAATAACAGATAGTATTAGTTCTTAGTTCTTAAACCTTTTAACCTTTTTTAACTTCATATTTTTCTGCTAATTTATGAATATAATATAATTTATTATTGAGTAATACGATCTTCCATGATATTAAATCCTCTACATGATTCCCACAGATTTCGATAGCAGCGCCAGTGCGAATGTTTCCAGCTTGGATTGCCTCAATCTCATTGTGCAGAGCATTAACAAGAGCACAACGAGCGCTGTTCAAGCCGCATCCAGCAAGTCAACAACGACAACCACAGCTCCATCCCTATCCTCATCCTTATCCTCGTCCAATACAACGTCAGCATCTAAGGGCGCGACTTCATCACTACATACAAACTTTAAACAAAAGTGTAGCACCTAGCATTAAGCATTAAATTACCAAATATGAAGCCAGCTAGTTAATTGTAAAATATATTTTAAGAGCCAGTCAAAGGATACGCGCTATACCAAAACAAAAAAGCAAAGAGCAAAGATGACCAGTGAAAAATTAGAACTAATTTAGTATTTTTTCGTTTAGCCATACCAACTACTACTTAATTAAATACTAATAATAAAGAAGACATAAGAACAAGCAGCGAGAGCAGCGTTTCAGTCCACTTCCAGCTTGCGAAAGGATCCGCTGGTGCCGCTCAGTTCTCCACTGGCCCAGGCATTGGCCAGACCCACGCGCAACTTCTCATTTGTACCGTATTGGGCATCCTCAGCAAAGTAATTCTTGTACTCGTTGAGTTTTTGGCGCCAGTAATCCAAGGCCTCGGCCTGGTAACCATTGGTGCCGCCATACTCAATGATCATCGCCTCCTTCGGTAGATGATTATACAAATCCTCCGACTTTTTGTGCACAATAAACTGCAAAGAATAACATCCGGGACAACTGAGCATTTCGAAATAAAGGATTCAATGTAGGAGAACGTACCTTAAAGGGCAGATTTGCGGGCAGGAACGAGGTGACAAAATTAAAAATCTTCTGTCCCGATGGCAACATATTCACCAAGTGTATCTCGGCAAAGCGCAGCGGCAAACACTGATCGACTAGCATAAAGGTTTTCTTCAGCAGAAATGGATCGTATTGCAGCATTTGCTCCATGTTGACGTCACGTGCATCGACAACATAAAATAATCCATTCACGGACGCAATATCGCACTCCAGCGCTAGCAACTCCAACAGCATGAAGAGAAGTTTGAAGGCTTCGCGGGGATTCGATTGCTTGGGATCGATTTTACAGAATTGCGAGATGATAACACGTGGTCCTTGCGGACCAGCTGGACGGCTGGGTATCACATGAATGCTGTTGACAGATTATAAATCTATAAATCAGTAAACATAATTCGCTTACATTGACTCACCCGCGATCAAACTGTCTCATCAGGGCCTCATCCACTTGTCGTTTGCAGAGCACCTCGGGAAAGGGATTGCGTAGCGAATAGTAGTTATCGATGCGCCGCTTGGTCTCCTCCATACTGAAGCGACAGCGACGCAGAAAGGCCAGCAGCAGGTGCGCATCTGTGCGCGCTCTTAAATGCGGTGATTTGTCGATCCATATCTGCAGTGTGGCTATCAATGCCTCCCGCTCCGACTGCTGCTCGTTGCACTCGGTGAGAGCGAGCGCAGCGAGTTGTGTGTCCAGCGGTCGCAGTTCGGCCATGTTTGCGGTTTGATAGCTGCAACTCGAATGGCAAGTGACTAACACACTGCGGATAGGTGGGGCATGTAATCTAATCGGTAACAGTGAAAAGGTAATAGCTGCAACGCATACTGTTAGATATCAAATTTGTTCTTTAATATATGTACGTTTGTACGATTGCCGATAAGCGAATCAAGCGAATCAAGGTATTTTTATGTTTATCTATGCGTATGGGTACACAATTTTAATTGATCGACTATTTTCAATTAACAATAAGGTCAAATGTCAATCCCAGTTAAGTTTGCGAAAGGAGCCGCTCGCACCGAACTCGGCCTCGTACATGGCAATCTCGCCAGGACGCAACTCCTCAATGGTGCCATACTTGTGGTCCTGCTCAAAGTACGCCCGATAGCTATTCAACAAATCCTCCATATAGGCAACACTCTCGGCCATGTGACCATTGGTGCCGCCATATTCCTCCGGCAGGCAGTCCTTGCCGATATGATTGAACAGCTCCTCGCTCGTCTTCAGCACACGTATCTGTGGAGTGGAATACATCGATATTGATGTGTTTTTGGGATTAGTGTCGGCTATTTTCTTCGCTCACCGGATAGTTGACATGCGTGCTAAGCACATTGTAGAGAAACATAATGGTGCCCTGTATATCCTTCGGCATATTAATCACATACACCTCCTTCACCCTCAACGGACTGCAGTCGTGCAGCCAATTCCACCATTTGCGAAAGAAGTGCTTGTCGAAGCGACGCATCTGATCCGAGCTGAGGCCATCCAAATCAATAATCTCACATATTCCAGCCACAGATGCATAATCATTCTCCAGCGCAACAATTTCCATGGCCATCGATGAGAATTGATAGATCTCGCGCAGAGTGTACTGATTGGGATCGAACTTGCCAAATCGTGCAATAAACAAAGCCGTGCGATTATCACACTTGGGCAAGTCCGGAAACAGGCAAACCCTAAAGTTTAACTTTAGCTTTCTTCGTTTTATGTGCTTCATTAGCTACTCACCCCAACCGATTAATATCCAGCAATCGCTGTGTAATAAACCGATTGCTCATAAACTCCGGGAACAGATTATAGCTTGTGAAATAGCGATCCAGATGTCGCTTTGTTGCCTCCAAGCTGTAGCGACATCGTCGCAAGAACGCAATCAGAAAGTCATCTTCGGTGCGAGCGCGCAAATGTGGCTGCTGGCGTATCCAGACCCGTAATATTATGATATCCTGCTGTATCCGATCGGGTGTCTCGTTCAGCTCCTGCTCGGCCAGCTTTGATAGCATTGGTGACAACGGACGTCGCATCTTGTTGCTGGCTATGGCGCTTTTGATTCTGACATAATCGATGACATTTGGCCCATGGCGGAACTGGCTGTACCGATTGACTGATTGTGTTAATTGGCCTATCTAATCTGGCAAATAGTTGGGAAAATACCACACATCATTTAGACAAAAAATGCATAGTACAACTTTCACGGACACATGTGTGAATGAGTGTTATATATATTTTATATGTTTATATTTGGGTGGTGACATCCTCTTATACACTGTACCCCTTAAAGGTGGATTAACACATTATTCAAGTGAGAATTAGACAGCAGAAGGTTGACTAAATCATCTATCGATGACAACCAATGTTTGATCAACTTCTTTTTATATAGTGTGTAGAGATAGGTCATAATCTTAAATAAGGTATAAATGGCTGGAGAAGAGAATTTATAGAAGAAGTAGTCAATATTGAATACTTCCGAAAGACTCACTCAAAAATTTGGAAAAAAGTATTTCGATAAGTGTAGTCTTCATTTTGAGCCCATAATGATCAAAACATAAATACAAAAGTTATTTAGACGAAATTTTGAAAAGTGTACGTGGCTCAGATAAATAAGCCTAAAGCGCATATCTTGTCACGTGCGTGCTTTGTTTTAGTATTAATTCGAGTAGCTGTTAACAGTGTATCTGCTTATCGGACACTTTCAGCCGAGAGCACTCTTACTTGTTGTATATCAAACAGTCACATCCGGCGCCTTTTACCCGCGGGCCACTTAAGTGCAGCCCCATTACAGAGCGCAACTCTGGGGCAACTCTGAAATGTGATCGCCGTTTTATGCTTGAAATAAATCTGACACTAAATAGTATTCAGTCTCTCTCGCTGTGTGTGTGTATACGTTGAGCATTCAATTTGAGTGCCCGTCACAGAGACGACATGTGTAGGAGGAGGTGCCGTTGCTGATGAGGAGCACACCTACTACCTTCAGTTCAGCAAATTGCTCTGACATGGAGCTGTCAGCTGTTGACAAGCACGCGACGCGTTGACGTAGACATGGACGTGGATGTCGACGTGGATGTGGACGTGGCGAGGCTGCCAGGAAGCGGATCAAGCAGTGAGTAGCTGGATCTGGAGTTGCCATACTTCAATAACTCAAAACACATTATGTATATGGGTGGGTATGTGCACCCTGGGAATGGGTACTGCTCGGCTTTGATCTTCAGCAGACTGACGAGAAGGCAGCGCGTGTAAATTCCCTTACCGCATTCTTATTGCTTATGACACAAACATATCGCTGCCATATTCATAATGAGGCTCATTAACTTTGTGCACTGCAAACACCACAAGTACAACAACAACTAAAAGAAACACTCAACACTTTGCTTGGCATATCCCACAGCGACTCCGCCAGTTGGATATTCAAAAAAAATGGAAGAACTTTTCCTGACGATAGTTACCCACAGCTAGATGCTCTATTTTGAGTGTAATCGGAGCTCAATTCAGCAGCTGGAGCATATATTATTGGTTTAACCTTTTATTTTTCTATATTCATAAAAATATATATCAGATCTAAAGTGGATATAAATTGCTAATAAATCAAGCCAAGTGATTCTAGGTTTAATGTATTGGGCGAAATAAAGATTTTATGATTTCTTGCTACTCATATAATTTATTAATTTTTTTTTTATGATTTGATGACTTCAAAGTGGGAGGGAAAAGCTTCTTTTTTTCAAAACCAAAAACACAATATACTTTTCATGCCAACAAAAGCAGTGTATAGAAAAGGGGGTGTGGATGCTGCATGTAATTGACACGCTGATGCCTGATAAGTGTATTTTGTTGTAAGTAAGCACTTGAGAATATTTCCCAAGACGCATTGACATGCTGTTGCCACTTGCTACTTGCCCCTGCAACATGTAATGAACGCATAAAACTGCATTTACCCTTATATGTATATATGCCACAATACCAATATATGCTCGGGCAATGAAAAATGTCTCTTGTTACATTTAAAAAATGTTCATCATTTGTTTACCATTGTTATCCATTAAATACTATTCTTAAGCCAATTGCCAAAAAAGATTCGCTGTTGCGCACTCATTGGTCATATAGGAATTATGAACATTTCATGTTTAATTTATAGATTTACATAAAACGCCCCATTTTGTGTGCCAAGTGCGATGCATATACAGCAGCAAATGCATTTGCTGTGCGCTCAATTGACAATCATATTTATAGAGCACATATATATATATATATATATATACATAAATGAAAACTGTAAGAAAAACTTAAGAAAATATTTATACATAAAATGTTTTTGGTTGTTGGTCGTTGTCGCCGCTCGACTGCCAGTTGTCACTCAACTTGATCCAAAATTTTCGTTTGCCGTGCCGCCAACGCAAGCCATTCCCATGGCATGGTATGGGACTGGATGCAAGGGATGGTATGGAAGGTGGCTGTACACTAAACGCCAAATGAAATTTCATTGTAAACAGACGTGTTACGGCAAATTAAGCAGCTTAAACAAATTTCCGTTGTCTTTGTCGTTGCGCTTGGACAAATCTCCAGGGTCTCTCCAGGCATACGAGCATCCGCATCCTGTTACGTGGCAATTTATTGGCTTCCTTTTTGTTATGTCACTCGAGTGGCAAACATGTATTCTATCCTAATTGGTCCTTGGGGCAGCAGCGACTACGTGCACCAGCTGGACTCTTGTTTATATATATATATATATAGCTTATTTCACTTTACGCTATGCTTAACCCATTTGAGGATTCCCGGAATTCATCGGCCAGCTCATTTGTAGATTACCGTATGCCAGGAGCGAGCTGGCAGACGTAGAATTAATGCACCACGTTGACTGTCATTGAGGGCCACATTAACGGGTACATTTTCGCTGCAGGAATGAAAAATATCTATGAGATGCATTCATAAAACACATAAGTAAATGCTGTCTACATCGTCGAGTGCTATGCGCAATTAAGTGGCAACCACTTTAGCGCAGTGCGATGCCGAAAATAGCACCATCATCTGCACACACTTGAGGTCGTAAACAGCAGATCGCGTGCCACACATACCCATTGTATAAGATCAACGCCACACTGCCATCCGGTCTTTGGAAGCCCACAGCACTCAGCTGGGAAAAGGACTCGGTTTCATTGGTGCGCGCCTCGATCCGCATAGATTGCTCCGGCACAAATTTGCTGAAATGCCCGATGGCATAGTAAATGGGCTGCTTGTAGAATTCGGTGCGACTTGTTGTATTCACAATCACCGGTGAATCGACATGATTCTGCACATAGTTGGGGCCGCCCTGCTCGTCCAGCACCAGATTCCAATCTAGCCAGCCATTAAAACTGTGTAACAAGTCCTGTATATAGGCACGCATATAGCTCTCGCCACGCCCCCAACTGCCCAGTTCGGGGCCATGCGTCTGCCAGGGTTTGTCGCCGATGCATGATTCCGTATTTAATATCAATTTATCCGGCATTTCCTTGTGCGCCTCGTCTATAAGCTGCGGCCCAAACACCTCATCCCAATACCAGTGCACGGCCAGGCCATCGAGATAGTCGAGTGCTTTGGTCCGAGAAGAGCGCATCTATGCCAGAGATAATAAAGTTATAATTAAATTAATCTATTTTTTATAGAGCCATTACAAAACGTGGGACTACCAACGGATTTTTCTCATGCCACATTTTGTTGTATGCATTAAAGCTAATGTGACGAGATTTAACAGAAGTACGTTAATAAAAAGTAAATGACTAAAGAATTTTTTTGGAGGCACTTCAATCGAATATGCCATAATGATTGTATTCAAAGCTTCTATAAAATAAAGATTAAGATTAGATTTTGAAATATTTCTTATACCGCTTAAGGAAATAATCGTTTCAGATATTTTCAGATATTTGCATTCAAAATGTTTTGATTTTATCGAATCCAAGCTGGGATTTTTGAAAGACATAATTTAAGCTTTGTTGGATTAACTAATTATATTTGTGGATTCTCAAGGATTTTCAAACGAGGATCACTGATTATATCTATCAAAGTACGAATAATATAATAGCCCAAGATATTAGTCACTTACCTTGCGAAACCAGGAGGGATACGTGTAACGCTGATCATCGTTGCCAAATATAAGCACGTGACTTTGACTTGAGTTCTTAATGGTCGGTCCAAGATAATCGCTTAGCCAAATGGCCTATTAAGGATCACATATTATCTTTACGTATATTCGCTAACTATGCAATAAAATGTCTACCTGCTGCCAAGGCGTCCATCCCATGCTCATAAAGTGTACGAAAAAGAAACCAATGACACCGTTTAACGGCTCATTGCCGGTGGATATGGCCCAGACGGACATATTTTTAGACTGCATCAGTTCGAGAAATCTGCAAAAAAGATAGTGCCCATTAATTTACATACATATATAAAAATAGCAATAGGCTGTTAAATGCACCCACTTCAAATGATACTCTGCCCAGGTCTGATAGTATTCTGATTTTAGTTGACCGAATCCCGTCCATCTATCGTTGCTCTTCATCCAAGTGGGCGCACTCCAAGCCGCGGCCATTATTTTAAGGTCATTTAAACGACCAACTGATTTCAGACGTTTCAGCTGTTCAATTTTTTGCAGATCTCTGCTATCCAGTGTGGTAAAGTTGCTTAATGAGTGATCATTGCGGGGCAGTTCGTTGTAGGCCCATGGCTGTAGATCAAAGTCGGAGCCGCCAATCGACATGCGTACCGAGTTGTAGCCGATACCATCTTGGTGAAAATAGGATCTATACATGATGTGGAATATAATAAGCAACTGCAAGACTGCATTTACACACACTCACCTATAGATATGATCCTGTAGATCAGTCGGCAGTTGTTGTATAATATGCGAAACGCTGCCCGTAAAAGCACCTCCAAAGTTTGTTATCTTCTGAAAGCGCTGCTCGCGCTTTACCGTTAGCTGCACCGTCTTAATGCTGACATTGAAAGCTATGCAGTGTTGTAAAAGTAAAGGTAAAGTAAAAGTGCCAAGTGTTCAAAAGTTGCTTATGCAGCTAATTACCAAATCGCTGAGGAATATTTGCAAGCTGCAGCCAGGCTTTGTTCTGCTCTACAACAATTGAATCGGCTACAAAGTTTTCATCAACCGACTGATAATCCTGCACTTCGAATACCTTGTCCAGAAAGCTGCCATCGAATCTCTTAAAACGCAAGCCGCTCTATAAACATAAACATATATATGTATATGTTATTGGTTTACATCCGCCTTTGTTAAAAAGTATTCGCACCCACCTTGCTCGAGCTAATCGCCACAATATGAACGTTATCGTTCAGTTCGGGCTGTTCCAGGTAATCGCAATAGCTGCTGTTGCAGACGCAAACACTGCCGTAGTTTGTTTCCCTTAGCTGGCAGGGTGTTGATAAGGCAGCTGCAGCAAAAGAATGCATTGCTAGCCATGTATGTATGTGATCAGGGGGAAAAAATTTACTTACCCCCTCGCATTGCCCAGAAGGCTGATGTGAACAGCAGGCAAAGGCAAAACGCTTTCATTTTTGACCAACTTAAAAACTGCAACGAAACGCGCGCTTCGAATGCGTTCGCCCAACTGAGCCCAGACCAAGCCAGCCAGGCCAGAAAAGAGAGCTGAGCTGTGGCATCGTTTGCGACAGAGGCGACCGCGTTTCTCTAATCAACCTTAAACGAATTTTGCTCATGCATACACACATACATACATATATATATGTATATGTTTCTTGAGAGCTCATTTTGCTTGTTGTTTATGTTGTGTTTGGCATCTGACCTGCGCCAGCTGTTGATTTGATAAAGCAGCCGGCAGCGAAAATCGACAATTGCCGATCGCCGATCGTCGGCGATTGCGCACTTGAAATACGTCTCACATTTGATGTGGCAATCAAAAGTAAAAGTTATGCAAACGGTAGCAAAAGCGCCTCTCTTCACTCATTTATTACTCTTTATTTAAAGTGAAATGAGCTTTAACCTTCCCTTCTCACTCTCTCTCTCTCTCTCTTTTTAAAACTGCGAGTGTGCTCGAATCACATATACCCTGACATAAGGCCTGAAGTGTATAGTTTTTACTTAAGTGTTTTTCTCATGCTATAAATTATTGATTGCTGGCGCTGTCAAAATATCTCAAATTGTAGTAGCGTTTTGACTGCGTACATCGGACCATGGTAGATGTGATGTTTTCATGTCAATATAAATGTGTGTACAACAGACGCAATCTGTTCTCCAAAGTGTTTTGCTTTATGAGTTTGAATTTGGATTGTCCGTTTAGAATTGTGTAGCATATTTCGTGCTGCGCAGCTCCTCAGCCAGGTTAGGCTGCTGTGCTATAATCGTTGTCAATGTGCTGTTCATCGTACTGGGGAATGTCAATTAATAAGTCCATTCCGTATAATAGTTACCAGATAACATACAAATACTATGCTTTATATATTATTATTATGAATTTATTAAATCAAAGATTTATTCATAATTATTTTTATATTTATATTTGGAATTTAGTTATAGTACAGTGTATGTATGGACTTTGCCGGCACGTTGACTTTTAGTTCGCCGCGTATGGTGTCAACTATGGTAATGTCCAGATCGGCACGACCACTATTGAAGAGCACGGCAACAATCTTGTTGTCGGGTCGAATGAAGGCAATGCAGTCGAGGTTGATATTGCTGGCCACTGCCTCGATGTGAACGGAGCCTTCAGGCACCAGCTTGGAGAAATGGCCCATTACGTAAAACATGGGCTGTTTGTAGAACTCAGTGTAGGCTGTCGAAAGGTGTGTAAATTAAAAAGGTGCACTGAGGTAGTCTTTTTCACTGCTTACTTATTGTGTCGGCAATAACTGGAGCATCCACAAAATTATCGACATAGTTGGGTCCACCTTCCTCATCCAGTATGATGTTCCAGTCGATCCAGCCATGGAAACCGTCCTGCAGATGGGACATCATTGAACGTGCCATCTTTTCTCCTCGTTCCCAGCTGCCCAGCAATGGAGCTGCTTTTTGCCAGGGCTTGTCACCGATGCAGGATTCAGAGATGATTTGGATTTTATTCTCCATATACTTGTTAGTTTTATGAATAAAACTGTTACCAAATATTTCATCCCAATACCAGTGCAAGGCAACACCGTCAATATAGTCCACCGAATTGGGGCGTGTGCGATTCATCTGCAAAATGGATTAGATTATGCTATAGCGTGATTGAACTTTGAAATCGAAACTTTATCGGTTTTTATTGCCGTCTTACCATTTTGAACCAAAGCGGACTGGTGAAACGCTGATCATCGTTGCCGAATATAATGATATCCTTGTGCTTTGAATTGCGAATTGTGGGTCCGAGATAATCATTCAACCAAACAGCCTGCATTTGTGGTGTCCAGCCGAGGCTCATAAATTTGACGAAAAACATGAAAAATATTCCGTTCAACGGCTCGTTTCCAGTGGAAATGGCCCAGATGGGCAGACCATTGCTCTCCATCAGATCCAGCCACTTAAGATGGTAGTTAGCCCAGGTCTGATAATACTCTCGCTTCAGTTGTCCGAAGCCGGTCCATTCATTGTTTGTTTTCATCCATTTCGGTGGACTCCACGCTGCTCCCTTTATACGGAGATTTGTTTCGCCAGACACTTCTTTCATGCGCTTGATCTGCCCAACACGTAAAACATCACGTTCATGCAGCTTGTCCATGCCGGTCAGAACAACTTCATTTTGGGGTTCCTCGTTGTAGGCCCACGGATTTAAATCAAAATCACAACCTCCAATCGAAATACGCAATAAATTGAAACCCAGACCGTCGGCGGCATAATATGACTTGTAGAGATGATCTTGAATATCCTGTTCCTTGAAGTTATTCAACAAGTAGGACACAGCTCCTGTGAAGCTACCTCCAAATCCTTCAATTTTCTGAAATCGCTTACTACGATCCAACTTCAGCGTTACGGATCGCGTGATGCTGCTAGCCGGAGTGGCAGACTGCGAGAAAATACTGTCAATAGCCTGATCCCACAACTTTGACAGAATCGTGTCATTGCTGGCTGCGAATTTGGAAGCAGGCTCCACATAGTCCTCTATGGCATACGTATCTTTGGATCCAAAACTACCCGTGTTCAATTCAAAGCGTAATCCCTGTTTGCTGCTGGAAATGATGGCAAAGTCATCATCCTTGCTCAGCGTGGGATTGTCCAGATAGTCGCAGTAATCCGCCGTGCAAACACATACCTTTCCATACTTTACGTCCTTCAACTTGCAGGGAACTGTCTTAGCCTGGCCACCTGCGAGCGCATTCCAATCAAAAGGTGTTCTTTTTGATAATTTAATGGGCGTGACACTTACCGATAATGGCTATCAGCAGCACGAATGCTCCAAGAAGCCCGATACTTTTGCGCTTGAGCATAGTTCGACCATTCGCTTGGCAGGTGGCGCGAAAACTAAATCATTAAAAGCAAATATGTTGAAAGCATTATCCGTATAGACGTAATCCTAATCTTAAGTGGTAAAGTGGCATTAAGAAGTTGTTTGCAGATAACGGCCTAGGTTGGTGTATATGCGGTTAGGAAAAGTATTAATCCAATATTATCAGGGACGTGTTCAAATTAATTTATATTGTTCAGCTGCAGAAAATTTAGATTTTGTTTATATATGAATTATAAATAATAATTTTAAATGTGCTTGTTTATTATTGATTGAATTGATTAATGTGTCTTCCACCTAAAAGCGAAACTAACCGATTGGGGTAACAATAATTTAGTGAAATCGCTTCTCTAATCTTATCTTAGCCATACTAAAATTAGTCAACTTTAGCTCATAAAGAAAGGAGATTATCAAATTCCAAGAAATAGAGAAGTTTAAATGCTCAAATACAAAATATTGAAACCATTTTTTTTTTGTAAATTTGGAGAGAGGAGGGAAAAATGTCTCACATAGACACTTTTTAAATGTCAACCGAATCAAATTATCAAAATGTGCTGTTTTACTTCGCTCCCAATTGACGCAAATCGTCACAAAATGTGTATTGTATTTTGAGCGGCCGTTTTCTCGATACTAAATTTAAACCGTTAAATGCTCAATGAAATGGAAAATGATTGGTAAGTCTGAAAAATCTATAGCATGCTTATCAGGGAGCAGGCATGGTCACAGGCCTTCGGCTTGTGTGAACTTTAAGCGCTCTTTGTGGGTGGTGGCAACATGTTGTCGCACAGAAGAAACAGGCGCAATAATAGTCTGGTAAATATCAACATGACACGCGGCGACAACATCAAACAGACCGTGTACGACGATAAGTTACTCTATATGACGATTTGGAAATTGATTTATATATAAATATATATATATATTTTATACATATTGAACAGTTTAGTACAAGAATTATTAATATATTAATATTTTAGTTTTTCAATTTAAGTTTGGTTATTTAAAAATGTATTTATGTGCTTGGCACTTACTTATTTATTTCAACCGGTAATAATAAATAAGAATAATAAAAAATCATATATATTATTTGGATATATTGTTGTGTTTGTTGAAGGCTTTCGATGCATTCTCCATCCTTTAATATAATTACGCAACTATTCTTAAACAGTGTGTAATTAAAAGAAAATTCTTATGATGATTAAAGTTAGTGTTGGAGTAGTGCATATGCTCTGCACTTGCAGCCAACATGTTTAAATTCAGATGAATTACTTTGCGCTCGCTGTGTGCTCGTTTAACTGGGACTCGTTTGTGTGTTCGTTCGGTTCGCTCGGTTCGCACGCTGTCAGTAAAATCATGCGGCTGCTTGTTGCAGCCTTTCAATAGCCACATATACGTTGACGAGGCAGCAACACCACCTGTTGGCTGAAAGCACAAACGTTCTTCTTAACAATACGGGTTCAGTTTGATAGTGTGTGCGTTTGTGTGCGTGATTGTATTTGTGAGTTTGCAAGTTTCTGTAGCATATTTTGTGGCGCGCCTCTTCTTGGCCATATGGCTGTGAAACAACCAAAGGCCTTGGTGCGTGGCTGTGTCCTACTGGCAGATTTTCAATAAGCTGCTCGTCATGTCGGAGAAATCAACTAGTGGCCAGGCTGCGGCCAAGCTAAATGTATCCGGCAGACGCAGCTCGACACCGCCGTCCAATAGCATTGAGAATCGTTGTATTATCGCTGTGATTGTGTACATAGCTCTGCTGCTCGACAATGTGCTGCTGACCGTGATAGGTAATGCCAATTAATATATGACTGGATAACAGATAAAACAGCTAACGTCATACATATGTATACATATGTCACTAATTTCAGTACCAATTTTACCCGACTATTTGGCTAGCCTGGAAAGGCAATCAGATGTTGGCTATCGATTGGAGGAAGGAACACCTTCGACGCCTCATCATCTGTCGTATCGTAACGAGGAGCAGTCACAAATCTATATGACCAAGCATCCAATACCCGGTAAATCGATGGTTAATTTCACGTTGCTACAGCTCCTGACGACGACGACGACGACGACATCGACAACGTTGCCCACCAATATGCTGGCGACCGATCACTTGAGCGGCACTAATGCGACCGTCGCCACAAAGGTCGATAGCCAAACCAATACAAACAGCGACAACAGTTACAACAATAGCAACAACAGCCTGGGACTGGCGCGCGAAAATGGCTCGATTGGACTGCTGTTGGCCATGAAAGCGATGGTTCAATTGATTTTCAATCCCATTGTTGGCAATATGTCAAGCAAGTGTGGCTACAGACTGCCCATTGTTGTGGGCACCTGCTTCCTTCTGCTTTCGTCACTCGGTAAACTACACCACGTGGCTAAAAATAGCATATTCATTTTTTTGTTGTTCTTTTCACAGTGTTCGCTATGGGTGAATCCTACTGGACGCTATTGCTGGCTCGGGCCATACAGGGCGTAGGCTCCGCTTGTATTGGTGTGTGCGGAATGAGCCTGGTGGCCCAACACTATCCGGAGGAGGCACGTCGGTCCAAGGTCATGGGCATCATACTTGGAAGCATTGCATTGGGTGTGCTGCTTGGCTATCCTTTTGGTGGCATTCTCTACGATATGGTTGGCAAATCGGCACCATTTATAATACTCTCAACGGTCATATTTCTCAGTCTGGGTCTACAGCTACTCACCATGGATCTGTCCGTGCAGCCAGAAGTCTTAGTAGTGGAACACCAGACCAAATGGGGCACGCTCCTTGAATCCAAAATGATACTGTCCATTGTGGTTGCCATTTGGCTGTCCACATCCACAATGGCCATATTGGAGCCGTGTTTGCCCATCTGGTTGATACAGTACTTGCACCCAAATAAATGGCAATTGGGCACGGTTTTTATTCCGGACTCTGTGGGCTATTTTGTGGGCACAAACTTCTTTGGCAGCATTGCCTATCGTTATGGCCAGCTAAAAGTCTCATGCATCAGTCTACTTCTAGTTGGATTTGCCTCCATATTGGTTAGTAATCAATTGACTTTATTCTATATATTTGTGTAATAATATTAAAATGCAGATTCCCAGCGCCACAACTGTGGCTCAGTTACTGTTGCCCCATTTTGCCCTGGGCCTGGGCATTGGTGTAATTGATGCAGCTTTGGTGCCACTGTTGGCCAGTTGTGTGGATGCTACATTGGCGCAGGATGAAAACGGCGAAGCTAGCAGCTCAACTTCCAGCTATGGCACTGTCTATGCCATACAGCAGACCTCAGTTAGCCTGGCCTACTGCCTTGGTAAGACATCGAAGATCCTTTTGTCGAGATACATGTTAGCTTCTACCATTCTTCTTCTAACCGCCGACAGCTCCTTTGATTGGTGGTGAATTGGCTCAGAGCTTTGGCTTTGCTTGGCTCATGCGTATTGTGGGCATTTTCAACATGCTTTACGGCCCCATATTGGTTTATCTATACAACAAATATGATCCAAAGGTGAAGGTGCCTCAATTCACAACAAAAAATTATCATACTCACACTTTTCATTAACAGAGGCTGAGGGAGCATCAAAATAATTTGCTTATGCAATCCAGTGGACGTGGCTCCCGCTATAAGCAGCTCTACAACTCCATGGACTTGGAATAAACACTGCATTCAATCTAAATCTAAGCAATATATTTCATACACTAATCAAAACATCTTGAAATAGTAGCATTGCCATACCACCTAACTCATCCCTAAATGTTTTTTTTATTTACATTTACAAAATTACTTGGCCGTGACTTAAAATTCTCATTATCAGATTCTACACATATTTGAGAGTCCAATGAGCTCTCAATATGCTTTCGAAATTCGTTCGGCAAACAACTCAATAGAGTTTCAAAATTAATCGTATTAATTTTTCTAATATTGCAATAAACTAGAATAGGAACATGGCGCGTAGACCTTTAGGTAAGTGCATCATGATTCCCGTAGGGATACTACTTACGTAATTATTTAAATTAATTATGCAGGCCCTGGTCCCGGCGCTTACGGTTTGCCCACAACCGTTGGCTATGAGAAGCACGATAATCGTAAGCAGCGTATGCCTCAATACTCCTTCGGGGCCCGCACGAACATGCTGGGTGCTGAACCTGGACCAGGACCAGGCGCCTATCAGGTAGACAAGTTAACGCGCTATGGCAAGGGTGGCGGCTTACAATACTCTATAGCCCCCATGACAAAGATTATAGGTATGTTTTTATCTGATAGTTGTGGCTTTGGCTCAATTCTCGTTTGATTCGATTGCAGACAAAAGAGTTGGTCCTGGTCCGGGAGCACATGATGTTCATATCAAGCCATTCTTCAAGGGAGTTGATGCACCAGCTTTCTCAATGGCACCACGTAATGATTATAGTTTCAAGAAGTATGGACCCGGCCCAAGTGCTTACAAGTTCGAGATCCAGCCCATAAGACCAAAGGCACCAGCCTACAGCATGTGGGTATTGCTCATATCCCATTTCTCGGGCTTAAAATTGATATATTTTTCTATCAGGGGTATGCAAACCAAGCAAAATCGCAAAGGAGACTCGCCAGGACCGGCGGCTTATGCTGCCGGCGATCTGAATCTCAAGCTAAATCGAGCACCTCAGTACTCAATGAGGCCAATTTGTAATGTACGAAGACAAACCGTTGGTCCTGGTCCTAACTATTATGATTTGATGTATTATCGTCCTGGCAAGACTGGACACGCCTACTCATTCGGCACGCGCCATTCGCCATATGCTCCACCCATGGTGGTCAGATGTGATAACATGTAGTGTTGCAATATTAGAGAAAATTATGTAATCGCGATATAAAGTAGTAATTAAAATGTATAGTGCAAATTTGAAATCTAAAACTGTTTGTCTTGAGATTTGCGGGCAATAATTATGCATCTTATAAATGAAAATTAGCTGATTATCTTCGCTAATATCGTCAAAAAATTGATGTAATTTATATTGCTAACAATGACAGAAGTAAAATATTCTCTAGCTAGTCTACTAATCAAAACAGTTAAATGTGTAAAGAGCTAATAATAAAATTATTAAAACACTGTACCATAAATATTCTTCATTGGCTTAGACTAAACTAAATCAAGTGCATCAATTCGACTTTGCATCGGTGAGGATGATATGCATAATTCAACCATGTATTCTGTAGACTGTAATGAAATCACAGATGTATAATTAGCATTGGTATATACTGGATTCTGCTGAGATAGTGTAATGCTAAAATGGCATTCGAATTTTGGGTTGCTCAATGAATCAATAAATCAATAAAGGTTGCCAAGATAACACATTAATATTTTGAAATTCCGCACTTATTATTTAATAAATCAAAGTATGTCGTGCTTCGAAGTACATTAGTTGTTGATGATTTAATTGTCAAATATGTATTTTGTATCTAAGCATACACTTTCGTGAAAAATTTTCGTGAATGCAATAAATGCCAGGGAAATTTGTAAATACGTGCAGTTTAACTACATTCTTGCACAAAGTGCATTTGTATTTTAAATACGAGTAAGTATTACTTCACCATTATTTCTCTTCTATTAGATAAGTTGGCAGTTTCAAGTTATTATTTAAAATGCTAGTTATCTTCGAGGTAAAACTATATGGACGCTATTATAATGAAACTTAGAAATTAATGCATTCTGACAGATGTGAAAACAAAATCTGTAAATGTTGAATAATCAACATATTTAGCGCTGATATTGATATAAATTGATATGTACTTATTTATTTAATTTAATAATATTTATGCAGGTGTAATTCAATTTTATTCAATTTAAAATTTAGGTTTTAAATCTATCTCAGCGCTTGTTCTTAAGCCATAATTAAAATACATATTTTTCGGCAATCATCTCTTGAAATTTTGAATGAGCGAAAACCCAGAAACTGCTCTTCAAATTAAATTTTGCGCGGGCTGTTAATAACAGTACAGCCAACTGTTAAGTTCTACAGCTGTACGATAAAAAATAAACTCTGTGCCCAACTTAACTAGTTTTCAGATGTTGCTGCTATATTTTAGTTTTTGTGTTTTAATAAGTTGGCAAACTAATAATTTCGTTGAGTCGTAAAGTGTAGTTGAAGATTGCTGCTTTTCATAAGGCAGCATAGGAAGTAACTATAAAATTTGCTAGGCATCTCTCTCGTTAATCGGTTGTAAATAAATTTAATTGTTTTGTGTAAGTGCAACTCCACATACACGCATATATATTTGTATGTATATATAGATATATATATATGTTTATGTGACTGCACAATTATTTTGCCGAAGAGCGGCACATGTTAGTGGAGTGGAGCACAGATTTAGAAATAGAAAAACTATATAGGAACTAAATCAACTGAATAACTGAGTACGCGTACACTCCTCCCAGGATTAGCAATCTGTTAATTTTATATTCTAATGCACACAGTTCACAATTGGTAATATGTTGAGTCAAGTCGCGGGTGCTGCCAATGACGGCGGCACCCCTTCGGAGGCTGCTGCAACTCCTCAAACCGTTGCAGATCCAAAGGTAGTTGCGTCAACACCGCCAGCAGCAGCAGTAGCAGCAGCAGCCGAAAAAGCGAGCAGTCCCACTGGTAATCGTAGAACTGGTGGCGGTGCATCAGTATCTAGAAGTTCGGACAACCGCGAATTGCAGTTCTTCTTTGAGGACGAAATATTTCGAATCGATCACAAGGGCCGTGTTCGATTTGGTGTCGTCACTGGGACGGCCGAGTGTTACTCCTCGGACGATGAGGAGGAGGAGGTAACCGAGGTGCTCGGCAAGGGTGAGGTTCGTGTCGCCTTTTATCCGGATGCCAAGGAGGTTGTGAGGACAGAAAAATCGGTGAGTACGTTGAGGTTATGTAATTGACAGTGCTTAACTTTACTTTACCTACGCACATGAGTTTCTAAATGTGTATGTATTTGCGTATGTATACGTGTCAATGTAGTTAACGGTAAATAACAGTTGGTTGTGTTTAGACAACTGTTTCTGGTATTTTCGACACACACGTGGTGTTTGTCTTCTATTGTTTTTGCGATCAAATTCGTTCTCGAATTCTAATTCACATTTTTTTTTAGATTGGCCTTGTCGACCGCACCCTGATGCCAGGCGATGTGGTGCGACGTCGCCTTCCCGGCCAGAAGCACATGTCCGGCCAGGCTGGCTATGTGCGCGATGTTAACGTCCGTGCCGATGTCAAGGTGTTGGGCACCAAGCACGTTATCCGAAATGTGCCATCGGAGCGCATGAAACCGATATCCGAGTGGGCGTGTGATGTGCCCGTATGCCTGGGCAATTGGATTGGCTACACCATCGGCGTGGAAGAGTCTGCCGTTCTAAAGTGAGTAAGACGTCGGGTGTGGGTATAGTCAGCAATTAATTGTCGTTTATCTTTGGTAGATCGAATCATGGCACTCTTCTCGAAATCACATCAAATGATTATCACAAGTTCAAGGATGCTGGTGGCGTGGTTGACGGTGATGTGTTCACTCCAAGTGTTTACTATCCAAACAATTTGGTTATTGGTCGCTTGCCGCCTTTGAATCGCGTCACCAATCTAACACCGGACCTACCTTTGCCGACTAATCGCAAGCGATACTCTTTGGTTAGTACACATCTTTTCTACCAATTTATTCATATTCAGTAAAATACGCAGAATTTATTCGTTTTCCATATAAATTGGTCTTACTTGTTTTAATGCAATTTGCGTTAATTTTTAGTACACTGTGCAGTCTGTTAAGACTACTTCTATAACCGTGGCTTGGACTTTCAAAGCGACACCGCAATTCGACAGTGGCAGTGACTTGGATCCGCTCAAGCAACCGAAGAGCTGTATTAAGGGCGATGATTTGGCCAACGTTAAACGCCTGAACATATACGAATCTTATATGCTGCAAATTCACGATCGATTCTACCTCAAATATTCGCAATGTGATAAACTTATAAAATATTCCGACTGGGAGCAGGAGCAGGGTAAGTTAACTTAACGATTCATGTTTTCTCGACACCATTTCTAGCTACAGTGTCTCGCAGTTCAACTGGAACAGCGCCTAGCAAAAAATTTAAAGTGCTATAAGGTTTAAACAAAAAAACTAACTCAAAATGTTTAAATACCAATTTGTTTTATGTTATATCACGTTTGAAAAGGAAACTTCAGTTTTTATTAAAATATTAATTAATTAACTGAAATTAGTCAAAAACTGAAAACATATCCAAAATACATGTCAAAGTTTTTTTGGAACAGTCTTAGAAAAGTAACATATTAGGCGTATAAAAACTTAAATAAGGATGTTAATACTTAGTATGATATCCTTTAGCCCTAATAAAGTCCCCTAACCTATTATTCATGGAAGATACCAGCTTCCGGGTCGTTTCTGGACTGATTTTGCTCCACTCATCCAGCAGAGCATTTTTGAGATCGGATCTGTGATTCCTGATGTTATTTTCCAGCAGAGCCCACAAATTTTAAATAACATTTAAATCTGGAGACTGGGCCTGTGGAATTATCGTGTGGGGGCAGTTCCAGATATGCCAGGACTGTACTAATCCGGACTTATGCTTGGCTTTTGTCCTGGTCGTTGTCGTGGTAGAACCGGAAAGTACGTCGGATTCCTAGCTTCTTGGCACTTTGGAGTAAATTTTCCTTTAATATATTGAAATACACACTCTTGTCCATTGTTGTTTCAAAAAACACCAAATTCCCGACGCCGGCTGCCGAGATACATGCCCATACCATGACACTTCCTCCGTCGTGCTTGACTGTTGCCTTTAGGATTTTGGAACTCAGCTCAGTATTGGACTGTCGCCACACATAATTTTGTCCGTCTGAGCCAAAAATGTTGAATTTGGGCTCATCTTCAAATATGAATTTGTTCCAGAACTCCAAATCCTTGTCCAAGTGGGTTTTGACGAATGCCATCCTAGTCCCTTTATTTTTGGCGCTTATAAAGGGCTTATTCCGTGGTACTTGGGCATTAAAGTCATGGTTGCGCAGAACCCGGCGCACAGATTCCACACTGCACTTTTGCCCCATTTCGTCCTCCATCTGTGGAGTCAGTTTTGGAGCCGATAGCTTGGCATTTTCCCTTATTTTCCTGATGATCCTCCGCTCCTCCTGTTCGGTGAAAATCTTGTTTTGTGCCTTTCTGCCCTTGTCCTCTATCCGATTTTCGCCGACGAAGCGCCGAATGATATTGAATACAGTTGTGGTGCTTAGATTTACCATTTTAGCTATTTGGCGATATGAATATCCAATCCTGAAGTGTTCCAGGATCAGTTTCCGTTGTTCAATGGTAGTCCGCTTGCACATAGTCCTTGTTGGCTGGTTGCACTCGAGATGCAGGATATAACTAATCTGACTACGAAGGATTGGTCTATTTATACCAAAAATAATCAACCTGACGTAAAAAATCAGGGTTTTATGGCACCCAGGTGTCCATAACGCCATTGTTCCACATAATATGTGACCACAAATTAAGGTACTTTTTTACATAACCCGACCTAGCCGGTGGGAAAACCCCAGTTTATGGGGGTCATATAGTCATTTAGGTAGTCAATATATGTACCTGCCATCGGTCTTTGGAATTTTTGAAAAATATTGAATAATTTGCTTATGGCAGGCAATTAACTTTGTTGCTAGGCGCTGTTCCAGTTGAACTGCGAGACACTGTAAATATGCTAAATATTGCGTAGCTAAATCGACACATCAATCTTAATGAATAATTTGTGGTCTTCTTATGCAGCTAAACTATTTAAAATCATCTACGAACGCCAAAAGAGCGAGGAGAACAAGAAGTGCGAGCAACCGAAGCAAAATTTAAGTAGGGGTGGTATTGAGACACCGTCGCCATCGGGGCCATCTAGCTCTCGAAATGTTCATATGTATAAGATGCGGCGACACAGTGGTAAGTCCAGCAATCAGCGTCTAAATCGCTCGCTGGGCGAGAGCGATGCAAGTAATGTGACCGTTAAGGTGTGCGCCGCGAAAAACGCAAATGAATCCTGGGAGCCTGTGAACGACGACGCCGACGAGGAAACATCACAGGAAGCTCAGGAAGCAGCTGGAGCGTCTGAATTGGCTGTCTCTACAACAGAGAAAAAAGTTGTGAAGAGCCCCATAAACTCTTTTGCTTCCCACTCACGTAATTTTAATCGCCGATTGGGAAAGAAAAAGGGCATTCCCTGCAAAAAAGGAGCGTTATTACGAAAGCAAAGTAATCCAAAAGATGGCGATACGATGGTAGTAGAAACTTTGGTTGTTTATAGCTCACTGACGGTTGTGTGGCAGGATGGATCTGTGGAGGCCGGTATCCCATCGACCGAACTCTATCCGATACACCATTTGGACAATCATGAGTTCTTTCCTGGTGATTTTGTGAGCAAGGCCAATGATTATAGCCCATCACAGATGGATTACGGAGTCATACAGTCCGTGGATCACGATGAACGCATTGCCAAAGTCAAGTGGTTCAACATCTATGGCAATATGAATCATCCCGTGTAAGTATATGAAAATCACATTTAACGCATAGATTTTACATAAAGTACATTTTGAACAGTCCTTCGTGCAAGGAAGTGGAGGAGCTCAGCGTATACGATTTGAAAGATCATGCAGACTACCAGTACCGACCGGGCACCCTGGTCATTAGAGTGTCAAATTTTACTGGAGAGGATATTCATTCTACTGCTGGCCAAGTAATTGATAATTTCCCCGATGGGCGGGTTCGAGTTTGGTGGACGAAGGGCCACATTACCATGTGTTATCCGCAAGACCTTTTTGAGATCCATCAGAGCGATACACAGGATCCATACGAGTCGGATGACTCAGAGAATTCGTGGGAAACCCAGTCCGAAAACAGTCAAACAATGGATAAAAGCTTCAGCGTCGTATCGATGGATGCCGAGCAGTACATTATTTTGGGCATCGATCGCGCCAAGGAAGCCATTCAGCGTCTGGAAAAGGTGTTTTATGTGCTGCCTGAACAGCGCAAGTTTGATGTTCTTAAAGATCTGCTGGCTGTGTACAACAATTGCCATTGCTTAGATCGTTTCCTCAATACGTCTTATTTTCACGAAGATTACTTTAACGGCATTCTGCGCCGCAAAACTCCAACTGAATCTGTTTCGTCCAGTGGACAACAAACTGCTGTGGATGCTCCTCCAGCCGCTGTCGAGGTACACCTCCTCGTGGGCTCTTGCTCGCCAATCGGTTGCACCGGACTTAAACTAGAGTTGCCAGTCAGCGGACAAATCACATCGACATCAACGCCAAATAAACGAAAGTCGTCAACGCATGTTGACGAAGTACAGTGTAAAAAGTATAGCAGCAGCGAAAGGATAAACGTTGATGATCCAGCCGAGCAAGCCGCGCTCCTGGACAACGTCGTACTCTCCAAGAGCGAGACCGAACTAAGCTACAGCGATCTGGTTAGCAAATATCGCAGTGAGTATGCGGATATGATCAGAGCGGCACGCGTTAGCATTGCAATGGCCTTCGATAAGTGCAAGAATACTAAGGTAAGCATGACATCATACAATTTATAGATATAAGTATTTCAGTCATTTTAGATTAATTAATATTATAATTCTATTCACAGAACGACTCTGGTGTTCATTCACGGGGCGAAAATAGCTCCGACGACTTCAAGGACACTGACAGTAATTTTATAAAATTCTCGGTCACCGATGTTGAGTTAGTGCCGAATCTTGATGGGGATGTCTGCGAAGTTTTCTGTTTCCTTCTGAAAGAGCGCATGGAAAAATGTCGAGAGGGAATTATGGAGACATTTGCCAAGAACAAAATTGATGGCAAAGATGTGGATGAGGAACATATTAGCGATGTGGATGTAAATGTGAATGCATTTGAGGATAAAGATATATCAGATCAGGATATGCCGCCCGCATATAACAAAGATCCGGATCCGGTTATGGACGAAAGCTTGAATCTCAATGCACTTTCTGAATCACTGCCACCGCTGGAAAATCCAACGGCTTGCTTATCACCTCCAGTGAATAAAGTTAACACAGAGAGCAATAGCTGCTTTGAGGTGGTACCCAATGCAACAAAGTCTCATCATTTCATTGGAAACATTATACATCCAAACAACAAGGCGCAATATCAGCGCGCAATTCAACGCGAATATACTATGCTGTATGCATCTCTGCCTCCCGGCGTTACTGTGCGTGCCTATGAGGATCGCATGGACCTCATATCCGTCATGATGGTCGGTCCCAAGCGTACGCCATACGAAAACGCCCTATTTTTCTTTGACTTTCAAATGGGTAGCGATTATCCAAAGAGTCCGCCCAAATGTCATTACATTAGCTATTGTACAGAGCGTCTCAATCCGAATCTGTATGAGGAGGGCAAAGTATGTGTTTCGCTGCTGGGCACTTGGACAGGACGGGATACTGAGGTGTGGTCGCCACATAGTACAATGCTGCAGGTGTTGGTCTCTATACAGGGACTCATACTGGTCGATGAGCCCTACTTCAATGAGGCCGGATATGAGAAGCAACGCGGTAGGTTATATAGCAAAGAATTAATTAAATTAGGATTTAATGATATCAATGTACTTATATATTTACCCCTAGGCACTCAGCTGGGCAACGAGAACTCGCGCGTCTATAACGAAATGGCAATTATAAAAATGGCCCATTCAACTGTAAAGCAGCTACAGAATCCCCCACAAATCTTTCGTAAGGAATTAATTGAGCACTTTAAGGAATTTGGTGGCGAATTACTTGGGCGCATGCAGGCTTGGTCCGAATACTCTGCCCATGCTCAAAGTCTAAAAATAACTAGCATTAACGGTTAGTTCTATATTTGTCTCATACATTTGAGATATCATGTATAAGAGTGTGTTGTTGTTCTTTATAGACATGCCGAAGGACTATAAGACACCATGTGAGATGCCAGAGTTTCCACTTTTGCCCTGCAGTCGCGGCTTTTGCATTGCTGTCAAGGGTGTTTTGGCGACGTTGCAGAACGAGCTAAGTGCCCTCGAGAGGAAAGACGAAAATAATCTAGATACTGTTGTTCCCGTTCCGGTTGTGGCCACAGCACCGCGTGCTGCACCTGAGGATGTATGATTGATACGAATGATTGCATTGCTCAATGTTTGTCAGCTTTGCCTTTGATGTGGTGCCTATTATAAAACACAAGACTATCGCCGCCTGCTCTTGGGATTGATTCACTAACAGGGTCAATTTATATTATGTATTTAAGTAATCACAGCTCGAATATTTGCTACCATAATTACTAGGCTTATCGACCGACTAACAAACTTAAAAATCAATCAACCAAAAAAAAAAAAAGAATATGTTTTCCCAAAATTTGCCGCATACATTTGTATCATATTTTTATTTACTTAGTCCCAATTTTGTTTTATGTTAACTCTAGCTCATGTTTATACTACAAAAAAAATGTTGTCCATCAAATGTGTCGTGTGTCTGAATTAATTAATCAAATTGCCAGCGTTATTATTTGTTTTGTGAATAATCACATTTTTCGTGAGCTGGGCACATGTATATGTACATTTTTGTAAATTGGCGAGAGGCCTACGAAGATATTTGCTCGCACGAACTTATTTAGTTTTATTGTATTTATTATAATGCGCTAGTCTAATGGCGATGAGCCACATTCAGCTGGGAGCCTTTGCATTCCACACATAAACACACTAATGTTATGTAGTAAATTGAGACAATTGGTCACAATGCTTCTTTCTCTCGATAAACTAGAAAATGCAAGTTATAATAAATTATCAATTTTATTTATCAAAGTTATACATCAGATTATGCTTTCAGTTTCGTCTCCACCCAATCAATGTAGTTGCCGACTCGCGTGTAGACACCAGGCCATCCTTGCAGGCCGCACGGCGTTGGGCCATATGAGACGACACCGGTCACAAAGAAAACTTGCTGCTCGCCCACATCGCTTTTTATCATTAGTGGGCCTCCGGAATCACCTTGGCAGGTATCAATGTTGACTTTGCCGCCGGAGCATAGCTGCGAGCCACTTATATGTCTCTGATAGGAACGATATTTGTTCTGGCATTCCTTAAGGGCCCACACATCCACGGTGATTTTTTTCTTACGAGAACTAGGCGTGCCATCCTCGGTGACACCCCAGCCCGCCACTTCCATGGCAAAGCCCTCATAATTCTTATTGCGCACATCTTCGGCAACTGGCAAACAAATGGGCAACACACTTTCTGTATAGCTGACCGTTTCCTTGAGTCGCAGTAGCGCAATGTCGTTCAACTGATCAATTGAATTTGGCACATATTGTTCATGCATAATCTGGTCCTCCACCTCAATGTCAAGGTGCATGGGTGCGCAAGTGCGCTTCTTATTAGTCAGCACTTCGCAGTCGGGTGAGGTGGTTGTGTCCCATTCGCCCAGACGCACTCTGTGCATCTTCCAGTTACCCATATCCAGCTTTGTGCTTTTCAAGCAGTGTCCGGCAGTCAGCACGTAGCGCGAATTGATCAATGTGCCGCCGCAGAGGAAGCCCATCTCATTTCGGGCTGTCAGTTTTAGAATCGAAATCATCCAGATGATGACAAATTTGCAAAAATTATAACTTTGCTAAACACTTACGGTTTGTGTACTGCACCAGTACCATCCATGGGAATTCGTAGAGTGATGTATTAAGGCCGCCTAAAATACGATTTTCAAACATTGTACCACAGGTGCCAATGCTTGGCAGAACGTTGCCCGGCTCCTCTCCAGAGCGACTTGCGGTTGGCGGCGATCCGGCAGGAGGGCTTATGGCCTGCATTGTGCGTTTGCTTTCGGGGCAGCAAACTAGAATGCGTTCGACCAAAGTCGTTTGACGCGTATTATCCAGCCCACATTGGCTATCGGAGAGCAGTTGACGCTGTTCGTCTGTTTGTTGCTCGACTTTGAGTATCTCGTCGAGAAATGGGCAGTTCCGTATGTGTATGCATAATCCAGGCTCCTTACTCTTCTTCACCTCACACTTGCCGTAACTAAATTGCGCAGCGGCGGCAGCTACAATTACAATTACAATTACAGCAACCGGTAAAACCAGTTGTAGACAATAGCATTAGCTCAGTCCCTGAACATTTCACCTGTAATGATAATGCAACAAGGAGTCGCTAAACTGCTTACCAGCAACCACTGATCCAAGCAAGATTAGTTGGGTCAACATGACGCGATAACGTCCGCAAGATTTGTGTGAATCAAACACTTTGAGCTTCACGTTGAGACTAAACTCGTTCTCGCATTTTAATAACCACTTAAACGTACAATAAATATATGCATTGAGAGATAGCCTCAGTCGACTGCGCGTTATCTCAACCAATATATTGGCTGCATGTCAGAGGTGATCGATTGTTAATCAGTGCCAGTCCGGTTTGGTACATTGTGCCACCCGGCGATCTAGTGCCCAACCATAAATGACATTTGCATAATTAAGAACACTATAGGTTTATTTCCAATCTGTCCTTTAATTGGCCAACTTAAAATCAATTGATTAGTACGAATGCCAAATACAGTAATGTTATTGTGATTTGGCATTGCTAACCGGTTTTTGTTTTTTTATATGATTAAATACGAGTTGGTGTAAATTGTTTGTCTGTGTGCTTGGGAACTGAAATCGAAATGAGACGCAATTGTTTAAATTTTATTGCTGTTGTTGGCATAGTTGTAGACCTGCTGGAAAGCTTCACCATCATCTCCCTCGCCATCGTCCGAATCATCGGAATCGAATGTGTTATCGGGTATATCGTACAAGCGTATAATCGGCTTGTTGGGATCCTTCATGATCAAGTATTTGCCATCCTTCTGCTTCATTACTAGGTCAATGATGCATCGCAAAATGCCCCAGGCGTTGTCCATGCTCAGATTGATCTGTGTGGCAAATTCGTGCGGCTTAAACTGCTGTGTGCCCAGGATGACGTGACGCGAATGATCACGGGGATTAATACGCGAAACGTAACCCAGCTTCAACTGATCGGAACCAGCGAGCACCGCCTGCACGGTCCACTTGGCCAGTTTGCAGGCATTATTTCGCAGCTCGTTGGCCAACACGGCGCCACGTTGTGTGTCCAGCTTTTGACGCCACTCAACACCATTGGCCAGTTTCGAGTCCCACTCGTTCAGTGCCTTGATGGACAAGAACTGGGGCTCTCCACTGGGCGTTTGTAGCACACCATCATGTTCGCAGCGCGCCACCAGAACCTGTCCAAGATTTTGATTACATATAATGTTTAGTACACTGATAGGCAAGAAGTGCTTACAATATCGCTGCCTAGCTCCCATTTCTTATAGCGATAGCCCACACTGGCCACCTGTATGTCCTCATCCTCGCTGATAAATGGGTTGGTTTCCTCAAACTTGTACTTCGCCTCTTGATCACCGGTCTTGAGCACCTGCTGGCTAAAGTTGTGATTTATGAATGTGGCCTCAATGGCCAGATTACGAGGCGAATTGCACGAGCTATCATCATCGGTTGGTGGCTCCACGCTCGACTCATTCACCGTCAGCAAATCGAATTCCGTATGATCGCGCTTGTCCATGAAGATCTTCTCACCTATCGAATACAAAAAATAGATGTATTAGTTTATTTGCAATTGTTTTTTTTAATATGTAATCGATGCCTTACCAACTTTTTCGATGACAATATCCCACGAGTAGTTGGAGCGTGTCGAGCACATAATGGTGGCCAGAATGGCATCCGTTGCGAACACATTGCCAACCGTCTTGGACAGACGACGTATGACCGGATCATCAGTGGTGGTCACCGTGTGCACAATGCGATCAATTTTCTGCAGCGGCTTCTCGTTCTTCACATTGATGCGATCGTACGTCTTATCGTAGTACTCCAGGGTGCCGCAAGTAGCAATGTCCTCGCCCTCCTTGATGTTTGGCAGCGACAGCTTGATGAGACGCGGAAAGTCCATCTCCTCAATGGACGCCCAGTCGGCGCGCACAGCAACCGAAGATTCGCGCATCTTGGGTGGCGGACCACGATGGCCGAATCGCTTGCCAACACCACGACGCGTATCGCGTGCCTTCACATTCTTGCTGTTCAGCGTGGTCATGCCATGACCATGCGTGTTGAGGCCACCCCGAGCATTGCGACCGCGTCCCGAACGCGAGTTGCGCATGTTGCGGAAGCGACCGCGTTGATGCGGTGGCTTTTGGACGCGCGCCGTGTCCACCAGATGAAACGTTGTCTCGTCCTCTTCATGGTAGTAGGCGTATTGATTGCCGGTACCAAAGGTAGAAGCATATTTGTCTGCAAACAAAAGGGATTATTCTCAAATTCAGCTGCCACGCGACGCACACAAACAAAACGCACCAAGCAGACATAACCTCACTTTGTGCATATGCGAAGAAATGTAATTGGTGTACTTAACTCACTTTGGTACTTCTTGTCGTTGTTCGAGGTGCTGGTCCAGTCGCATATCTTGCCGAGGCGATCGTTCTTGCTGAATGGCTGGTATGGCACATCCTTAAACGTATCCGGCAGCTCGCATGGTCCCCAGCCCTTTTCGTTGAACTGCACGGTCGGTTTCTCGAATGTCGGGAACTGCGCCCCAGTGTTAATAGTTTCGCTCATCTCACGCTCGTATCTTCTTGTTGATCTTCTTTTGATTAAAAATCGCAATTGAAGACTCCTATTAATGATTCTGCCAGTGTGGAAAGAAAAAAAACTGTGTGGCTGACTCGCGAATATGGTGCGAAGGAGAGAGAGAGAAAGCGACAGTCAGCGCGATAGTTCATAGAGATGTGCGATATTTATGAACCAGTAACTGTGACATATAAAAGTATTTTATCCATTTTATCGATAATGAAAAACTCCATATAAATAATACGGTGTTGAACGGGTTGCGAAATATTTCGTCCGGTTTGGAGACCGCAAAACTAAAATCCTCAATGTTAACTCACTGTTGACTTATGAGGATTCTGTGAACAGCTGTTCGACGGTGAACTTTGATACATTTTGACGGCAGTTATCGGCGAACCACCATAGACGCGACAAGTGCATCGAAGTGGAAATAATACATTTTGAATGAAAAGTGATTTTAATCTTCAAATAAAAAGTGTACTTACCAGCGCATATTAACTCATTACATGTTTACCTCTCAGCAGACATTAAACGAAATATAATTAAATTTTGCTAGCGAAACTTTTCGTCGATCTGTAAACTGTAAACCTTATTGAATATATTAATGTACAGTGTCTCAGACCTTATTTCGACCAGTGCCTAGCAAAAATTGTAATTGTCTGCCATAAACTAATTATACATTATTTTTCAAAAATTCCAAAGACAGATGGCAAGTACATGTATAAACCACCGAAATGAATGTATGACCACAATAAACTGGGATTTTTCCACCTGCTAGGTCGGGTTATGTAAAAAACTACCTCAATATGTGATCAAAGCTTATTTAGAACAGTTACATTATGGACACCTGCGTGCCATAAAACCCGGATTTTTTATGTAAGGTTGAATATTTTCGGAATAAATAGACCAATCCTTCAATGCCTGAGTACCACGGAAGTAGCCCTTTACAAGCGCAAAAAATAAAGAGACTCGGATGACGTTCGCAAACACCCACTTGGACAAGGACTTGGACTTGGAACACAGTCATATTTGCAGATGAGTCAAAATTCAACATTTTAGGCTCAGACGGACAGAATTATGGGTAGCGACAGTCCAGTTCAGTCCACTCAAATCCCAAAGACTTAAAGGCAACAGTCAAGCACGGCGGAGGAAGTGTCGCGGTATGGCACGTATCTCGGCAGCCAGCGTCGGAGACTTCGTGCTTATTGAAACAACAATGGACAAGAATGTGTACATCAATATATTAAAGGAATATGTACTCAAAAGTGCCGAGAAGTTAGGAATCCGACGTACTTTCCGGTTCTACCAGGACATCGACCCCAAGCATAAATCCGGAATTGTTCAGTCCTGGCTTATCTGGAATTGCTCCCACATGATAATACCACCAGCCCAGTCTCTAGATTTAAATGTTATTGAAATGTATGTTTGTATGCTTGTATTGGATATTATAAATAATAGTTCTTTTTTAAAGAAAACTTGAAAATGGAAAACCTTGCTTTTAGAAAGACAAAGTTCCGTTTTGGGAACATTCTTTACTCTTGGATCTTTTGACTACAGCACTTCTGTTTTAATTAATAATCAACTTAAAATAGAAAATATATACATTCAACAAAATAGAATTTCCCGCAATCGATCGATCGATTAGAGCGATTCTAGTCACACTGTAAAGTCTATTACCAAATGAATTGAACAGAAATAACTGTAATTTTCAATTTTTTGCTATCAGTTGTATCATTATCATTTAGCAAGTCAGCCCCTAAAAACGCTGACAATTCAGTTTTGTCAATCATTATAAATGCAGCTCGACTCAAGTGCCAATTCAACAGTCCCGTTAGAAATGTGGAAGGAACCGGAAATTAACGCGAACAATTGGCCCAGTGCTGACCAACTATCTGGATTGTGGGTGCACTTGATGGGAGAGCTAAGCATCAGGACCTTACTGTATTATCAGGCTGCAAAATGTCGATGCTGGATCGAACAATTATTGAGTGAGAATAACATGACCACCAGCACTTTGGTATTCGACAAGGACTCTGGTGCACCATATCTAAAATCGCAGCATAATGTGGAAATGCTGGGATTGATTTGTTTGGAAGCTGACGGATTTGAAATCGTACTGAGTACGCTGAGTGTTATGTTGAATCAGATGAGAGAGGTGCCTCTGCTGATTCAGATATGCACGAAGGATCTGACTCAACCAGAGATAGAGGGATTAGCTACGCAGATCTTAAGGCGTTGCCAGGAGCTCCTAATGCCGAATGTACTTCTGCTCTTGAGTGATTTCTTTATTACGAGTCATATTTATGGCTATCAATATTTTCCTGAATTTTGCCTAACATCGCAGGCTTATCGCTCTAATTTGACGCTGTACCCCACCCAATTGGATAATCTATATGGGCATGTTTTGAGGACTCAACCAGATCTGGCACAGCCGTACACATTTATGTACAGGGATGGAAAGGGAAAGCTGGTGATATCCGGTGTGGCCTGGCATTTAGTGAAGGAGTTTGCTCGCCAATTGAATGCATCGCTTCAGCTCAGCTTTGAGCCAACTGCAAGCAAATCCGTTGTAAAAAGCTATTATACAATAATACAGCATGCCCGTAATAGGACCATAGACATATCTAGCAGCTTTATTTCGCCCCACTACGATAGAAACCTTCAGTTATTCAGCTACCCAGTGTTTACGAGTAGCTGGTGTATCATGTTGCCATAGATCGTGTCGTGAGTCCTCGTGAAGCTATGATCGGAGTGTTGGAACCTCCCTTGATGTGGATATGCCTAGGTATTCTATATTTTTGTTTTCATTGGCTTCATGGACGACGTATACCTGGAAGACCGCTACTTATACTGATCCCTTTAATGATGAAGCTAACTGTGATTTGCTCGGTGGTTGCTCAACTTTCAGCGCTTTTAATTCACCCACAAAAGTTGCAATCGATTTCGAATTTAGAAGAGTTGAGCGTATCAGGCGTACAAATAATTGGATTACGCTCGGAATTCAATACGTATCCGGAGGATATGCGTATAAAGTATGCCTCGTCTTTTATATCGTTTGAGAACTATACATCTTTTATACTCCAGCGCGATAGTTTCAATGTCTCTTTTGGCTACACAGTTTTCTCCCTGAAATGGCGTATATATGCGGAATTGCAGAAATATTTCAAGCATCCTCTGTTTCGGTATGATAAAGATTTGTGTATTCGTCAATTATCATTGCAATCTCTTGCCTACCAAGAAAACTCCATCTACCGCCATGAACTAAACATATATATTCTAAGGCTACGCCAAAGCGGTGTTTTACTGTATTGGTATCATAACAGCTTATATGACATGATACGTGCTGGCTATTACAGCCTTAAGGATTTTAGTCAACTATTCGAGGCTAGATCGCTTACATGGAACGATTGCAATTTTATTGGGGTGCTCTACGCATACGCAATTGGCATATCACTGCTGGTATTTGTACTTGAGTTGTTAGTTTACTATATCAAAGTTTGCCTGTACCTGATTTAAGAATTTGTTATTAACAAAAAGTCTAAGATCTTAAATGCTGATGTTCTTGAATACTCTAAAATGAAAGAGCGATATAATATTTATCATTAATTTTAAGTATGTAATTCTGTGCACCATATTTTTAAAAGCATTTCATAATAAAATCGTTTGAAATATATATATATATCCATATGTATATATTTATCGAATTATATTTAAACTCTTTTTTATAACCTTAAGAAATTCATTTTGATATATATAACACATAGGAAAAACAAGAACAAACCTGGTTTTTAGAAAGGCACAACCTTTCGTTTCCGAAACATACCTTCTCAATAATAAGGTCCTCTTGGTACCAAAAATATTCAGGGCGATATTTTTCTAAGTGTATCGCCTAGTCGGCCGCTTTGATTAGCGCCTTCTTGCTTTAAATAATTTGATAGTTTTAAATAGATTGATTTATTTAATAATCTTAAAATATATAATAAATACATTCAACAAAATAAAATTTTCCACACTACAAAGTTTATATGGAAGCAACTGTAATTATCAATATTATGTCTTCAAATCGCTTTAACTTTTGTCCAGTTTTGCTATCAGTTTTATCATTATCATTTAGCAAGTCAGCCCCTAAAAACGCTGACAATTCAATTTTGTCAATCATTATAAATGCAGCTCGACTCAACTGTCAATTCAACAGTCCCGTTAGAAATGTCGAAGGAACCGGAAATAAACGCGAACAATTGGCCCAGTGCTGACCAACTATCTGGATTGTGGGTGCACTTGATAGGAGAGCTAAGCATCAGGACCTTACTGTATTATCAGGCTGCAAAATGTCGATGCTGGATCGAACAATTGTTGAGTGAGAATAACATGACCACCAGCACTTTGGTATTCGACAAGGACTCTGGTGCACCATATCTAAAATCGCAGCATAATGTGGAAATGATGGGATTGATTTGTTTGGAAGCTGACGGATTTGAAATCGTACTGAGTACACTGAGTGTTATGTTGAATCAGATGAGAGAGGTGCCTCTGCTGATTCAGATATGCACGAAGGATCTGACTCAACCAGAGATAGAGGGATTAGCTACGCAGATCTTAAGGCGTTGCCAGGAGCTCCTAATGCCGAATGTACTCCTGCTCTTGAGTGATTTCTTTATTACGAGTCATATTTATGGCTATCAATATTTTCCTGCATTTCGCCTAACATCGCACGCTTATCGCTCTAATTTGACGCTGTACCCCAACAAATTGGATAATCTATATGGGCATGTTTTGAGGGCACAGCCAGATCTCTTGCGATCGAACATATTTATGTACAGGGATGGAAATGGAAAGCTGGTTTTAACCGGTGCACTCTGGCATTTAGTGAAGGAGTTTGCTCGCCATTTGAATGCATCACTTCAGTTTAGCTTTGAGCCAACTAAAGCCAATACTTTTAAAACCAGCTATTATACATTGATTGGTCATATTGAAAATAGGACTACGGATATAGCCTGCGGCCTTTTTGCGCCCGCCGTTGTTAAAAATGACCACTTATTCAGCTACCCAGTGTTTTCGCCTAGCTGGTGTATCATGTTGCCAGTAGATCGTGTCGTGAGTCCTCATGAAGCTATTTTCGGACTGTTGGAATCTCCCTTGATGTGGATATGCCTAGGTATTCTATATTTTTGTTTTCATTGGCTTCATGGAAGACGTATACCTGGAAGACGGCTACTTCAACTGATCCCCTTATTAATAAAGCTTTCGCTCATTTGCTCTGTGGTGGCTCAACTCTCGGCACTATTTATTCACCCACAAAAATTGAATTCGATTTCGAATTGGGAGAAGTTGAGCGCATCAGGCTTACAGATAAAGGGAATACGTGCCGATTTCCATTATTACCCGGAGGAATTGCGTATAAAGTATGCCTCGTCTTTTATATCAATTGAAAACCATACTTCATTTCAACTCCAGCGCGATAGTTTCAATGTTTCTTTTGGCTATACAGTAGTCCACTTAAAGTGGCGTATATATGCGGAAAGGCAGAAACACTTCAAGCAACCCCTCTTTCGGTATTCTAAAGATTTGTGTTTTCGTCAATTATCATTGCAATCTCTTGCCTACCAAGAAAACTCCATCTACCGCCATGAACTAAACTTACATATTCTTTGGTTTCGCCAAAGCGGTCTTTTGCTGTATTTGAATGATAATACTTTCTATGACATGGTAGGCGCCGGCTATTACAGCCTTAAGGACTTAAGTCAACAATACGAGGTGGGTCCGCTTACTTGGTCCGACTGTAGTTTTATTGGGGTGCTTTACGCATACGCAATTGGCATATCACTGCTGGTATTTGTGCTTGAGTTGGTAGTTTACTATATCAATGTTTGCTTGCACCTGCTGTAAACTTTTGTCATTAACAAATATCGGAAATATTGGTTACCGATTATTGAATACTCTGAGAGGCTTTAAAATAATCCAAAGAGACATATGTAGCAGCAACGATTATGTATCACATTGTAACAAATATTACATCAAAATCACTCTTTCAATCTCTGTATTAATGTATAATAAAATGTTAAAAAAAAACATGAATTTATTTTTCTGCTTTTACACTTCTCATCTTATTTAAGGCATTGAAATCTCGACATAATTGGAATTTTGTCTAATAAGTCAGTCCTAACCGTTTTTTGTAAGAGTAATAAGGACCTAAAATTGTTCATTTGTAATTTCAGTTGAGCTTTTAGTCGCCTTGAGTCCTCAGCTATGAACAATACTGTTCACATCTATGCTGAACTCCTTTCAGCCGTCGTTCGCTTCAATAACTTTAGTACAGTTTTCTACTTTGATCCTGAGGATGGAAAGAAGCCCTGTCATTTGGAGGGCTGGCTGTCATTGGCAGGAAACACGATTCCATTGCTCTTGTGGAGCTCAATTAAATCTATAAAACTGAGCAGCCTTTTCAACACACAGCTACTGGTCGTGGCTTGTCTATCGGAAGTCTATCGTGAGGATTTCTTAAACACCCTTTCGAACACTTTGCGATATATGCGACAGACTAAGCTGCTAATCGAACTGGTCGCCAATCAGGATGTGGATTTAGCTAGCCGAGTCCTTCAGTTTTGTCTACACAATCAGATGCTTAATGCGGCCCTAATCTTTGGTGACTTTGGCCAAACCCACACGTTCTTCAGCTATGAAGCATTTCCCAATTTTGTACTAAATGATCAAAAATTTACAAAGGAATTGCTCAACTTTTATCCAGATAAAACATTCGATATGCATGGCTCAATGATACGTGCTATGCCTGATCTCTCCGAGCCGAATACGATTCTATATAGTGATAAGGAAGGCAATGCTCGAGTGATTGGCTACGTTTGGAACTTGGTCGAGGAATATGCTCGAAAACATAATGCCGGCGTGCAACTTATCGATCAGGTGCTGGAGGGCAAGCGCTTGACTCGCATCCAATTGTTGGATATGGCACGGAATAATGTTATAGATATTGGGGCCGCTATGCAGCCATTAACTCTGAGTCACTCGGAAGAATATCGTGAGTACACATATCCGGTACAGGTTGCCAGCTGGTGTACCATGTTGCCCCTGGAGCCGATCCTTGAAGTACGCGAAATGTACGCATGGATGATGCCGGGAGTCACCTTCGGTTTCCTCTCGCTACTTTGGCTAATCTATGAGCTACGAAATGGTCGTTGGCATCGCCATAGACGTCTCCTGGCCATTGGCTGGAAAGTGTTGGCACTTATGCTCGCTTGCAACGTTCAGGGCAGATTGATTACGCTGTTTATTGCGCCACCCGCAAAGCCAACGATTTCCAATTTTGATGCACTCTCCAATTCGAGGCTGAGAATCTTTAGCCTACGCTTCGAGCACAGTTTGTATGACTTTGACTTGCGCACCCGATATGCACCTGCATTTTACCTGAGCGATAAGATTTCGGAGCTGCTGCAGCTGCGAAACTCGATGAACACCACCTACGCTTACACGGTGACTCATACAAAGTGGCAGCTGTATGCGGAACAGCAGACATCTAGGTTACGGCCCTTGTTCTACTACTCGGAGAACTTTTGCTTGTATCGGTTTATGTCCTTTGCCTTGGTCATGCCAGAGAGCTCGCCACATCGCAACAACTTTCATCACTACACCCTACAACTGGGCCAGTCGGGCATCCTTCAACACTGGGTGCGCAGGAGTTTTTACTACATGGTGCAGGCGGGCAAACTGCACAGGCAGGACCTCAGCGAACCGAGGCATTTTAACCCATTAGCACCGCAGGACCTGCACATTATCCTGCGTGCCTACGCATTGGGCGTACTAATTAGCTTGACCCTATTCATCGTCGAACTGCTCGTAAGTCGATTCAAAATTTGGATGGCAAGTTAGGGCGTGACGACAGTCATAGGGCAATTAAGTATACAATTGTTTTAGAAAGTAAACCAACTACACTTTGTGGAAATAAAAACGAGTTAAGTCCATTTCAACTATATTTAATTTTGTGGCGTACATATGGAACGGATTTCCATACTGAATACTGTAAGCTCAAGACTTAATTTGAGATGGGCGTTCCATGAACCGTGAGAAACTTTTAGTTATTAACTTATAATGTGAAATATTGTTTAAGGAGAAGGATTAATTGCCCACATCTAAATATTATTATAAAATTAAAAAGCCTAGTGATTGTTTTTATGGATTTATATTATATAGGAGAAATAATTAGCGAGTTTTGATTTATGACAAGTTTCAACAAAATTGTTTTAAGGCTTTCGTAAAATATGTTCAACGAGACAAACAGAATCAAAGGCGTTTGAATTTTTGATTTGATTTGCAGATCTTGTTGAATGACCTTTAAATCTATTATTTTCTGTTGTTTAACATTGAAAAGCTGTTCAAATGGAATGACAATGATTCCAGAGTGGTTAATTATGCTAGGTTTATCACTGTTGCAGTCGCTTTAATTGTTTTCCTTTTTTGTTATTACAAAAACGGTTAGACCAAAAAGAGATCGATAACTTGTATCGTGGGAATATGGTCACACTGTCGAGTACTCTTTTGCTTGCATTTGATCAGCGTACTATCTGCCAGGGCTGAAATTGCCCACCTGTGGCATTTGATTTTGTTGACATGGGCAAAAGAAAGTTTTCGCCACAATGGTATTGAACAGTTAACGGGCCAAGGGTGAGTTGCATTTAATATCACTCACAAATGATATGATGTGATATGTATTTCAATTTACGCATTTTCAGTCCGATGAGTGGCCAGCGCAATGAATTTTCGCGCCTGCTTAGCCATTGCCAGCGTCTTTGTGGGATGTTGTTGCGGTGTTGTGTTTCTGGAGCTGCTCGTTAAATTGGATCCGGGTGCGGGCAATTTGATTACCGCTGCGCAATTTGCATTTATTGCCCTTGAGGGTTTTGTATTCACGGCCAAATTTGGGATGGCGAAGCGTGTGATAAGTCTGCAAGATTATGCGCTGCTTGTGGCAATGTTCTTTGTGACGAGCGTATGCAACAACTACGTGTTCCACTTGAATGTGCCGATGACGTTGCACATGATAATCCGTGGTGGCAGCCTTATATCAAATATGTGCCTGGGCACAATAATACTCAAACGACAGTATCGATTGAAACAGTATATATCCGTCTGCATGATTACAATGGGCATCTTCATCTGCACTTATTTCTCTAGCCGGGATGTGGAAAATGTAGTTGACGTCGCCAACACGGACGCGACTAGCAATATATTCTGGTGGTCAGTGGGCGTGGTGCTGCTTGTACTCGCATTGTTCATCTCCTCGTACATGGGCATTACCCAGGAACTGTTGTACCGTCGACACGGGAAATATGCCCGTGAAGCACTTTATTACACCCACCTGTTGCCGCTGCCCGCCTTCCTCTTAATGTATGACAACATCAAAACGCATTGGACTTTGGCATTGGCAAGCGAACCGGTCAGATTGGGTTGGCTGGGAGATGTAGCTGTGCCGCTGCTGCTGCTTTATTTGCTCGGCAACCTTCTGATGCAGCACTTGTGCATTAGCTCCGTTTATTTTCTGACTACCGAGTGCAGTTCGTTGACTGTTACTTTGATTTTGACATTACGTAAATTCATCTCGTTGGTATTCTCGATTGTATACTTTCGTAATCCGTTTACGCTTTACCACTGGCTGGGCACAGCGTTCGTCTTTGTGGGCACATTGCTGTTCGCCAATGTCAGTCTCAGTCTTCCATCGTCGAAAAGAAATGCTGTGAAAAATGATTAAACATTCCAATTGCAACTTAGAAATAATGACACGCATAAACGAATAATGAATATTTTTCATTTACAATTTAAGTACAAAACAAGTAAATACAAAATAAAAGTATAAGATTCTCATAGTTCATATGAAAATTGACATTAAAAGTAAAACTTTACACGGTGATTCATTAGTTTTTTTTTTTTTTTTTTTTTTTTTTTTTTTTTAGTTTTGCACGGACGGGACAAATGACCGTACATTTTGAATAGATTCTAGCTTCAAGAGCTTAAGTGGCTTCTTTGGCTTTTGACTTGATGCGAAACACTCGACATAAATACATTCTAAATGATACACATAAATATACATAAATGCACTGGTTTTGCCACATGCTACAAAATAATGAATTCAAATTTGCTTCTCTTGCAAAATCTAATACTGCTTCATCCACAAGCCACGTGGTTGCTCATAATGTGTCTGTCCCTACGTGGTTTGTGTTTGTGTGGTGCCAGCTTCTCGTTGCAGCCATTTGACAATCGATTTGTAATTACGATTCATCCAGTCCACATTAATTTCCACCTGTTCCATAATCTGCTGGATGGTTCTATTGTATACCCAATGTGAATCGCGCACAAATTCCTCCAGTTCGGCCAATTGGAACTTGGAGTTCATTCGCTTGCTGGCAAACTTGAGCAGCGTGTGAATGTTGGATATCTGGGAGCCCATGCTAAAATTTACATTTAAGAATATGATTATTATTTGGATATTTAAGTAAATGACAATTGAACGTACTAAGTGTTTATCTCCTGCCAGTTGTTGCGTAGATAATCGAAGGCAATCTTTTGACCCACCACTGTGTTGGAGACAGCGGCAAATACACGGAAAACATCCTGCTTGCGTATATGCTGACCAGCAATGCCACGCCGTAGATAGCGATGCAGCAGCCAAGGCTCTTTCGAGCAGCCCAGCCCGTTAAGCAGCAGTTCCTTTTCAGCAGGAACTGATGTCTTCAAATATCGCTCGAAGGTAAAGTCCCATTCGTACTCCGTTCCGTATTGTATGGCCGCACAGTAAACAATGCCGCGCATATTTGGATTAATGCTGAGGGGGGAATAAAACAAATCTTGTACTCAACATCTGACAACATTTGACGACAATTGTTCAAACTTACGGATTGTATGCATCGGGATTGGGCGATTGCACCCAGTTCTGGAATTGCTTGGTGCTCTCAGAGATGCACGGCTGATGGCCCAGATGGCAGGCCATGCTGAGTACCTCGGAGCGCTTCAAGAGCATTGGAATGTTTTCGTTGTCGCCCTGCGAATCCTTGTCCTCCACCTCGTTGTACACCTTGCGCAGCAGTTTCAACAGATAGTTCTGCCAAAAAGTGATTAAATATGAAAATATATATAAGATTACATAAGCTTGTAAAATTTCAAATATAATTACACTATTAATATAAAAGTTTTGGCATTATAATAACAAAACTGAGTTGTGGAAATATCGAACATTAACTAATAGATTCAACAATATCTCATTTTAAGAATGTCATTAATAAGCTATCCGCCAATTCTCATTGTTTAATTAAGAGTGTTTGATTTACCTTCAGCAGATCGTAGTCGCCCGAGTTGGCAAACATGGAATCGATAAAGTTAAAGTTAGTGTTGGCCGCCTTCCACGGCACATGATTCGTCTCGTATGCCAGATAGCGAGTTAGATTCATGGCCGTGTCGTAGGATAAATGGTAGCCGCGTGCCAAATTCATAACATCATCGATCAGCTGGGCGCGATTTGCGGGCGCTATTTGAGTGAAGTGTGCAGCATCCATTAGATGTTGAGTCACCGCACGCCAGTTGTCCAAATCGTAATTGACACGATAGTAGCCCGTCTGCTGTATGTTGAAGATGAACCACTTGGCCGTGGAGAGATAACGATTTTCCAGCTCGTAGGTTTTGGTGCGTGGTATCCACGTTGTGGGTCGAGTGTTCTCAAAATTTAACTCGGTATCGGTGGTATAGGTAATGGGTATCCACCAGAGTGGGCGATCGTCCGATTTGCTGCGATTGCCATAGCTGAAACGCACCTGCTCCAGACGCACTGCATCCGAGTTGGGATGACGCGAGATCTTAAGCATGGGATAACCAGCCTGCAGTGTCCAGGTGTCCATGATAGCCTTGACGCTGGTGCTGCTATCCAGCAGACCCGATGTCTTCGCCTCGTCGGTCAGGAAACGCCACAGATCGTCCTGTGTGGCCGACTTATAGGCCATCTCGCTGAGATACTTGCTGAGACCGCCGCGAAAAACGGCATCGGTCAGGAAGTGGCTCATCATGCGGATAACTGTGGATCCCTTAGCATACGAAATGCGATCAAATAATTCGAATATCTCCTGGGGATTGCCAACCTCTTGGGAGATCTTGTGCGTTGTGGTCAGGGCATCCAGCTGGAATACGGTCTGCAGTTCATTCACCACAAACTCATCGAGCAGCTTCCATTCGGGCGCCACTGCATTCGCTGTCAGATACTCCATGTAGCTGGCGAATCCTTCGTTTAACCAAATGTCCGACCACCAGCTGGGCGTCACGAGATTACCGAACCATTGATGGGCCAGCTCGTGACCCACCACAGAGGCGACACGCTGCTTATTGCTGGCCGTGGCCACACCCTTATCGAACAGCATCGCCGTCTCCCGGAATGTGATGAGGCCCCAGTTCTCCATTGCGCCCGCCTGGAACTCGGGCAGCGCTATCATATCGATCTTGGGCAACGGAAACGCAATGCCAAAGAAACTCTGCAAAAAATCCAGAATCTTTGGACCCACACTGAGCGCATACTCAGCAGACTTAATGGCATCCGCACGGGCCCAAACGGAAAAGTTGCCAGACGAGATGTGCGTAAAGTCGGATATGGCATAGGCCACCAAATAAGTGGACATGGGCACAGATTCAGCAAAGTGATCCCACACATAATTGGGTAAAGTTTCGCTGTGTAAACAATTGAATAGATGGGATTATTATCAACGAATTATCTATCTACATACATATATCTAAATAGTTTAAGCCTAACTGCCGATTGACGTTTTGCAAATAAAGCTGAGCTAGAAAGTTACAATTTTACAGGACATATGGAAATTTTTAAGGCTTATGTGTCATTAATACATTATAAGAAATTAGTTCGACATGGATTCCCTCATTTAAGTGGTTTGCAAAAACTGAATACTTTACAAATATTATCCATTAGGAGCTATTCATATACATATGTATATGTATATACCACAAGCTGATCGTATTGAAGAAGAGTGCCGATTTATTTCGTTAATTTGGATAACATTATTTTCAGGATTCGAGTTTTGGATGGTTTTATATAATCATCTTTTATTGAGATTATAAGCTAGGAGATTATATATACGGACATGACTATAACAATCCGTCTTTTGATACTGAATCAATCAACTTGGTGGACTCGCAGAACTGTCATTGTAATTAAGTTGTGCGTTGCTATTAAAGTGCTTGGCTACTTACTGATTATTGCTGTAGACGATGGGCATATTGGAGATGGTGGTCAGGTGGCGTGGACGTGCTATGTGCATCGTAAAGTTGGCCTTGAGTGCTGGCTCATCGAAGCAAGGAAAAGCGCGTCGGGCGTCGGTTGCTTGAAACTGGGTCGAGGCCACCCACCTGGGAATACAACCCACATTAAATCAATTGCGACTCTCGACAAAGGTACAAATTCCTCTACTCACCTGGTCTCATTGTGCACCTCATAGGAGCTGCGATAGAATCCCTGCAACGAATCTTTTATGATGCCCGCAAAACTAATGTGGACCACATATTCCGAACCGCTTTTTAATTTATCATACAGTTCAATGACAAAGAACTGTTTGGATCCAACCAGATAATGTTTACGAATGCGCAGACTAGTCGGCACCAATTCATCCATGTTCCCATTGGCCAGTGTACGATAGACGGCCAGATCGTTACGTGTAATGTTCAAATCCTCGGCATGCATGGTAATGTTATAGCAATCCTCCAGGACGAGTACACGAATTTGGACGCTGCCCGTGAAAGTGAAGTTGCCGCTCATCTGTGGCTCCAAGGTGATGTTGTACTTAATCGGTTGGATGGAGCGCGGCAGGCGAACATCCTGATCGTATTTGGGACCATCTTCGGCGCCATGCGAATGCTTTGAGTTACGCAAATGGACGCTGGTGCAAACGATGTCTCCGCCAGCATCCAGTTCGGCGCATGTCGCAAAATTATACACAATAAAGCCCACGGCCAGCAGGCTGCATACGAAGAAGGAGGCCAACAGTGCGGCGGTTGTCACTGAGATGCTGTACCGCTTGCCGGTGCTGGTGAATGTGGTTGTGGGCGTGGTGCCACTGCTTGTGGCTGGCATTGGCAGCGAATTGCCATGACGAGTCTCCATGCTGAGATTCTCGTGGAGGGGCATTTCCTTAACGACCATGTCGTCTTGGCCTTAACCTGTACACAGATTGATAGAGTTAACCGATTAGTAAGCTGAAGAGGTGAGCTGAGACACCACTTCCGTTTCCACTTCCACTTCCGCTGGCAATTTGTAAATTTCGGAACGTTTAATTGAGTGCTAGTTGCATACGGTAATTTAATATAGTTCTGCAGGTTATATTCCAATCTCTCGGCAAGGGCCACTTCAGTGGTTTCCAACAACCACCCCACTTTTGCGACTTGTTATCCTGATCGAATTTGTGATAAGTGCACATTGTTGTGGTTTGAGACTGTGGCAAAATGCATGCCACAAAGGGTTGCACACTTTGCGTCCTATGCATAATTATATAACTAAGCCCTTCTGGTTTCTCAAGTTTCTCCCTACTACTTACAGAGAACAACTCTAGGCTTATGTAATATTGTACATATTATTTACAGCGAATAAATAACAAACATGTAATTAACTTAGTTATGCACTTTTTTGTGTGCATCTCAAAAGTTATAGCCAACCATTTGTCTCGCTTATTTATGCGTGTCATATAACAAACTCTGCTTCTGTGCAAAATACAAGTTTGTTACTAGCCAGCTTCTGACGAACCATGTGCTCACACACACACACATACACACACACACACACATACACACAGTCATACACAAACGTCATAATAGCAGTAAGAAAAAACCCCGTCTGCCGTAAATATTTGTTTAGTTGAGCCATTAATATTATTTTTATTCCGCATTCTACAGTATTTCCCAAGCTGGTATTACAATATTTGCAACTAACAATAAGATTTTAAGTAACTGATTACTATGTTAATATGTTAATTCCCCAACGATAAATTCAGAATGTAAATAGTAATGATCGTGGCTTGATCATGTGTTTTACCCTATCCAAATTTGTAGCTCTGAATTGGCAGCGCTACTCAAATACACTCATAGGAAAGGTCAGTGTTCAGTCAAAGATCTCACAATCTGCGGATAACGTTATCACAAAGTCAATGCCATTAATTTGATTGCAAACAATAAGCAAGTGTGATTAATTGACTAATAGAATATTGTTTTCATATTTTTATTCGTAAACACTTAAAATCGCTCACTTTGTTAAGGTCTAAGGGTGATATTGTGTCAAATGTCAGTTTTAAGGTATATTTATGCTCTGCACTTTTGACTGCTTAGCTTACACAAAATCCCCACTGTACAGTGAGGTCTCAACGACTCGTATCACTTGAGATTGTTGATGTTACTTGTTCTATAATTAAATTCTTGAATATTGCGTAGTTAATCGCCTGAACTAATATTTCCAAGAAAAGCTGCATTCGTAATGCTTTTCAAGTTGAGGTTTTACCCAGCAAATGGGCTTAATTCGAATTAAAATATCCATATAAAATTAGGCGAGTGCTAATTAGTTAGTCTTATTGAAATTGCCAGACAGAATACAATGAAGGAGTGCGGCAAGATATTAAAAAAAAAAAAAAAAAACGGTTGTCTTAATATAATTAAGAAGATATTTCATTCATTTGCATACAGATGATGTGAAATACATGAATTAATGTCGCCAAATGCCGGCTAATTGAGTTATGACATTAATTTGATCTGTTCGCTTGCAACAAATTGCTACAATTAAATGCTGGCCATTTGGGGCAGCGATGCCAGCAGCAGTGTGACCTTCATTAAAAACTGAAATAATACGACGCCCTCGCATACGCATACATAAGTATATATATGTATGTGTACATGTATGTGCATCTCATGTGTCGACTCACTCTCCCATGGGGAGGGGTCAGTGGTCCCACAGTGAGAGTTCAATTTATGGCCGTATTTTATTGATCAAATGCTTTTGAACATTGATGATAATCATCAATGAGTTAATAATGATGATGATGATGATGACACGTCGTTGGCAGATAATTAAGACAAGGACATGAATTGCAGAACGCCTTTGGCAATGTGCGCTGCTTGCCGACACATTTACGCACATACATACATACATACACAAATATGTGTGTACACAAGCACACACACACAGTCATACATATACACATGTGCTTTGATTATATGCATGTACGTATACTTGATTAAAAACATCAAAATACACACAGCATTTTATCGGTAGCTGCCCCGCAGCGTTGTTTTCAATCTGTTGGATATATTTTGTATCTGTGTGGCACTCACACGCATTTTAGTTGCACACACGAGACCATAAATTAAATAATAATGGAGTGTGTTGGTTGGTATGGCTCCCAGCTATCTTATGACAAGCTTATTTGCCACAGCTACAAATGAAGAAGTGATCATCGCTTGGATCACTCAATTTACACTTGTGCACTAATTAAATATCGGCAGCAGTCAATTCGAATATACAAAGTTAAGTAGAATCTTTTCTACCTTCGTTTTTTTTTTTATTATATTTATTTTTTTTTAGCCAGCAATGTCTATAAATTTGGTTTGTTAAATTCAATCGATGAATGAGTGAGAACTTAATAAAGTATAAGCTGGAGCAAATTAAATTTATTGATCCTGCCAGAAATGATGAGCAGAGACATATGGAAGCAATCGTATTGATTTCAAGTGTCTGCAAACTGAAATTAAATTTTGCTTATGTTCAACAGATGTAAAAAGCCGAACGATGCTCAAAAATGTGCACAAACAACAACATTTAAAACCAAAGTGAAAATTGTATACAAAATAAACAAGAAATACGAAATGTGTGCAGAAATAAAAATGAAATTAAATGAAGTGTTGATAAGTTCACGGCTTAAACGTTCTATACAATAAACATATAAATAAATACATATTTATATGTATATATATATATACATGTATGCAAATATATAGGAAGAACAACTGTTCAGCAGATCGTAGCTGAATATGGGGACTATGAGTCGAAAATCAAATAAAAATAAAATTAACATTAACATTAAAATTAAGTGAGCAACCCGAATTTGGATTTTACCTCTTTTTTCTGCTTCTGCTGCTGCTTCCAATTAGATCTCCCTTCTCTTCACTTCTCTTTTGCAACTTTACAGCTATGCAGTTTTCTGTTATGCTTTAGCGGATGCAAATGGCATAAAAACTCCTACACTGACACACACACACACACACACACTGTTAAGGGACACCGAGTGGTCACTAATACAATTACAAGCATAAATTTGCCTAGATGTCTGGCGGTCAAGGCAACACTTTCACAGGCGCGCGTGGATAATTGAATTAATGTAAACAAATCAAGCAACCAGGAAGATGAGTTTGCTCAAATACATGCAAATGCAATTTATCCAAGGTATCATTGACAACAGCGAACAGTAGCAACGACAGCGACAACCACACACAGACAATTAACACAACCGTTAAGCGTAACGGCCGAGAACAGACTGAAAGCGCAAGCAACAAGAGCCAAAGCATAATCGTATCCAGCGTATGCATAGATCGAAATCGAAACCAGAGAGAGAGAGAGAGAGAGCGAGAGAGAGAGAGAGAGAGCGAAAGCGAAAGAGTGAGAGAGACTTTAGACACTGTGTGGATGAAAAATCGAGAATATAAAAGCAGACAGTAGTGGAACTATGTAAATTATCCCACCATAAATTCTTTACTATTGAACTGCTAATGTGGTGAAAAACTTCATGTTAATAAAATAAAATTTAAAATATGTTTAGTCACTTTTTAACATAAATTGAAGTATATTAAGCGATTTTTTGTTTTATTATATTTGCTCTTACATATTATTAATTGTAAGATTATTTAGTTTATAAATGTACTATTGTTAATAATAAAAAACAATAATAAAATTCCTTAGTAGCAGCGTAGATAATAAATAAATAATACACACATATCTTTTGAATTATCGTAACGGTTTTTATCCGCCAGATTATCGTATTAATTATCGATTGACATCAATCATCAAAAATTGTAGCAATGCTTAACCTATCGATATATTTTGCCATCTTTAAGCGTGTTTGTTATTTTAATTGTCCACTTTATTTTGATTACAAAATGCATTTAAAAGTTGTTTACGTCACCGTAGGCACCACAAAATTCGATGCACTCATTAATGTAATGACGTCAGAGGAGGCTTTGTGCGCACTGCAAAAGCACAAATGCCAGAAACTTGTATTGCAACATGGCAACTCGACGCCGGTGTCGGCAACAAATCTTTCGCAAATCAATAACAAATACGGCATTCAAGTGGAGCAATACAAGTTTCGACCAAACGGGGAGGATATCAAGGCTGCCGATGTGATCATTGGACATGCGGGCGCTGGCACCTGCATGGACATATTGAGCAACGGCAAGCCGGGTCTGATTGTCGTCAACGACGAACTGATGGACAATCATCAGCTGGAATTGGCACGTCAATTGGCATCCGAGCGATATTTGTACTACTGCCGGGTTAACGAGGTGAGCGGCAAAATTGCCACTTTGGACTTTGATGCTCTGCAGCCCTACGAGCCGGCCACAGAGAATATGCAAAAGTTTGTCAACGCATTAAACGAACTGATGACCCATTAGCATATTGCAAATCATTGTTTGTTTTTGGGGCGCTAACGCATGGAGCGGGCGCATTAGATATATAGATATATATTTAGATGAGTAAACACGACAAACGGCTATATAGAACGTTAGATATTATAGGGCTAGACAGTACATAAATTCACGATTATTAAACATTAACACATAGAACGATTACTAAGCATATGTTTATAAATTCCATTAAATTGTTATTATATATAGCTGCATAAATGATGAGACTCTTCACATGCTTTGGTTGCTGTTTAGATGATCCTGCTGTTGCTGCTGCTGTCGAGCATTTAATCGGTTTCGCCGGTGGCAGTGCCACCATTCTCAATGATGTTATCAAAGGAGAAAGGCATGAAGGCATAGCCCTGACCCAAATAGAATTTACTTTGGAATTCCACCCTGCAAAATGCAAATAAATTTAGTGCTTTTAAGATTAGTTTCTTGCTGCATCGCATACCAGTGCAGACGTAGCGTGTGGAGGAATGCTGATAGACCCTCCATCAAGACTAAAATGCCCACGGTTAGAATGGCCCAGAAGGCAAACACGACGGTCAAAAAGATGCCGCCAATTGGCCCCTCCTTGTTCAGGCCAAGTGCCAACACCATATTCCACAGGACCTCAGCCAGTTCTGTAAATCAATTCATTTAGATAAAGTCATCAAAAGCTTTAGTTGTAACTGAAGTGACTTACGGGCATGGGCCAAGGAGAGGGCCCACAAACGCAAATAGGATGCGGTATGGGAAACGGAGCCCAGCACATACTCAATGGTGTGTATGCCCTGGTGTATGAATATCTCCGACATCTCCTCCTCATCATGGTGTCCACCAGCACCGCCATTTGGCAGCGCACCCACTTCCGCATCCGACGAGCCAGTAATGGGTTGCACCTGCTCGAACGTAAGAATAATGTGCATTAGTTATAAACTTTACAAACTAGTAATCCGTAATTTTGTGAAACAACAAACGACACGACTAACCTCTTCCTTTAGCGTTTGGATTGGTTGGTGTTTTTGTTAGTGTTTTATTCAATTTTTGTTTGGGTTGTGGTTAGTTAATTGGTAGTGGTTGGTGGGCAAAGTCGGGGGCAAAGCATAAATAAACAGAAGTGCAGAAAACACAAGTATGTCTGTTAATTAAACGCTCATGTATCCAAAAGCTTGAAATGAATGTAACGACGATGGGACTGGTGACTAGTGAATGCAGTTGTGGATGTGGTCTGAGCAAGATTTGCAGATTACACTATGTACTTACGTTGGCCAGTTTGCGCGCCTGCATTATCTTAATGGGCTTGCCGAGCAGCATGACTGGAATGCATCCGAGAGCGACTACCACGAAGACAGTCTGGAAAAATTGCTGTCCCCAATACATGTAAACGGGGCAATTATCGTGTGCCTTCGACTCCTTGAACAGCACCATATCGATGAATGTGATCAGAATGGATGGTGCACACGCCTCCGTAAAGGGAACTAGGGTATAACAGAAATGTGTCAAATTTAAATACAGATTGCTTTATATACTTAATCTGCCACTTGCACTTACACTTATTTGTAGCCTCATAACGATTCCATTTGATAAACATTAGCAAAACCATGTAGAAGAAGAGGAGCACCAGGAATATCAGCTGTGGAATGAACTCATAGATCAGCGACAAACGATTGCGGAAATAGGTATGATTGTGCCAGCTCATGATGACGCCAAAGATCATGTGCAATACACCAAAGATAATGGAGATCTTCATCTTGTAGGCATTCTGAAAGACAATCTTATTGGATGAGGCCACCTGCCAAATGGGATCCATGCCAAATGGATATGGTGTGCCTTCGTAATCGCTGGTCGCCGGACTCAACTGTAGGTATGTGTTATTCCAAACCGTTGACTTGTTGTACGTCACATGCCAATGCGAGCCAAAGATGTTCAGCGACTTCGAGAAGATGTCGTTGTAGATCATGCCCGTGTACATGGAAAATACGCCCATGAGGAAGATGATGTAGCGACCGCCAAAGAATATGTTCCAGATCTCGTTGTCTGTCTTCTGTGCAGCGAGCCCTTTCTCCTTCCGTATCATCCAGAGGCCAAAGAGCGCCATTATAGCACCATGGCCCAAATCACCGAACATCACCGCAAACAGAAATGGGAACGTAATGATGGTGTATGGGGCCGGATTCATTTCCCGATAACTGGCCACACCATACGCATCGATTAGGGCCTGAAACGCTTTGGTAAACTTGTTGGTGCGATTATATGTCGGTGGATTCTCGAACGTTTGCATTCGATTCAAAATCGGTGGCACCGACGAACCAGAACGCTCCGTGCCACGTCGCAACGCCAACTGGATGGTCTCAATGTCCAACAGCGGCACCCAGCATTCGGCAATCAGACACTTTTGTGTCACATCCAAGTTGAAGAGATTCAGCGTATGATAGATGGCCTTGATTTTGCGCACCTTGACAAACCAGTTCTTCAGATTCTTGGCTGCTGCAACTAGGACACGATGGCGATGATCCTGCGTCTGGCCGAGCACCGTATTCAGATCCTCAATGCGTGTCATTACGCCCATGGCCATTTCACGACGATCCGCTGGCGCCTCGGGGCATGGATAGAGTGTGGCACGGAAACCCTCGCAGATCTTCTTCACGCGCGTCTTCAACTGATCACCTTGAAAGAATATGATGAACACCGATTTGTACACTTGATCGCCCTGCAAAAGAAAAAAAATGAAACTTTAAAAATCAGATTTGAATTGATATTGCTGCTGCTGCTGCTTGCTACTTGCATTGGTGGGATCCTCGAGCGGTGACTCAATCATGGCCTGTCGCAGGAACACATTGCCACGACAGGCACGCCACAGCATTCGCTCAAAGGCGGGCAACTTCTCGCGCGAAATGACGCCGGCCACAAAGCTTAAAGAGATGAAAAATTAATCGATCGTCGTAATTGGAGTAATTGTGGAAATGTGCATCATTCCGGTTAGTTTACGGCAAAAAGGAAAACTAAACTCTCAAGCACAAATACCAATGAACGCAGCATGGAATGGAACGTGGCGACAGAAACATTCAAAAGGAGAACACGTTTTGTTTTTTTGTTTTTTATTGGGATTGGAATTTTGGATGGATTTGATGTGGCGAGCGAAGCTAATGACCACAAAATGACAATGTGTCTATATACACGAGTTGATGAGGCGCATTCCTAGACTAATTTTCAATTGTGGGATACCAACCATGGCAGATAATCCTCACGTTCAATCGATTTATCCATAAAACTATCAATTGTTCAAGTTCAGAAACATTTTTTTTTTTTTAGGAAGAGAGGAACAGAATAGAGAACGGTTTTGCTTTTAGTTCTTTAGGATTGTTCTTTTTTAGTTCTTTTTTTGCACAGAAAATTATTGCTTCAAAAAGAAATGGATTAGGGGATTAGGGGCTCCAACATCTAGGAATGTTTGGTGTGAATCATGCGGGTTTTGTTTTCTCAATAAATTCATTCATTTTATATGGTTTTCTTTTCTATTTTCTTTTGGCATAAGCGGAACGTCTGTTTTGTTTGTTAGTTGGCGGCGGCGGCGGCGGCGTTAAGCAATAATTTTTTGTTGCAAGTAAGTAACGTAAGTAAGTAAATTTGCATGGCAACAACTGCCACAAGTAGTAAGTAGTACGTAGCTATTTGGTATTGGTTCGATACGTACCCAAGCTGTACGGGACCCATGGAGGCACCGGCGGTGCGCGACTCATCGACGATGAGGGCCCGCGTCATCGACTCTGTGGTGTGATTTAGGCCGCCCTCTTGCTAGAAATTGTTGTAAAAGTGGTTTTTGTTTTTGTTTGTTTTTTGTTTTACGACATTGTTGATAGTAGAGCAGTATCTTTACAATCATATAGTATATTAGTACTTATATGCGTATATGCATAGTTAATGCGGTTAGTTGCTGGTTGGTTTAATTAAAGCTATCCGCCTCCAAATTGTTGTAATTTTGGTTTTTTCGGGAATTGTGTATTGGGGAGGAGGAGTGGGGGATCGGGCAGACGGGGAAACCATCACCAGAGTTATCACTGATCTTAAAACACACATTGTACACAAACAGCTATACGTACATACATATATTTATACATACATACATGTATATGTATGCATATGTGCATATCATGGAAATATGTTGCTAAAGAGAACCTAAAAACCATATACATACATACATACATATATTTATATATATTGTATATTGTGTACAGATAGGACACACATAACTGTACATAGATAACGAAAAACGCAAAAGTAGCCATGGAGAATGAGAGCGAGCGAGCAAGTCGGGTTTGGTTTTCTCATTTTTTATGCTTTTGTTTAACAGTTTGTCGAACGTTTTGTTTTTGCTTTTGTACTTAGGTAAATGCGCAGGCTGAGTTTAGTTTTCCCCCATTTGATGTTGTTGTTGTTGTTGGTTTTTTTTTTTTGAGGTTTCAATATTTACCCAAGTTTCAAATTTTGGCCCGGCTGATTGGCACGGACGCCCTCCTCGCCCAACAGCTGCGCTTGCTCATCCTCGTTCTGGTTGTCGGCCATCTGCAGATAGCGTCGATATTTGTTTGATGAACGATTTGTTGTTGTTGTGGTCGATTTGTAAATCGTTGGCACCGACTGGCAACACAACCGGGGCGTATAAACATGTGTGTGTGTGTTGTTGGTATGTGTATTTTGTGGTCGATTGTGCATTTGCATTTGCAGGGTATTTCGGGGTTCGTTCGTTTGATTGTTTGTTTTTTTTTTTTTTTTTTGGGTATTTTGCATAGGGTTTTGTTTTGCGTTTGAATTGAATATGAAAAAATAAAACGTAAAAGACAAATAAAATAAAAATAACCAAAGAGTAAATAAATATTAAATACAATTATATACATACTTAAAAACAAAACGCACACAAATACATACATACACATATGGAATTGACTGCGGAATAGGAATCAAGCATGCGCATATAAATTATACTCGACTTAAATTAAAATATAACTGGGAAACTGGGCAATTGGGCAACTGGGAATGCTCAACTAAAGCTACATAATCACAACTGTCTATAAAATATGTTTACTGTTATAGTTATGGATATATTGGCGATAGTAAGTACTGTTTTATGTTGTTCTGTTGTTGTATTGCGTTATAAATTAAATAAATACTTCAACCGAGTGAGACAGAAAGAAAAAGCTCTGCACCATTTGCTGTGTTGTCAGACTGGATTATTGGTTATCGAATTAATTAATATGTATGTTAATCAATTGTCAACTCGATGTTGTTATTGTTGTTGTTGCTTTTGTTGTTGTTATGTCTTATCTGTAAGCTGCTGCTGCTGGGTGGGTTTGTTGCCTATAAGAAATGTTAGCCAAAAGCCGCATGCATACCTCATCGAAGAAGACCTGCGTCTTGCGCAGAATGTGCTTCAGCTCCGTCAGCTCCAAGAAGTTGCGTTTCAATGCCTCCGCATTTTGGTTGACCTCGCGCAACTCGTTCTCCAGTTTCTCAAAGGTGGCCTGTAATAAATCGGAAGCCATATAAATTATAGAACAGCTAATGATTTTATACACTAATCATTTAATACACTAGCTAAGCAGCTAAGCAATAATATCAAATATCTGAGCTTATTTTACAATCGCACATATACATTATGATCATCATTTATGGCCACTCATAGCTGGCCTCCAATCAATCAGCCGTATAATTTACAGATGGCAAACGATTTAATACACTTGTTAAGCAGTTAAGCAATAATATGATATAACTAAATCTATAATTTTCGAATGCCAATATATAATATGATAAATATAGTATGTTTATTAATTTATTGCCAGTCAAAACTTGCCTCCAAATCAATCATTTCACGGGGCTGTGGCGCCTCGGGACTCTCGCCAGTGTCCAGCATGGGTATGCCATCCTTTTTGATCTCCTTCTCGAGGTAGCGCAATTTGCGTTCCATCTCATCGCAGCGGCGCACCTCGTTGACGAATTTGCGTTGAAATGCATTCACATCCGGGTTGAGCTGTGCAAAGAGCACAAATTAGGCATGCATAACTCAATTTTGCAGCTTTTGCAGCAAAACACTTACATCACGAAACTGAACCAATCCCAACTCGCCCAGCTCGGAGACACAGGCATAGGCCGCCTCGCTTTGTAGGAAGAGCTGGCAGAGCGCCATCTCCTCGCTACGGAAAAGTGAACCCATTTTCACAGCTCAACTGTTAATCAGCGCTCGCTGCAAAAGAATAGATATAAATTCCAAAATACAGTTTTTGTATTACTATATTATAAATAGCAATGATTCATTGAATAATTATCTATTTAACATTTAAAACGGTTTGTCACTTCTTTGTCTTTCGCTCTCTCCCTCACTGTTTGTGAGAGTGGTCTGATTAAGTGTTAAATACGCCACGCAAAATATCAATCTCTTTATAGATTTATTGATTTTTCGCTGTGTCAAAAGTGAATAGAAAGTGCTGCGTTGCACGGTTGTTGTTTTCAACGAATTATTCACTGCAATATGTCATTTTATTTACGTAATTATTTCACAAATTAGTTATAGTATTTATTCATTTAGGCTTACGTATAGTTTTTACTTGTTAAATATTTAAGTTGCACAGCTCAGAACGTTTAATTACCAATATATTTTAATTTTTTGTGTTTTGTGCTGCAGTGTGACCGACTTTGCATATGGCAGAAAACACAAAATTCTCACACTATAAAAAAATACCAAAATATATACTAAGCAAAGCTGTAAGCGAATTCAAAACATTTAGAAATTTTTTAAAAATAATAATTACAACTAATGACTATTTTTGCATAGATCAAAATTTAAAACTGAATTTCTCCAACCAAAAACTGGTTCCCATGAAAATCGCTCATCGATAGCTGATGTGCCGATATTTTGCGCGGTCACAGCTTAAACATGAAAATATGTTTTTATTTTGTTACATTTTTTCTTTGCATAAAGCAGATAGCATAGCAACTTTAAAAATAACTATTCAGCGAAAAAAGTTGCTCGCTGAATTTTCTTTTGTTTGAATCTTCATGTACCTTACAGTTAATGCTGTTAATTGTTAATGGGAATGCACAGGAAGTGATAATGTAATGCGATGGGTGCATGCTAATTAACATTAGTATCAATTTGCATTTATTATGCACGCAACTAAACTAGAATGGCTAACGCTGCAGCTTTCGAGTGCTTAATAACACCATCATCACGCCTTCCGCTCTTTAATGTGGTGTGCTCTTAAGCGCAAAGAGCGGGGGCGCCGGTGAGTCCTTGGCTACAAAATGACGAAGAACCAACAATACCAGCATCCACGACGACAGCATCCAAACGATGCAAACGAACCCGATGGCGACATTTTTCGTTTGGCTCACGATTCAGTGTGAATTTGTAACTTGAGATCGACGGAACGGCTGCGGCAAAAGGCTCGGTAAATGGTTTAGGCAAAATATATCAGCAGCAGAAAAAATAAAATAAATAAAAACAACAAACACAAGTGAAGAGGCATATAACGGAAAGTGGAAAGTGGAGATGGTCAAAGTAGAAAATTTTGATGCTTGCCGCTGTTTCTGTTACTGTTACTGCTACTATTTAATACTCGTGCCTCGTGCGCGCTTCTTTGTGTGTGTATGTGTGTGTGTATATGTGTGTGTGTGGGTCAGTGTGCCAATTTGCAATTCACACAATATGTGAAATCAGACAACAAAGGCAACATTTTTGTAATTGAAAAATTTATTGCTTGTTACATATGCGCGAGTTGCTGTTGTTGCTGTTATCCTGCTGCTGCTTCATCTTCAGATTGTTGTTGTTGTTGTCGGTTTGGTTCGGGTTCGGGTTCAGGCAGACGGCTCACCGCACCGCAACCCCCAAAAGTATGCTAAGCCCACAAAGCATAGCCAAAAAAGCGAAAAAATGAAGAAAATCAATCCCCCCGCTTGCCATAAGTAGCAGTTAATTTTGCGCTTAATGGAATTCCCTTCAAATCCTCTAAAAAAAAGAAATGAAAATAACTACTGTATACCATATAAAATTGGTGTAAATAATTGGCCAAAAGATTTACCACAAACAGGCAGCCAGACCAAATGAAAAGAGAAAAGCTTTTGCTTTTCTCTGCAGCGCTGAGGCCGCTCCCAAAAAAAAAGAAAAGCAGCAGCAGAAAAAAAAAAACAAGATGCGAATTTATCAACAACAAGCAGCGAAAAATGCCAGGACACGAATTTTGGGATTGCAAATAAATAAATAAAATAAAGAATATATAAAATATTCTGTGTCAAATACAGCAACTACATATATAATTAAGTAGTTTTTCTTTTCGCTGAGATGCGACCTATTTAAGTGCTAGCTGAAGGTCTTCTTCTCTTGGTCTTATCTTGTCCTTTTGCCTTCTGACTAAAATTAACTAATGTGAAAACTATTGAAAATTTCCACACACTTACACAAAATGTGCTCAATTGGATAAGTGCAATCGGCGCAACGAGGTCATCATATATCATAAATCTAGCCGATTCTTTAACAAGCGTTGATTGCACACAGAAAAAAAAGAAAGAAAGAAAAAAATGAAGAAAATAGTTTTAGTTTAGTTATTGCGTGATTTGCCATTAGGTCTACTTAAGGTGTTCAAAAAGTAAACTGACTGAAACTAAATCTAAATCGGTTTATTTGCTCACTCTTGATTCAATCAACACACACACCCACACACACACCCACAGTATGTGTGTGTATATATGAGTGTGTGTTTGTGAAAGACTTGATTGTAAATTGGGTTTATTGTGCGGTCAATTGAGGCAGCTGAGTGTTGATTTCTTCGACTTGGGCGCAACGCAATTTGGGGCCTTTTATCTAATACACGTTTAGTTGCAAATTCTCGCGACTTTCGTTCAGATGACAATAATGTCGCACAACTGAGATACCCACACACACCTACACACCTACATACACACACACACACGCGCATATATATATGTATAATTGTTAATGTGTGTGCTTAAATTTTCGTGCAGTGCAGTGTGTAATCCTTTTTTTATAACGGCTTTATCCTTACATAAGGATACGCGCAAATATTAGCATGCAGTAAAGGCAAACCAAGTGCAACAATAGCAACAACAACAACAACAACTACTACAACAACAGCAACAATAAAAGTGTTCAGCAACAACAACATCCACAAAACAACCTCATCCACAGCAAATACAAAAATACAAAAAAAAAAAGGATATCGAACAAAAAAGGCAAAGAATTGCAGCAGGTAAGTAAATAAATATTAACAATACTTAATTAACAATAATAACCAAAGCACACAAAAGAGTAAAAGTAAAAGCACTCGAAAGTGACAAAAAAAAAAGAAAAGAAAACTCGAAATGAAAATGCGAATGCTGCGAATACAAACATCAAAAAGGGCGTGTTGTGTCTTCAGCTGCTCTGCTCTCCAAGTGTGCGTGTGTGTGTGTGTGTGTGTGTGTGTGTGTGTGTATATATATATGTGTGTGAGTGCGCTTTTGTTGTTGTTTTCGAGTTCTACATCATCAAGTTGCTGCTGCTGCTGCTGCTGCTGCTGCTGCTGCTTTTGGCTTTAGCTTGGGCTTCGGCTTCGGCTTCAGTTGCGCCTCTTTACTTTGTGTGTAATAAAATTGATGATAAAATAAAAATGGATAATGGGCGATTTTCGGCTCTGAAGCTTGGAGCGAGGCTCTGTTTACCGTGCAGCCAACGCCACCTATTACCAACGTGTCTATGTGTGTGTGTGTGTGTGTGTTAGTGTATGTGTGTGTGCTGAGCAGAGTTCACCAACAGAGCTGAGCTAAGCTGAGCTGAGTTGAGGCATTGCCTTAAGTCTTTCTCTCTTTCTCTCTTTTTGTCTTTTTGTCTACTCTCTTTCGTTTCGTGTATTGTGCTCTTTTGTGCTTGGATTGGGTGGGTGGATTGGCTCTGGCTGCGGCTGTGGCTATGACTGGGTCTGGGAGCGAGGCACTGGCGAATTCTTGGCTGATAAGAATGCTGCACAATTGTTAATGGCAACGTGGCAAACGGTAAGCGACAAATTTGACTACAAATTTCCAAATCCTTATCACAATTATGAGCAAAGCACATATAAAATGAATAATATCGAAGATTTAGTACAATTGTAGAAATATTAATTATACGCATGTTAATTGTGTGCTTAACTCAGCAATATTTATCCATATTAACTGCGTGGAAAACATCTTTTGTGGGTTACATCACTTCTCTTCTACAGTCAGCTAAAACTGACTGATTTTACATATTCCGATTTATCTCGTCAGGATTCGTCTTTCGAGAGACTTCATCCAGTCAGCTCTGAGTTGGAAATTCGATCAAATTTGGCAAATCTGTCAAAAATTCAATCAAAAACGCAATGAAACGAAAAATTAGTGTCAAAGTTGCATTAAAAAAAATTGACAAACAATTAACTGATTAAGAACAATATATTCCTACATATTTTATTAAAATGTATCTTTCTTAGTTAATATTTAATGTTTAATAAGGATCCTGGGCGAGTAGCAGCCTTGTAGATGGATGATGGCCTATCCAACGGTTTTAGAACACAGTCTAATTTAAAATCTAGATTCATAGTTTATCTATGTCCTTTATAGTATGTTCAGAACAATAATAAATAATTGCTAATATCTGATAGTGATTATACAATCAGTAATAACTTTTCAGGTCTTAACCGACTACGGCATACTCTGTTACCAATCGAATACAGGTTGATAACAGGCGCTTTTTCAACCATTGAATATTTAGTATTGTACATTGTAAATTTGGTAACTCTAGCTCCTAAATTGTGAGAGATATGGACTATTGTGATTCTTGGGGTCGGAGGTGGGCGTGTCGGGTATTATGTGCTGATTTTTCCAGAACATCACCAGCAATCGATGCTCCGCCTTTTGTCACTTTATCTTAATCGATTTGCATCAACGATGTTATCGATTTTGCATCCTCCTATTTAAAAACTTGCCCGATGTGGGCATAGTCGAACTTCCCAGCATGCTCCAATTCACGCAATGTTTTTCAGTATTCGTTTTTGTTTGCTCTGCGAAATTCAATCATTCGAAATGTGATTATATTTTGATGGTTTTTCTATTCTATTGCATAGCTCTCCAACTGCTCTCAGCAGTCTAATCTCAACGAGAATAGTCTCTCCTGGATTTAACTGCGTTGATCGCTAAAAACCTTGCTCACAGAACCATCCAAGATGGTTGACATATGCCAAATTTCAAGTTTTTAGCTTTCAGGGTGTCATACAAAGGGCGAATGGATGTACGCGGGCGGACAGCATGACGGACATTGCACAAAACTAATACTTATACATTTTTTATCAGAGAATGTATACAAATGAATTGCTCAAAGAAGTCTAGATTTAGGGCGATTTGAATGCATGGAAAATGTTGTAGCAATCACTTTAATCTCTCACAATTAGAGTGTACACACAACATACACACACACTCACACACACACCAATACACAGCTCTCGTTTAGTTCGTTGTCTATGCTGTGGGGGCCATTAACATGGCGCACGTAGCCTGATGGCCTCAAATGGAAAATGGATGCTGTAAGCTGGCAACTGGCTGATGGCTTTGTCGTATGCCTGGTCGCATAATTTGGCTATAGTAACGCATTTAGCTGGGTTAATTACCGAATATCGTGTTGATAGCTTAAGCGTTTCATGAGCCACCATAATTTGGCATAACCCGGTATGCTTTAGGCGCTGCTTTTAACTTGGCAATCGAAAGAAAAGCAGCAAACGTGCTACAAACAACAAATGTTGCTTGATAAGACTAAATATTTAATGGTTCTTCTCAGTCAGTCAGTCTGTCAGTCAGTCAGTTAGTCTATTTGTCTATCTGACTGTCTGATTGTCTGCCCATTCTATTTGTTTTTTACTCTGTCAACGCTTTAGAAAAGTTTTTGCAGCTGCCTTCGTTTTTTGTATTGTTGTTGCTGTTGTTATTGTTGTTGTTGTTGTTGGCCCGTGGCTGTGGCAATAATAGCATTGGCAATGACAATGCCCCAATACCAGGCACAGTTTAGAAATAAATTAAAATTTCATTCAAGTGCTTTGCTGACAAAACTTTCTTAATTACAAATGTATTGCTGTTGCCTCAAAAGCGGCTTCAAGGAGTTTGAAGCCTAGCAAATATGCTGTAAAATACAATTTTCATATTTGAACATCATCTTTCTCTACACTCAGAAAAAAATTGTCTTTTCGTTTGCCTTGCAAGATTGATTGCAGTTTGCATTTTTCAGTGTGTTTCTGTACTATTTTCTGAATCTCAGAAAGGATTTTTTCTACTTTTTAAAAATATTTTCTTTTGTTAAGAAATATATTTCTAAAAATTGAAATAAAGCTTTTTTTTGCAATTAATTCTAAAATCGAAAAGGTTTTTCTTGTTTTCCGGTGCGATTTTCATTGTTTTGAGTGTATGAACATGGAAATTTGGAACTTGATAACTGTCTGTGTGTTATAATTTGCTGGCCACGCCCACTGGGCTGAAAAATCGATAACAACTCAATACACATAAAAGTGCAAAAGCGATAAAATCTATAAACATAATCTAAGAAAAGTGATGATTATATAAATATTAGCAAAGATAACGCATGATGGCAGAAATAAAGTTTAAGATAAAGCAATTAAAGCTTGAATGAAAAGTTGTGGGATTTGTGTCAAAGCTATAGTTACTAAATTTTTAAATGATATTACTAGCAACTATCATCAGCGTCTGTCAGGAAAACTGCTTGAAAAGTTATGGTTTTCGTTCGGTTGCAAAATGGACCTGCAAAATTATACAATTGACAATTTGACTTACTTGAAGTTAAGGGCAAGTGCGGCTAATAGACAAATCTGGAAGAAAAGCATCGACCTTTAAGTATATTATTATGTATTATGGAAACATTCTCCAGCAATGATTGATGATTGTTTTGAAATTGTTACTAAAAACGATTCGCCAAAGCCATAAACATTTCATAATTAGCCATTCTGCCTAAGAGGATAAACGTTGCATAACAATTGCCTGCAAGTGGCAAGAAGTACATTTGTAAGTCATGTGCAGAGTGCGCAGCCACAGAAAACAGCAAGAAAAATGCAAAAAGTTGACAATTCCAGCTATGTGCGTATAAATATGAGATGAGTATATGTTGATTGTTGCCTCATTGCCCATCGGCAACAAAATGCTGGGGAGGCCACACAGTGGTCTATATGCAAAAATAATACACAAATGACACACTGAGCACAAAGGAAAAAACCAAAGAACAACAACAACAACAACAGCAGCAATAGCGGCAGTAGCAAGAACCACAGGGTGCCAAACAAAAGCAACAAGCATTGCACTCGAAACAAATGCCCAAACACACACACACACACACACACACACATACACACACACGGACAGAGAGAAGCACAGAAACCTGGTCGCTTTTTGGAGCGCACTTGGTGTGCACTTAGATGAAAATGACAGCAGAAGCAACAACAACAACAACTACGTCGAGTAATGACAGCAGCAGTCGCATTTAACAATGGGGCCACTGGCTAAGCAGCGGCCACGCCCACTTCTCTCTCTCTCTGTGGGCGACTGCTGAGGGGCGAGTCTGTCATTCATTCATTCATTCATGCGCTCCACTTGTGCAGCACTGGACGCTGCCAGTGGGTTGGAGGGGGAAGTGTTAAGGTGCTGCATCTGTGGCAGACTCGTTGTCAGTGCTGTTGTTGTTGAAGCAACACACTTAAGTGGTCGCTTAGAGTGCGCCACGTTTTGTGTGTGAGTGTGTGTATGTGTGTGTGTGTGTGTCGTTGCTTGTTTATGAATAAAAAATAGTTATTTGCAAAACGTTTAGCAGCAGCAGGGGAGCACATCGTTAAGCTGCAGCAGTTCACAGCCAAAGGAAACATTTCAATTTCACATGCACACATAGCTGTATATATATATATAAATATATATATATTAACAGACTTATGTGTATATATAAATAATGTAGTTTAGCGACGAGTTACTTTTGGCCGTTTTTTTTTAATTAAATGTCAAAAAATGATGCTGTACGCAATAAAGGAGCATCTTTATTTGCTCTGGCATCTCTAAGAGTGTGCAATGATGTGTTTCTGTTCGTGTGTGTGTGTGAGGCAATTCAATTGACGGCCTCCGGCCGCAGAAGCGCACCCGAGAGTGCCATTAAGGGGCCTACTGCGATGAGCCAAGATAATTGTTACGTCATTAAGCGGTGTCTGCAAGAGCATTAAAAAAATATATATATGTATATAAAGCACAGCATACAACAAAATAAATACAACATATAGTTAATAGTGAAAGAGATACACACGCATACACACACACGCACATACAAATACGTGTAGCCTACTTTTGGGCGTTTGTCAATTATATACAAATTTGCAGCGACATATGCGGCAAAGCGTAAACAAGCCAAGCGAAATGGCAAATGCCAAAAGGTAAATGTTAAAACAAAAACCAACAACAACAACAACTGTTTGTGGTGTACGGCGCTCGAACCAACGGGATGAATACAAACAAAATATACAAAAAGGGCGACGCTAGCAGCAGCAGCAGCACCAGCTGCTGAGAGAACAACACCATTGGCAGCAAATTCATACAAATTCGCTTCAGTTCTCTTCAATATTCGCCGCTCTTATGCGTTGGTGTACGGCGAGAAGCGCAGGCGCGCTCTCCTCTATCGTTACAGCTAAGACTTTCGCTCTTACTCGCCTTGTTTGTGTGTGCGTGTGTCTGTGTGCAGTTGCTCAGTAGCTGTTTCTTTTTTATTTATTTTACTTTTTTTTTTCTTTTTTTTTTGGCAATGTCAATGTAGCTTTTATCCAACTGCCGCTTCAGTGGTTTCTTTTACTGCAGCAGCTGAAAGAGCAGGCAGAGGCTCGTTTTAGGCGCTGATTTAAATGCTGCTGATAAGGCGGCATTATGATTCGAACAGTTTCAGCTACAGCCGTCACATAACACGTTCTAGCCTAGTCATTGTCTCTCTGTCTCTCTGTGTGTCTATGTCTGTGTCTGTGTCTGTCTCTGTGTGTGTGACTAGTTTGTAGCTGTGCCTTCAGGCGCATAAGTTTACAATTGACTTTTAACGATATGATACACATGTGTGTGTGTGTGCGTGTGTGTGTGTGTGTGCGCGCGAATTTATGTTTTATCATTTATTGTTAGTGGAACGTGCAGACGTCAGCTCTAACACCCCAGCCACGCCCCTTGTCGCCCATACTGCGTGCCGCCATTTTGTTGCCCGTGATTGCTGTAGATGTTGTTGCTGTTGCTGCTGCTGATGCTGCTGCTGCTGTGATAATATGCTGCGCCTTTGTTTTCGCAGCAATAAAAATTGGTTGTAATTTAGTCGTGTGTGTGCTGCGTGCTGTGTGTGTATTTTGTTGTTAAGATTGATACGCGCTTTACTATTGCTGTTGCTGTTGTTGTTGCTGTTGTGTTTTGTGCCTTTCGTCTGTCTGTCTGTTTGTCTGCCTGTCTTTGTCTATGGCTTACCAATTAATTCCATTGATATGCGTGTTTCATTCGTTTTTGTGCTTTCGGCCTTCTACCGCATAAGCTGTTGTATACATTTGTATTGCATACTTTGCGGCTGGCCCCGCAATTTGCATAGCCTTTTGGCAATTATGGAGGTTCGTTACGTGAGCGGCATAATTGACCAAAGAGCAGCACAGACCACGTCAGGCAGTCCTTTATAGATATAGGATTCTCATACGAATCGCGTACATTGAATATGTTGACTCTTGAATTAAATATGCATATACATATATCTCTATATATAGATAGATAGATGGATACATATTTGTTTAGCTCTGCAGCAGTTAGAAATGCAATGCAATTGCGCTCGTGCAAAAACACATAAAATTTTTGCAGAAATTACTTTACCCTCCCGTTGGCAAATAGATTGCAACAGTGGCAAGCAGCATTGGGCAGACATTGCTTTTTATGCGGCGCCAGTTTTGAATTTGCATTTTCCATCATCAGCTTGACTTGGCCGGCAGCAGTTGCTCCACTTTCCTTCTTTTTTTTATATCACAAATGCTCAACTCACAATTCCCGCTCTGATTCGCTTATTCTTTGTCTCGTTGCAGCCAGCAATTTCAACATTGGAACAAAGGACTTTATATAGATATATATATATATATATATACTTATTTTTTCCTTGGTTTTTGGTACTACTGAAGCAATTAACTGAAAATGTAGCGCTGACAAGGACATGGCCAAAGTGGAACAGCAAATGCCATGCGATGCAACGAGCATAAATGTAAGTATATAAAATGTGGGCGCATCTGTATACATATGTGTGTGTGTGTGTGTGTGTGTATCTTGGCTAATTGCCTTGGTTATGCGCAGCGGCAAGAGTCAATAGAGACATTGAGCAGCGAAAGCAGACAAGACGGCTTTGTTGGCGCGGCTGCAACTGCAACTGTTGCAAGTGCAATTCAGTTGCATTTGCTTTCAATTCGCAGCAGCCACGCGTTAATTCTCCTTTTCACAGATAGCTCCCTGCCTCCCTCTCCCCTCTCTTTCTCTCTCATTCTATATATCAGTCTGGCTGGCATTAGGAACTAATGTGTGTGAATGTTTTCAGTGGCATTGGTTTTGCTATCGCTGGTCCGCCTAGTCCTGCAGGCATTTGGCATTTCTCATTTGTCCTCCTTATATGCGAGGACGTCCTTTGTGCGCTGCACTAATCAACTGTTCTAAATGCTGCACACGCCTCGCAATCGGATACACAGGAGAGAGTGTGGGGGTAGGCGAAGAGAATAATGAACATATCTCTAGGCTACATACTTATTGAATAACTGCACAGATTCACACGCTTAAATCACAGAGACATCGCATTTTTTGTTGTGGTCTGATTTGAACTCATCTCTTTGGGGCCATTAATTCAAACTAGACATAGTTCTATGCGGGGGCCTACGCAAGGGTGGCAAAGGGGGCCAGTTGTCTTCTTAGATTATAATGTATGAAGTATGGCTTAGCTTGAAATGCATCAAAAATTCCCTTTACGAAAAGCTGGTACACCCTCTAGGCCTCTATGACAAAATTGTTTCGTATATTTTTTTAAGTGTACATAGGGATAGTTAGGAGCTGAAAGCACCTTATAGCAATATGATTTTAAGAAGTGTTTGTTAATTGCGCATAACTTAAAGGAAATTACAGTAAGTTAAGAAATCTCTAGAGGGGACTTGACTAGAAGATAAGCTGGACTCAGCCGTTAAATGTATTGAATTGATTAAAGATCCTAGACTTATATGTGTTCTCAGTTCTTAAATTTGTCTACTAGTCAATTTTCACTATCTGTATGAATCCATTTATTTTTTATGATAATATAAAATAAAATACATTTCCAAAAAGTATAAAACTATATATGTAGTCATCCCCTTGGCAGAAAAATGCTCAATGTTCGTATTAATAGTGATTATTGTGATTCTATGATTATGATTATTATTATATTATGATTATATGAGCCAGTTTCGCTTATCATGCTGATCTTTGCTTACACTTAAACTACTTTGTTGAATATGAAAATATGTTTTGGTAAAGTAAGTTTGTGTGTGATGTAACTTTGTAATTGATTAATATTATGTCAAGGCGTATTTGCACTCAATTTGAAGATTATATTTGAAATCGATTTCTATCGATATTCATGAAACGCGTAGAGTTATCGATAAAATGAAATAAATATGGTATACGAGAACTTACATTCCAGATTTAATGTCTCTGATTGACTCTAAGATTGGCTACTTTCATACAGATTGTTCAAATGTTAGTTGGCCACAGCTATATCGACTCAGTTTTCAATCCAAATCAAGAAAATATATATGTGTGTTAGCATTTTCAAACAGATATGTATCAATATCTATTGATATATATATATACACATAGTCTTTGATATAAGTTGTTTAAATTTAATTATTATTTTTGTCTCAACTGAAACTGAATTCTTTGATATGAAGCAATCAAAAGCATAACTTTTCAGGCACTTAGCACATTCTATTTTAAAGTTGAATTTTGATTTGCTTTTGGACAGAATGCAGCAGCAGTAAGCAACTTGTGTTTCGGGGACACATTGCAGCTGTCGTTGACTTTGTGGCAGATACAGTGTAAATCACTTTTTCCATCTTTTATGGCCATCCTTTCAGCTGCTTAGCCAATGGTGGTGCTGCTGCTGATGATGATAATGTTGTTGAAATGTGCAATGCAGAAACAACAAAAATGTCCAAGCTGGTAGCACGATGCCAGGTACAAGATAGTTAAGCGCTGCAGGACACAACATCAGCAACTGGGGCAGCAACAGCAGCAACAGCAGAAGGGGCAGCTGGGGCAGCTGGACCACAAAAGACAAACACAACTGCATAACAGGCTTTTATGCGACGGTGTCGTTTTTGGTGTCTCCCAGCAGGCGGTGCAGCTCCCTATGTTACTTAGCGACGATGCTTGCTGCATACAAAATGACAGGCAATGGGGGCAGGTAACCGAAACGAGCTAAAGGTGGGCGAAGGGGCGTGGCCAGTGGACATTGTATGGGGCGGAAGTTGACACAAAGGCAGCCGCAAAGCTGAGGCGTTGGCTTGTCTTAAACGAGGTAACGAGCAGCCATGTCTATGGGTGTGCCTATGTAAAAGTGTGTGTGTGTGTGTGTGTGTGTGTGTGACCTTATTTGCATCTGTAGCACATCGTGCCATGGATACCTGAGCCAAAGTCCGCGTACTGCACTCGTGCAAGATTCGTTAGCCGTTAGTCTTCTACAGTTTTCAGTTTTCAGTTTTCAGTTGGGCCGAGCTGCTCTTTGTTGCCGTATAAGCCATGCATAATGTGGCACGGCACGTAAATTCGTTATAAATTTGGAATTATGTGCACATTTCGTGCCTTTGCTGTTTGTAATGTTGGCGAATGCCGAAGGCCAAGCAATTTCCAACTTGCACTTTCATAAATTATGTTGCATACAACCAGTCATAACTCTGCAATATACATACTGTGTGCGTGTCTCTGTCGGGGCGGGGTTTTTCAATTTATGCCAAGCAAATGGATTATGCCGACAAGTCATGTTGGGCTGTCCTCTGACAGCCATGTGACAGATACAGGTTTCAGGTTTCATCGATCGTCTCGTCCGGTTGTCATAAATCCCATATGTGATGGCTAATTGCACTCATTAAGCCAGCATTTTGTGTTTTGCTGTCAGCTGCAATTGATTTAAGCGCATGTTTGACTCTCAGTTTCGCCAGACAATTCGATTTGCACATTTGATTCTCAGTCCCAGCCACCCTCGCTCCTGTATTTGATTTTGTGAAAGTTCTCGTATGTCATATTTATGTCAAGTTTATTTTATTTTATCGATAACTGTCCGATTTTTATTGATTTCTGATAACAATAAAGTATACAACTATCAAGATATAATATTTCCATTGATGTAGACTGCAATTGATATAGATATACAATGTAAAAATTTCATTAAAATCGGATAAGAAATGCAGATTTTATATTTTCATATTGAACAAACTGTTTAGATTTCGATTTATTCTTGTCAAGCTCTCTCAAATGGAGCTTTCTACCTTGTTGTTTTACATCTCTATATCGAATACTGAATACAAATTTATTCAATTTTGAATAAGATTCCACAAATTATATTTTCTATAAAATACACAAATATATGTTTCTCACAAATTAAATGCAGCTAATTAAATTTAAGCCGAATTACCAAAAAAAATATACGATAAATTTCAAAGTTAATATTTCAAATAAATTATTTATCAGATTATTATATTTTCGGGTCTGTTTTTCTCATTCCCTCCATATGCTTAACTGGCTGTATTTCAATCGAAAAAACATGTTAACTATTTGTGAGTGCAATTAACTTCGTTATTGAATGTATTCACACACATGCAATTCCAATTACAATATGTTAGTATCAGAACTGGATTGTTTTTCCATTCGGTTGAAATCCCAATTAAATTCAGTTCTTATCAGAATATTAATAACTTAAAATGTTGAACAATAAAAATGAGTTAATATTTTAGGGGGCCCACAATATATATAACAGCGTTAAATGCGAATTTTATTATGTAGCAAAATGTTGGTAAATTTAAAATGGCAGTCAACGTTCCCCCGTCCCTGTCCCCGTCTCCCCCTGTCCACCTCCGCTCCCTCGTATTGCCTTATTTCGGCAGAGATATTGATTGAATTTGATGCTGGAATTGCATTAAATTTGCTGACTTGGCTTTGATTTCATTAGCGTTGCTAAATGGCGTTATGGCAAAACCAATTTAAACGCTGGTCAAACTGCAGGGAGAGTACTTATCTGGCACATATAGACTCATACATATAAATTCACATTCACATTCAACTTTACCATAATTACTGTTGGCTATAAATGGTGTGCGGGTTCGCATTGATTTTGCATTGCTTAGCGTGAGGCGGGTTGCTTGTAATGGGTGGGGATGAAATTTTGGCACTCAATGGCTGACATTGGATTTTCCTGCAGCTGTCCAATGAAAAAAAAAAGAAATACAAAAAAAAAAAACAGCAGCAAAAACAGCAACAATTTTAAACAATTTCGCTTGTGGCAAACAGGGCAAAAATGTTGTACTCTGCGGCATGGCGGTGCGGGTCAGAATGCGGGTCAAAATGGCATTCTAATCGGATTTTGTTGCAGCTGCGGCCAGAGCTGCCAGCAAAAGCAAAAGCAAAAGCTTTGCCAGCAAATTGATATCGAGAGCAATTTGGCGCCGGTGTAGTTTTTTTCTTCTCGGTTTTTTTGTTGTCTGGCTATGGCTTAAAGGTATTTTCAATTTGAGTTTACTGACTGCCTGTCAAACGCTGCGTATGCGCAATTGCATAATCTGCGACGCTTCAATTCGATCTAGCATAGCATCTTTGTAAGTCATTTGGCAAGGACTCCTTGGTCCTGTGTCCCCTGTCCTGTGCTCTGTCTCGTCTGTCCTGCTGGCTGACGTTGATGAATACAGCCAAGGCGATAAATTCAATTACAAGACCCAGCCAGCGTTGACTATAACTCAGCTCCAAGCTGACAGAGACTGGAATATATGGGTGGGTGGTGGAGCGGGGGGAGTTGGGGATGGGAGTGATGTGGGAAACTCTTTACTTTCCACCTTACACTTGACTATGGCTTTTAAAGTGTTGCCTGGGAATTGTTAGAGAGCCGCAGACACGCACAATGAAATGGCACAAGAAAACAGTTAAAAAGCAAGAACAGCTCAAGAAAAAGGCAAACAACATGAAATAAATGTAATAAATTTTAAACATAGAGATGATAAATTGCTCTGGGATTTCGGCTCAAAGTGCTGCCAATGCCGAGCAGCTGCCTAAAGGCGTCCCCCAATGCCCTACCACCGTCTCTCCTTCCCCCCTTCCTCTCGACTGTTCTACATTTTTTTTTCACAATTTGTTTGCGGCTTCACTTGTCCCTCGCCAGCAGTCTCCACTCTCCGCTCACACCCGCCAGTGCCACATGTGTCTATGTATGGGTGTGGGTGTGGGTGCGTGTGTGTGTGTGTGTGTGTGTTTATTTTATTTTATTTTTTTTATCTGTTTGGCCGCATGCTTCGTTGTCGTTATTTAATTCTCTTTCGCTTTGAAATTGATTTTACGCATGGCTTTTATTTACTTTGCTATCAACTTTCTCTTCTCTTGCTTTTCAGACGCCCTTCCGTCCGCTCCTTCCCGCTTATCACGACAACTTTTGACTATCAACTTGCAGACAAAAGTTGCACTGTCTAAGTCTACTCAATCCTGTCTTGCTTATAGTACTTATGTTCATATGCAAACTGTTTACGTGCACTGCTCTTGCAGTCAAACTCGAGTCCACTAAGTTAAACTTATTACTTTGCCCGTCTCTTTGCAGAAACTTCAAAAATTCCGTGATTAGGACGTGGTGTACCCAAGCGCTCTAAATGCAGACGATATGGTGAGTAAATTCTACTCGCTGAATATATACACATTTCAACTAAGCAAGAAAGAACGGATATGTTACAAACACGCCGAAGTTTACATGTCCATGCGTATCGATAAATTATTATGTTTTTTGTATGTTTTACGGAAATATGATTTATAGTTTTTAGTATCTCGGCTGGCTGTGAATTGTGTATTGCACATTTGCATAGTTATATTGTATCAGCTGCGATCCCACAACTTCAGATTGATTTTTCTACTGATTGTTCCTATGGCCGCTATATGCTATAGTGGTGCAAAACGGTCGTACAACTTTCAACAAAAATATTTCCTTTTATGTCAAGTTTCAATAAGATAGCTTTAAAACTGTCTGAGTTGCGCTCATTCAAAAAATTTGTATAAGAAAGGAGAACATACGGTCATTGCCGTATTGCTCTATTGACCCGACTAGTGATGCTGATCCAGAATATATATACTTTATAGGGCCAGAGGTGAGCGTACTCGATGTCAATTAAATTTTTTAAGTGTAGCTTTCAAAATTGTGAAAGATATGTGGTTTTATCGATTGACTATTATCGATTTCCTAGCGTCCTAGTGGACGTAGCACCCTTTGTTCGACGCAGCCTCAGACAATATATTTTGCAAGTTTCTAGTCTCTGGCATTGAAGATGTCGAATAAGTTGCGTTCATACGGACCGACAGCAGTATGACGGATATTGCACAATCCGCACTATTCTTATACATTCGATATATGAGAATAATAGTAACACATGCATTTTTTGTTACAATTCTTAAATCAATTTGAGGAATTTGTGTGTTGTAGGATTAGTTGCATAATGCATATAAACGGTGAAAGCCAAATGGCTGCCAGCAAAAAAATATTGCCTGCTTTTTGGGGCAACGTTCGCTTGGGAAAACGATGCATAAAAGCTGTATATGCAACTTAATGCTTACGCTGACTAAGCACAAAAACAACATACCACAAAAATACACAATCCACAACACACAGCAACGCACTCATAGCTCATACATTACGCATACGCCGCATATGCCCAGAACTATTAGCAAGCGCATTGCATATTTATGTAAGGTGGAACTTTGAATTTGTAAAATGTGCATTGCTGAACAAACAGGTTACAAGAGCTGCACCCAGACAGATAATCAGACAGTCAGATTTATGCATACGCAAACAAATGTGCGTTTTTTGTTTTAGTTCTCTAAGTTTTCTAATTAAAAACTACAAATTTTTTTTTGCCAGCATAAATAAGTACACAACTCACACTTGCTTAACACTCGCATACAAAACGCATTCTTTGCAGTTTAAGCACCGTGTGGCAACAAAAGCCAAATTAAAATTACCATTTGTCATAAGGGCTGCAACAACAGTAGCAACAACAGTCAAAATTCACACACACAAACACAACTGTGTCGTTTCGCTAATTTCCACAGGCTGCTTTTGCTGACGATGATGATGATGATGATGATGATGATGATGATGATGATGATGATGCTCATGATGATGTGCCTTGACTTTGGCATCATCCTGTGCTGCGAGTAACATGCATATTGCATTTGCGTGCAACTCGACTGGCTGCATGACTGCATGCCACGCCCACCGGCTAACGCCCCCATGTAATGCATTTCATTGCATTCAGTGCTGTGGAAAACCAAAATGTATGACAGTCGATATGAAAATTGTATACATACGAGTATATACTTGTACATATATTTATTTGTCTATATGTATTCACTATATATATATAAAGTCCTGGCTAGAAAAAATATCACTATTATTAAATCAGAGCTTAAGAATGGTTGTTGAACTTTGATTTAATATTTTGTGTGTTGGCGTTTGTAAGACGACTACCGAACGTTAACAAGTTAGCGCAACCAATCTCACATATTATGCTCCTAATTTTTGGGAAAAATCTTAAATGTCGAATAGGTATTTCACATAGAATTCAAAGAAATAATCGGTCGGCTTATTAAATTTATAGTCAAATTTAGATGTCTGCAGGTTGACTCTGGTTTGGGTGTGGAATCTTCTTGTGTGTTTACCAACAACAAGAAGACAACCCAGTAAACAAGCTCGTAAGTGATTTGTAGAACAATAACTTATGGTTATAGAGAGCCCAATTTTGATTTGTTTTTGAAAAGCAAAAACATGTAAAATATTTTTCGTTAGGTGATGTTCTAGTTTTTCATAATTTTTATGCTTTAAAATATCATCTTATAGAGATGGACTGATTGCTATATCAGTTTGCTATAGTTTGGCGGCATGCCACGTGCATAAAGTCGTCCAGATTGATTTTCTCTTTGCAGCTAATGTTGTTGCTTATGCAACATTAGGCACTTGCTGGTAGAAACAGAGCAACAATTGTAATCTTAACTGACAGTCTGTCAGCCCGACAGATAGTCAGTGAATCAGTCAGTCTCCTCGTTTCATTGTCATAAAATTTATACAAGAAACTCGCGGGTGTTGAAGTGTGCATAACAGCAAAGAATTTGCTCTGGTTGTTGCTGCTGCTGTTGTTGTTGTTGTTGTTGCAGCTGCAGCTGCAACTGCTCTTGCTGTTATTTAGTACAGTTTTTTTTTTTGTGCTGCAATATATGCCATTTGTTTCTGGCAGCCATTTGCTAACTTCCCATTCTTGCTTGGAGTATCTCAACTAGATTACATTGTTTGTAAAGCTCTTTCAAGTGGAAATCTCAGAGGCAATCAACAACAAACACTATTCTAAACAAGCATGCACAAAAATCACTCTGTAAGCAGACAAAGGTGAAGCTAATTGGTTTTCTAAAAGGAATGTTAAATTAAAGCATGTAGAATGAAGTGAAAATGCTGCAGAGTTCAACTTAATTTATTTGTATGATGTTTTGCAATTATTTATTTAATCTTGATCTAAAAGCAAAATCCTTCACTAATTAAAATGTGTTCTAGCAAAGCAAATTAGCTAAGGGGCATAGTAACCAATAGCTCCCCTTAAGCTAGATTGTTCAGTTTAAAATTTGTGTTATTTAATAATAATTAAAACTAAGCAAATTAATTGGCACACTTGCATTGATTAGTTTCCCGCTTAGCAACTTTCTCACCACATTTTGAATACTCCCTACTTATTTACTCAATTCCACTTTAATTGCTGTTTATGTGGCAACAGGAAAACCAGCAGCTGATTGCCGATTAACCCGCCATTTAACAAAATGGTTTCTCATTGCCCGAAGTGGTTGTGGCAGGTGTGAACACTTCCCCCCACCTGAACTTAGTGGCTATCTTCAGTTCAGCTTGGTTGAGGATACTTTCCTGACTGGATTGTTTTCCCTTTAATCAATGTTTCCATTTTTTTTTTTTATTAACTTACGCACTCTTACACAATTTCAGTTACAAAGATTATGCATGTACTCAAATGCTTGAAGCTTAATACACCACGATTAACTACTTGATAATACTTTCGTCAGATTATGTCTGAAGTCGCAGAAATGCAACATTTGATATAATTATGGAATGCTAGATGCTCTTCTGGCTTGGTGCATCACAGTGAATATATATATACATATAGATATAGAAGAGTTTATGGGTTTATATTTGCTTATACAAATTTGATTCATTGAAATCAATATTCAAGACATATTCACATCTGCAAAGCCTTTTCAGTTTTATCGGTTAGAATATTTAGATAGTCGGCGTGAAATAAATTTCCTCTTTTTATTCGCATTAATCTTTTTTTGCTGCTTTTTCTCGTTGCTTATTTTGCAGTCTCTGTTTTCTGCTCTTACTTTGAAGAGGTTTCTGCGCTTTAGTTCCCTCTAATTGGCTGTGGCTGGCTTTTAATTTAGCTCGGTTCCTTTTTTTTTATACTTTTTTGTGTGTGTGTTGTTTTCCATTAGTTTTTCTGTGAGTGGGAAATGCATTTGGAGCAGATGCGGCTTCAGCTTTAAGCGTGCCCATTGAAACGCACAGTGCGGCCTGACAAATTGCCCAACTGGCCGCGGACATAATTACACTCGAAATGTCTCCATGTATGTCAGCATGTTTGAGTGTGAGTGTGTCTGTGTGAGTGTGTGTGTGTGTGTATGTGTGTGTGCAAATGCATTGCATGAAAACTAATTGCAAAAATACAAATGCAAATGTGAAAGAAGCAGCAGCAGCAGCTGAAGCAGCACATTAAATAGACACACTACGATAGCAAAAGCAAGCATCAACTACAAGCAAATATATTTGCTATATATATATATATATATATATATGTGAGAGTGTTTGTCAGGCTCACATCAACATCAATGCACAGTGCAAACTTTCAAAATGACAAAACATATATCGTTTGATTTTGCTTGTCTTTTTATACCATTGTAAAATTGAGGGTATTTAAATTTTATCGTTAAGCTTGTAACACATTGAAGGAGACGTATCAGATTCCTTAAAGCATAATCCTGATCAGTGTAACAAGTCCGTCAGTTTAATGAAACTTGCCAGTGTATTCAACTTTTTGCTGCAGATAGTATATCTTTTGGCATTGGCTGGATCGGATCAAAATATCAGACTCCCATAAACACAAACAGTTTAATAATTGGTTTTTGTATGAAATAGTTTTTGTCTAATAAGTTAATAAGTTATATAAGTTATATAATTATCTGTCGAAATTTTAGTTCTTGTTTACCAAAATATCCAAAGGAACAATCAGTCAGCAATTCGACTTCAGTCTACAAGGAGGGTATTTAAGCTTCAGCGTGTCAAAGATAGCAATTTTGTCTGCTTTTTTTCTTTAGCTGCTGTTGTTGCAATTAAAATCCACAATGTTGCACATGTGTCTTCCCTTCTTGTATTGGTGTGTGTATTTCAAGCGTATTTGCCAGCTGCATATAAAGCAAGGAATTATGTGGTAACTGGAATGCTGCATGCGCATTAAAGGCGCGTTGACATTGACAGGAATTGCGACTAGCTACAGTCCGCATTCAGTTGCTGTTTGCATCATTTATTAAGCAGGACACATTTTTACAGGTGCACGCACCCACACATACACACACACACATACAACTCTATTTGGCATTAATGGGAAAATGTAGAAGTACTACAAGAAGCAACCGCAGAGCTGACAGACGTATACAGGAAGTGACATACTTACCACCTTTCCGGACAAACAACAGAAGCACATACCTCACACACACCCACACACAGATACACACCACCTAGTTACGCATATGTCCTGATGACATTAGTGCAGCATTGCAGACATTTTTCTACACACAGCAAAACGAAAAATGTACTGGACAAATGGGCAACAGGGCAACTGAGCTGCCTGCCTTGCCATACAAAATGTATTTATTTATTTATTTTTTTTTTTTTTGGCCAATTTTGGGGCCTGGCCTGAATGGCAAAGGACACTCAATGCGTTAACAGCAAGTGACATGCGTGCGTGTATATGCGTGTGTGTGTGTGTGTGCGTGTATGTGTGTGCCTTGGAATTTTACGTTGATTACGAGCACTTTATGTGTCCGTGTTACGTGTGGGCGTTGTGCTCAGTTCTGTTTCCGTTTGCCGTTCATTTCTGTTGCTGTGTTTGTTGCTCTGCTCTGTTTTGTGGCAATGTCTGTTTACCATCAGCTGAACATGACAATGAGACAAACTATGCGTTCATTGTTGCAATTTTTACTTTATTATTAGTGTGTGTAATCACCATAAGGACATACATACACATACACACACACGCAGACATACGTAGGCAAAAATGTGTGTTAGATAACCCCAAGACAATAGTGAAAATGGGAAAATGAGCAAATGAGTTAGACTCTTGTCATTCTGCTATTGACGTCGCAAAAATTTGATAAATGTTTGTGTATATATGTTTGTGTATGTGTGTGTGTGGGTGTGAGGCTTAAGAATGTGGGCGTGACGCTCCAGCAAAGCTAATCTAATGCACTTGAAGATAATTTATTATTATTCACAGCTGAAGCGTTATGATACCCAATATTAGTTATGACCACAAACATGTGCTAAAAGCTCTGTGCTAAACATCCCAACATTCTCCTTTTCACAAAAGGAAAGCTGAAAAGCTTTTTAAGCTTACAATGTCAACAACTTTGCTAACAGCTTTTGATCAAAAGCTTGAGAATGTTTACGTTTGTCAGCGCCATAAAAAGAGGACTTGCTATAATATGTTAAGAATGTTATGGTTCGCTAATGGCTGTTGACAGTTGTAAACGGTTAGCAGTGTTTGACTGTTAGAAGGCAGCAAGCCATAAGAGTAGAGTTTAATTTATCTTCTGTTTTTACTTTAATAGATACTCCAAAATTATAAGTTTTGAAAGTTGGTGGGTGACATACTTAACCTTAAATAAGATGTTCGGTTTATCAAAGTTTTTCGAAAGATCCAAAATAATCCATGTTTTTGCTTATTGACTTATTTGAATTGAATAACTCTTTAATATATAAAAATAAAGCCCGCGCATTTATTTTAAGTACTGATGATTGCCTGACGATGATGTTTTTGGGCAGAATGCGCTGAAGCTAGAATCAGAAAATATTCAAAAACAACAACTGATTATCTGTCGCACTCACTGCATACATATACATATCGATTCAATAAGATGAGCTTCAAATTGCGAAAAAAAAGAAGCCGAAAAGAGAAGGAGTAAAGAAAACAAGCCGTTGGCAATTGCAAATATATAAAAAGAATGGTCCAGACGGACCCTCATTCGAGCCAAGAAATGGTTAACAAAAACGTCAAAGGATTTGCCTCGCTGGCAAACGCCAGTGCAAATTGATTAAAAAGTAGCGCAGATGGCAGATAGCCTAAATACACAGAGAGAGAGAGAGAGAGAGAGAGCATCAGCGAACATCAAGCGGTACGCTTAATCCTCCCGGCACGCGCACAAAGTCAAAAGGAATACCCCATTAAATAGTGGCAAGTACCGGGGAGTACCCGAAGTCTCCCGAACTCCATCAAAGTCGCATCAATGAGCTTGGGTCTATTGGTCAATCGCAATGTGTTCAATTCGTGTATCATTTGTTGGTTGGGCAACTTGGGGCGATGTGGGGGCTTTTGTGCTCAGTTAAAGGACTCGTTTTCTGCTTCTTCGATTTTTGTTGTTGTTGCTCGCATCTTTTTAACATATTATGTTTCATGCTCTTTCCGTTTTGCAGGGCACAACATGGCCTCAGCACAGATACGACATTTCTATAACACACCAACAACAACAACAACAAACAATTCTACTTCTTCCACAACACGCCAACTCTTACAACAACAACAAAAACAACAGCAGCACACGGTCAACAGCAACAGCAGCAGCAAACGGAAGCAATTTGAAAGCGAAACGTTTCTGTGCCACACAACAACAACAGCAACACCAAGTAAATTGGAACCAACAACATGGCAGCCACTTACGCCAGCAACACTCGAGGCAGCAACATCAGCAACAGCAACAACAGCAGCAACGACAACAGCATCATCATCATCAGATGATGTACAAACGAACGGAAGTAAAAAAGGTGCGTCAAATTGGTTATGGACAATACATGAGCTCGCTGCCAGCATCAGCAGCAGCAGCAGCAGCAGCAGAAAAACCAGGATGCTACCCCATGTTGTCAAGCAAACGCAGCAGCACCAACGGCAGCAACAATTGCTGCTGCATCAGCAATATCCTGTCGCAGGCTCATATGGTGCTAATGTCAATGATGGCCACAACGCTATTGGCTGGCAACGTATTGCTGTTGCTACTGTGGCTGCCACTGTTGCTGCTCAACATTCTCAACAGGCTGTCCACGACAACAACAACAACAGCAACAGCAACAACAGCAGCAGCAGCAGCAAAAACAATAACACCACAACAGCAACTGCAACAAACAACAGCACATGTCAAGCAGCAATACAATCACGCTTATCTTCCAAAATCAAACACGACCAAGGTCAAAACTTTGCAACAACTGCAACAACAGCAGCAACAACAAAACAACGAACAGCCTATCAACACTGCACAAGCGATAACGCCGACACTTCCTTTGGCCCACGGACTGTCAAAATCTTTATGGATATGCAAAAATTTGCACGCACTGTTTTTCCGCTTGTTATTGTCTTCAATCTGCTACCTTTGTTCTATGCAGGTAAGTGCTATTTGTTTAAGTCCATTGTTAATTGTTCATTGTTTATCGGCAGCACACACTAAATTAAGTTTCACAAAATATACATTTCTATGTCAATCCATCCAACAACAACAACAACAACAACAACTTAATATTGCACTGCACAAATTGAGGCAAAAATTCGGCCATTGTTCTAGCCAAAAATATCCTTGGAATGCCAATCAAGTCAAGTGTTGTTGGGGCTTTCTGTTGATTTGCTTGCCACTGGCGCTAAGATGGCCTGATGGCTTGCTTGAGTAAATAAGCAAATCAACTGTAGCATTTAGGCTCTGCCTAAATAACTTTGACAATATTTACAAATTGGCACACTCGCAACACAAGCAAACAAGCAATAGCAGCCAGCCACTCATTATTTATATTGACATGCAAAAGCCAAAATCAAAAACAACAAAAAAAGGGCACAAATTTAATGGCCAGCAATACTGGACATCGCCCCGGGGAGATTCGCGCGCGAATCCCTTGCGCCAACTTTTTAACATCTTCTTTTGGGTGTGTTTGACTTTTTTTTTGCTTTGTGCTGTTCATTTTTCAAACAACCTAACAGAACACACAAAAAAAAAAAAAAAATTAAAAGCAATTTAGAAGGCTCTAGTCAAGTGAGCTCGACTGGGAGATATCCTCAACCCAGCTTGTTCAATATAAGTGTATTTGTTGCTTAATCTGCTTGTACAATTTATCAAAACGATGGCAGCGTTTTTGTGTCTTTTATTGCTATCGGAAATCGATTAGTATCGATATGCGTGACGTCGATGCAGTTATCGCTTAAATGAAATTTAAAAATTCGAAACTCTCGGCTGCTGATGCTAATCAAGAATGTATCTATTTTATGGGGTCCAAGGAGTTTCCTTGTGCCTGTTACATACATTTGCACAACTTTATTATACCCTTCATAACCATTTTTAATGGGCTCAGGGTATAACATTATTATAAAGTTTCGGTCACAGAGACAATGGGCGGCGACCTTTTTTTTTGGCAAAGTTTTTCGCTTTTGTTGTTGATGTTGTTGCACTTGTGCGTCAAACTTATTAATTAAATGCGAAAATAATTATTTAAGAGTGTATATGGCGCGGCAAGCAGCTGCTTGAGCAAATTCAATTTGCGATCCTCAGTCGATAGACCCAAATGGGGGCTATCAAAAGCTTGAGCGCGGTAAGCGGGGGGCAGAGTCTTCTGCTTAATGTACCAAAAAACCAAAAGTAAACAAAAGGGAAGCGAGTTCAAACGGAAATCAATGACAATTCGTTAAATGTGCCTCATTATTATCGCTAGCCGCAGCTATCCGAGAAGCGATTAAAGTAAATTCAAGTCTGTCTCGCCTGCTCATTACTTCCTTATCAGTTGAGCCAGCAGCTAAGCAGCATCCAGCTGCTGCTGGTTCTATTGTTACTGTTACTCGCTCTCTCTCTCTCTCTCTCCCTCTCTCTATCTGTCTTTATCTCTCTCTCCCTCGCTCTCTCGATGTGTCTCTCTTAAAGCTCACGTCTGCGCAGTTTGTTTGCATTACTACCTTATCACGTCCTGAGTTTTTATCAGTGACTATTGAAATTGTTTATTGGGTATTAAAGCTATTGTTTGGCGCGCACAAATCGCTGACTTTTCCTTCTTTATATCCTTCAATTGTCCTGTGCTGGCTAAATGCTAAGAAAATAAAATCTAAAATCAAACTTAAGGTGTTGCAGCTGTTGGACTCTGTTGCCAACCCGGTGGCAAATACAAGCGGCAACCTATCGAATGATCACAATGAAAATGTGGCCAGGCACTGGACACAAATGCAATAAGTGAGACTCACTCAATCGTAGCTGCAGCAATTGTAATAAAATCGCAGAATAAACACCTAGCAACTAATATAAAGCCAAAGCTGAACAGAAGCCAAAGCTAAACAGCAGCAAGAGGACACGAGCAAAAAGCATGGCCCCAAAGCGATGAGGCCGACTGAGTTGGACATTAACAAGAAACAAACACAAAAAAAAAGTCGAAATAAAAAAAAACATAAATTCAATTTGATTTAAGATTTATTGGATGTGAGTAGCGTCCATCGTCGATTGTCGAGCAGGCAGCCAGCGAGCGCTGTCAGAGTTATGGCGAAAGCTTTCCCACTCCTTGCCAGCACACACACACACTCTCTCTCTCGCTCTCTCTCTCTCTCTCTCTATTACTTTCTCTCTCTGTGTATTGGCTGGCGAATGCTTTTGTGATTTTATATATGCTGGTAGCAGTGCACGAAGCCGCTTAGTCGATGACAGTCGGCCAAGCACGCCAAGTCGCTTCAGTCAGCGCTTCAGCAGCAGCAGCAGCAGCAGCAGCAGCAGCAGCAGTAACAGCAGCAGTAGCAGTCAAAGTCGTATTGTGTGGCAAGCTTAAGCAGCAGCTTATCCGTTACTTTTTGGCTCGTGCTTGCAAGCGTCGCTTACAACTGCAAAAGATTGCTTAAAGTCGCGTGTCGCCCATTTTTTTTAACGCTTTGGTGATTTTCAGTTTTGCATAATTTACATTTATTTTTCGTACCCATGCTCTTTGTGTGCTCAATACGCGATTTTAGTTTGCAGCGCGAGTTTTTCGGTCATCATTAAACGATAAGATTGAGTAAAAGAGCTTAAGCAACAAATAAATATAATTAAAGGATTAGGTTTCACATATACAAAGCGTAAATATAAATATAAAAACAAAAATGTAGCTCAAGAACTATAAAGTTTTCTAATACTTATGTCTGTGCACAGTTGAGATACGAGTGGAGATGAATTTGGGTCTTGCTGTGGACTTAGGACTAATATATGAGGGGATAATTTAACTGAATAGTTCTCCCTCGTTTCTCGAACAATTTTATTGGATTTGTGTCCGAAATCACAATCAATAAATGAATACTACATACATCTTAGGTATACAATATTAGTTGGTTCACTCAACAGGCAAACCAATTGCGACAGATTTCGCCATTGTTGCCAGTGATTTCGATGAAATCCTCCTCACAATATCGATGCATACAAGCGAGAGCAAAGTAGTTTGGATTGCAATTGTTAAGGGACTCTATGGATTGCCAATGCAGGCGAACAGAAGAACTATCTCATTATGAAATGCAAAAATGTTATATCCCTGGGGAGCAATTGAGTAGCAAATCTAATTGGTCTTCTCTGTTGGCTACCGCTGTATACTAAATGACTTGCCTGTCACTGACAGGCGACTGGCAACAATATTGATAACGCTTCTCATTAAATAAACGCTAAGGTCAAATAACTAATTAAAATGCTTGGGCAAACAAAAAAAATATAAAAATAAACAGAAAAAAAGAACACAAAGTGAGTCAAGAAAGGTGTCGACTGGAGTGAGGAGGAGCCCATTCCACTCCATGCTCTTTTGGCCTGGCTAGCAACAATTTGCCAATCGACGCAAGATTGAAACGTGCCAACTGTGCAAATAGTCAATCAATGGCCAATCGCAACCTGTTTTGTACTCGTATTTGCTTGTGTTTGTATTGCTGGCCAGGTGATAAGCAAACAGTAGATTGAAGTGATAACCACAACCCTTTTTCCATGTGTACGAACTCAGGTCCGTTCATTCCGTTGCCTCCTTTCGCCCTGCGGCTAATGGAGAGATAAAAGTTGCTACGTGTGGTAAATGCTAAAAAAAGCAGAAGTCAGTCTGACGACTATAAATGTGGCCCGAGTGTAAGGCCCGTCTGTCCTTGGGTTTTTACGCATAAATTATTTATTCATTTGCTGTCGCTCGGTTTTTGTGTGCATCATTAAAATCACGATTGGTCGGGGCGCTGTGCCAGAATCCAGAATCCAGACTCCAGAATCCAGACTCCAGAATCCAGACTCCAGAATCCAGACTCCAGAATCCAGGCACAACCGCAGTTGACGCACTATATAGGTATTTTATAATGAGCTGTACTCGCTTATCTCGAGTATAGACCCGTGAGAACCTTTCACCAGCCACGCCCTCTGCTCATATGACTGAACGTTTGCCGTAACTTTTTTTTTTTTTTGTGTGCCGCACGAAATGCGAAGGAAACTGCTAAGCATTGAGAGTTGGGCGTTGAGGGTTATGCTGTGGGTGTGGCTTTGGTAAGTTCCGTTTTGTTTTTTGATTATTTCCGGGACGCTGCGCTTTTTCATTTCTATTTAGCGGCAAAGGAAAGAAATTATTATAATTTTGCTCATTGGCATTGGTTGCACGTTGCGTATGCGCAACGTTTTCAAAAGCCATAAGCCGAAATTAATTAGCATTTGCAGCACATGAGCTAAAAAGCGCTTTAGTTATTTATTTTTATACTTTTGCTACTGCTTGCCATTCTCCCCTTCCTCAAGCTGTGCGAGTTTCCGACCAGTTTTCCTAGTTGCAACATGCGTTGCTGTCATATGATATGAAATATATATAAATATAGAAACATGTTGCAACTTTGTAATGCTATCAACTGTGATGCCTGCCAAGCACAAAGTTTGCAGCCAACCAACTTTAGCAGCGGACAGCTTGCCCCTGGCAATGACAGTGCCAGTTTTCAGCGATGGGCGTGACCACGCCCATCACTTAAATGGGTTTGTCAACAGGCCTAATGAGTTTGTTGATTAAAACGTAATAATTGCCCAATTATCAACCACTCTTGCCTTTTGAAGTTCAACGAAAATACAAAGTATCTACAAGCTAACAGCTTAGCCTCCTCATCAGAATCTTGACACTTTATTAATTGTGAGCAGCATCAGAGTAACGGCCGTAGTTGTCCAATGGCAAATACATTAAGTATACGCCTAGTCAACTATAAGGCAGATACAAACATTGCTTTCTATTTACATAATTTATTTGTTTCTCATAGTATTTATCAGCTATGCTGTTTATTATCATTTCATATATAATATTATGACTGAAACAAATGAATATGGCAGATGGAAGATGACGTAAATGTTACATTTGTAATGTTCTCAGTGTGCTAAATATTGATCAATTTCTATGTACATCTATTTATCAAAATTAAATATTTATAACTTGCGTATTATTGGCTTTTTGTCATTAGCTTTTTCAAAGGCACAAGTCAAAATTGAAATAAAATGAGCTCAGTATATGTTTTCTTATTTATAACTGAATGCCAATTCGATTCCATTATTCAGGCAATCCAATCAATTAGCCCTCAAGATGCTCAAGTCATTTTCACTCAACTGCAGCCGGACAATCAATTTCAATGGTCAATCGAGGCAAACTGACTAAACTTGACAGCATTACAAGGCGAAACTTGTACGATGTTGTAACAAACAAAGAAACTTTTCTGCATTATGAATGTATTGCTAGCAACTGCGCAAAGCGATTGGTCCTGGTGGTTGGGGCACAACGTATCCCAATCGTCCAACGCATCAACATTTCTGCCGATTCCAATAGAAACTCGTTAATGTGCGTAGCTGGAAAAGTTTCTGTGCCCATTAAGTATTAATCGGTCAGAATTATGATAATGGAGCTACGTGCAGCGCTCGATTGGATGAGCTCGAATAATAATACGAAATTATTTTTAAAATTCATTAAAAAGAAAATCTGATTTTATAAATGTTGTAATGAGTCAATTTTTCAATAAGATAAAATTCGAGAGATATACTGAAAAATCCCAAAAAATGAATATACATTGAACTTTTGCTTATTTGAATTGGTAATATTGGTGCATGTTTAATTTGCCACACACGTTGCATTAAAGTTTCATTAAAAATATTAAATCAGGCATCAGCAATGGGAAGTATTTTTGCTACTGTTCCGTTTTCACTAACTTGTGTAGATTTCGAGGCATTCGAGATAATTGAAATAGCTCGACTAGAAGATACCTTGAACCGATCTGTTAATTACATATGAGTATTGCTGATAGTAGTTTATTCAATATGAAAATACTTTTAGGCTATTAGCGTCTCTTAGCCGTTCTTAATTAAATTTTTAGACCTTATCAATAATATGTTAGGTTGTATTATATATAAATTTGAAGGCTGTATCTTTACAATTGTATTAATTGGAAAGTTATCGCCGAAATATACGAAAACTTATATTACAAATCGCAAATTTCTATATATACTATATATATTTTTTTATTTCCCTTTTCGAATGGGTCCATAAATAAATAAGTAACAATTATAAATGCTAAACGACTCAGTTCATCTCAAAGGAAAATTGCTTTCCTAAATCCCGCACATGTTGAAACCGTCAGCAACTTATTTCCTATGATAGATAAAAATGCAATACTGACGAAGGTTTGGGACACCAATTCATAAAGAGTGGATTGGATAATGTTAACATACTTGAAACGTGTTGATAACCAAGCGACCAATTCAAGTATATGTATATAAACTGTACTAAGACCCACGCAAATGGGAATGTCATTTAGCCAAGAATTTCATCAATCTTCGTTGGGAGGCACGTTGGTTCACAAAGCGGCCAGGACGAGGCCAGCGTCCTTTTGACTACCCTCGTCTGCCATATTACGTTATCTTTTGTGGCACAAAAAATGCCTTTGTGTCGCATTTGCGTAATCTTTAAAGCATCCGCATACGGCAAAAGTGAAAGCGAAGCATGCAACAGGACAGCACAGTGATGCCTAGCTAACAGCGGCGGGGGAAGGAAAGAGGGGGGCGGGGGTGGAGAGGGTGGTCCAGTGCTTTGGGACGCGACACAAGGGCAAGCGCGGCCTCTGTGTCGAGGTTAAGTTACTTACAGCATCAGCCATGAGACACATAAATCTCTCTTCCTCACTCGCTCTCTGTTTGCAACATTGAGCGGCAGACGCGGCAGCGCCTGAAAACTAAGACAAAAGATATTTTTGCAGCAAAAATCGGGCTTAAGTGTGGTTCAGTGACGGAAATACTTATAGCATGCACACAGCCACACCTGGCAGCGTTTTCTATGTGCTTAAAAAATCAGAAATGTTCGCTGACTGCTTGGCTGCTGGCAGTTGCCGCAGCTCTGACTAAACAAGTGCAATTATTTTAATGCACTTTTGACTTTTGACATTGCAAGAAAACAGCTGCTGCAAAGAACAACAACAACAACTACAACAACTACTACAACAACAATCTTAAAGCACTTTTGAAGCATTTATGCTGCCATTGTTTGTCTACACAGCAACTAAGCCGCCCATGGGGGCCAACACTTGCCTCAAGGTCAGGACTGCAGTTGAACTTGGCCCCAAAGCTGTGCACCTCCCCCCTCCATCCCTCGCCTCCTTTGAAATGCCTACGCAAACTAAACGCCAAACAATTTACTACAATTCGGTTAGCAGTAGCTTTTTGCTCGCTTTAAAATCGTTTTTGATTTTTTGTTATTCACAAATTGACTTCATGAAGCAGCTTAAATTTTTGACAATTAGTCATCTAGTAGTTAGCAATAGTTTTTCACTCAACGACGCGAGCTTTCCATTTTCGCTTATCTTTGTTTTATTTTATTCACAAATTGAATTCATGTAAAAGCTTAAATTTTGACAACGTCACCAGCAGTGGATGATGTCGATGGCGACGTATTTCGACAACCCAATCGGGCAACTTTCATCTCTTGCTGTAACCTCTGACAGTGACTGGAAGGCAGCAGCTTCGTTGGCGGCGTCATGGTCCACACATTCAGCCCGCAAAAGCAAATTTCTGTAAATGTGCGCATAAAAACTAAACGAAATTGCAAAATGTATTTTATTTCACAAGAGAATACGATAAATACGTGGTGCGTATTGCCATTTCGCTTGGCTGATGTGCTGTCATCTTGGGCCTGTCCTGTGGCGCGTTCCTTTCAAAGCCAGCTGCCACTCGTATTGTTGTTGTTTTTTGGGTTTTTGTTTTTGGTTTGTTTTTTTTTTCTTTGTTTTTATTGTTGGGGTCGCGCTAATTTAATTAAGATCCAGCATAGACAAAACGGCTGGCGATATGTGTCAGCGAAATGTGCTGTTAGTCTGTGGAGTGTCTCCCCTCGTCTGCCCTTAGACCTTTTATTCAGTAGCTGGCTGGCAGTAAAAAGTCAGCCAGCTAACTTTGCCTTTATTCCCTGGTCACATGTGTGTCAGCACAATGCGAAAGTATGAATACTTTTCAGGCTTATTATCGTTTGCCATAAAACACACACAATGCGAGCCGCGGCCTACTATACATTGCGTATACGCACTGCTTGCCTTGTATTTTATATCTCTATTCATGTATATATCAGCTTGTCGTGTACCTGTGTAAGTAGGCAAGTAAGCTGATAAATTGACTTATTACAATATAATCCACAGAGGGAAAACGCTTTGATCATCAGCAAACGTTAACTGGCTTTGTGATATCATTGAGTTTATGATGTTGTTCTGGGGCACAGCTAACGGCGAGACAAAGCAGCATAAATAATGCACCACCTACATTTATCACACAGCGAGGGGCATTTAATTGGATGGGGGAGGGTTGAGCGGCGGTAAATGCTGCCATTTCATTAATATTAATTGACCAATTCAAAGGGACAGCGAAAAGGGACCCGGACAGCAAAAACAAAAGCCAACCAGTTGAAACTATGCTTCGCTTTTCACTTCCGCGCAAAACAAGAACATAAAAAATAACACACACACAGACACACAAAATAAAGCGGCGGACAAAAAACAAAATTCTGGGCATGGCATGTGAAAAGCAACAAAAACAAAAAAAAAAAAAACAACATCAAAAACACATAAAGCAACGCCAGCGCAGACTGAATAAAATACAGCAAAAATATTTAAATAAGTTTGCGGCCGGCGCCTTGCCAAATCGCATATCCTGTCAGTTGCCAGTGATGAGCTTGGATAAATTACGTACAGCGACCCGGCCTAATTATTATGTTGCCCGGCGCAGAGAACGCTAACTTTAATATAAATATTATTGGATGATTTAGGGAGCTCCAGACTAAAAACATGTGTTTGCCTTCTGCATTCCGTTTTCTGTATAAATATCGCTGAATTGAAACTGAAAATGTTAAATGTGTAGGTTGAAATGTCTGCTAAGGGATTTGCCAGCCTTTCTGTGCAAACATTCAATACACAATTTCTTTGTACGTTTTTTGTATTTATTTATTTATTTTTTTTTTGACTGGCAGCTCGCAGCTGCGTCCATTCGATGGTGTTGGGCTGCATTAGTTTCTACGCTCAATGCTGCCCACCTTCCGCCTGGCTGGCAGGAGGTGTTCGCTGTGAAAAACTAAACTAAATTGTGTTTTTCTTGCTATATTTATTTTTTATTATTGCATTTTTTCTTTTCTCATTGGGCAAATGTCAGTGAAATCAATTCATTTGTGTCAAACATTCTATACAGGCATATCCTATTACCAGGATCGGCATGAGGTGTTCTCAGTAATTGACATGTGCAGCCATTAAATATTGATAACATTTTGCTGCTGAATCAATAACTCTATTATTGTTCATTGCAATTTTCACCACACAACAAGTTTTCAGATTCCAAGAATATCTGCTCTTTATTATGAAATGTGCTATGCAATCTATAATCTAACGTTAACTTCACGAAACACTTTTTCACACTTTTGCTAGCCGGAAATAGAATTTCCGGCAGTTTTTGCTTCTTCACTCGACTGGAAATGTTGTGTGTGTCAATTATTGCAAAGCTCGCTTGCCGAACTTGACATTATAATAAATTGAAGCAACCCGTTATTATTGGCTCAGCCGCTAGCAGACACGTTAATAGACACTTCAAATTGCAGTCAGCTGTCGGGGAATGCAACAGCAGATATGTATTATCTCAAGGATATAAAACACACGCAGACAGCAGTATCGACAAATACATTCATCAAATGTCAAAAGCAAACACACACACACTCATTGGGTGCGTCATTGTTCTCGCCATTATAGGTCGTGATTTTTGTCAAATTTCCACTTGTGCGCTTCCTGATGAAGTGCCAGAGTCACACACAAATCCACACACACACAAATCCACACACACACACATACACACACAGATTGTGCAATTTGTTTCTGCACAAAAGCAAGAAGCGGCATATGACAAGTTTTTGGGGGCTGTCCACAAGCTGTCACACGGCGCAATGGGGCCGGTTGATGGTTGGGGAGTTGTTGCAAGAATGTAGCCAGAACCATCCGGCTAGCGTTTTACGCATTGCCGAGCGACTGATAGGCAGTTCTCGGGATTTATGGTTGGCAATTTGTTTGTGTGCCGCCCACAGCAATATAAGGGCATCTATCAATGACAACGGATGGGTCGTGGGAAGTTATGACAAGCAATTGGGCAATGGGTATACATTACAGTTAGTCCCCGCGGATGATTTCAACTGTGCACAGACATAACCGGGCCAAAAGCAGCCCAAAAAACCCCAGACACAAAAAAAAAAACGAAAAAAAAGAGGTAGCACAGAGAAGAATACAAAATCTCTGTATCCCAAACAGCAACTGGACGCAAGTCGCTAAAAGCTTGAACACATCCACGTCCGCATCCACATCCGCAGCGAGCGCTTGTTGAGTAAGAGGAAAAGACGTACGCATATTAAACTTCAGTATGAGCAACAGTGCCATGGTCGCTGTGGCCATCTGCTGCATCTTGGTGCTGCTGGCGGTGTTCATTGTGATCATCATTGTGGTTGGCCAGCAGTTTGAGGAGCCCAAATGAGATATGCTCCAGCTGGGACCTGGCAACTTCCCAGATGGATAACAGAGGATATCAAATTGTTAATTGCGCCCAACACACAGTTCGCGGGCCAATAAGCAGTGCCAACCACAACCACAACCACAACAACAACAACAAACAGCATGCCGCCGTTTACGATCGATGCCAACATAATCATAATCACACAATCAGCGTAGAATCTCCAATCCACACAGAATCCCATATGCGACGAGTGAAGGAGAAAGGATAAGGAGAACTGTCGGAGCAAGCAAGAGGAAAAGAGCGATAAAGGGCGATATCAAATAGAGAGCGAAACGAGAGAGAGCGAGAGAGAGAGAGAGAGAGCGAGAGAGAGAGAGAGCGCATCCCATCGTCAGTACCCATTGGCTGTGATGTGAAATTATTAGGATATGTGAACAAAATTAACAAAATAAATTTTGATCATTCCTCACGCCGAAGACATTCTATAAGTAGTAGTTATCCTTGTGTGTTAAGTGTTGTTATGAATTAAACTGCATATATTCATGTATACATGATATATATATCTATATATATATATATATATACATATATAGCATTTGCTAATGTGTAACCCAACCGTCGTAAAATCGCGATTTTATACAAGTGTTGTTAACAAGTTTTTATTGATGTTTTATTGATGTTGCATACAACTTATACACACACAGACACACACACACACGCACACAAGCAAAATAATCAATTAAGCGATATGTAAATGTACATTAACTTTAACGTCTCAATTGACAACCAAGCCAAAGTCCAAGCACGCAACATGTGGCCAGGAGCAGCGCTGATGAAAACCCATTGAGTTTCTCACTCCCCACAAATAGAGGATGAGCCAAGAGCAAATACAGCAAACGAAGGACAATAGCAAGAACTCAAGAAGTCAGCATAACTTGAAATCAAATTGGTACTGATGAATACTGATCAACTGCAACTGCACTTGTTAATCGCAGCAAAGTTATATAGAATATGAATGGGGTTCAGAAATCAAGCTGTTGGCATAGTTCTAGTAAATGATATGCATTTTATATATCAAATTACTTTTGGATAAGTTTTATGTGTGTGTATTAATTCAAGTATACATAGACATATATATATATGTATATATATATATATATATAAAGTCAATACCACTTAAATACCAAATACATATGGGTAAATGTACGTAATTAGTTAACTTTCAATGTATACTAAAGCGTTATGTATGTATGTGTCTGTTCACAAAAGAGAAACCTATATATACTCCCAAGAAATGTTAATAACCGAGTTGACTCGAAATTCAATTGAAAAATATCTAAATAAATAAATGTTTAAAATCAAATTTAAAAAGAAAACTTAATGCAATAAATTTCAAAGTATATACAATTTATGCAAAACGCGCGCGAGCTGTAAACAAAAAATAATAATAATAACACCAGCAATAAAATAAAGCCAATTCAATGCGTACAACTTTCTATTATTAATCGCTGCAGTAAAAAAAAAAATCAACAACTTTTGTATGGGCAACAGAACAAAGCGAAACAAAGTGCATGAAAAGGTAAGCACCACTGAAAGCCGTAAAACCGCAATAAAGTGAAATTAATAAATTAACTTAGTTAGGGGATTAAATGGAGCACTCTTAATACTGTAAAAGCAAGTGCCACTTTTGTTTGTGACAGTCTGTTGCCATTGAAATTACTGTCAGACAAGTGTTGCCATTGGCAGCCGACTGATGTGAAAACGCTTCCCAACCAATTCCCAATCAAAATCAAACTCAATATCAACACTCAAATATATCGTTTGGCATGCAATTATCAACCAGCAGGCGCTTGGTTTGACTCCTTTTGCACGGGGGCCCGGGTGGTGACAATTCAGCAGGTGCCAGTTGCGAATTGTGATGCAAACACATATGCAAATTTGCCAGCTCTCTGTGCTGTTGCCACGACATTGCAAATTGCCAATAAGAACGCTCTAGCTGAGAAGGAGGTGGAAAAAGGCAACCTGAAAGGCAACCTGAAAGGCAACCTGCACATGGGCAATAAACTTTTATTAGTGCAGCTCCTGTCACTGATGCTTGCCAGTCAATTGATAAAAAATTTAAACATTGCTGTCGCATTAAAGTGCAGTTTGCCTTTGGGGATAAGTAGGGGAAAATTAAAATAGAAAACCGACACTAGAATGCAACTGGAATCATGGAATGAATGGAAGTCAAGCTAAAAGCCAACAAATATACTTCACAATGCATTCAACTTGACTTCGTCTTAAAATAATTGTTATTGGGTGCAAATTAAAATCGTATTACTACGCAAAGATTTTAGCTACAAGTTCTCAACTCACGTAATCCGAACTGGATGTGAAGTACATACTTAGGTGTGTTTAATAACACATTCCTAAACAACATTCTTTGCACTTATCACTAAGCTTAAGTTCTCTCTATTGGAAAATTTCTCCTATAGCTATTTGCTCAAGTCTTATGAGCCAACGACTTTGTCTCCCTTGCTCAATGCGAAAAATTAAGCTGAAATTAAAATTACTCACTTGAGTGATTGATTTTCGCAGCACTTGCCAATTTTTATCTTTATTCTTTTTTCAGGCCTTTTTTTTTTTGATACCCTAACAATTTTGTTCATGAAATCTTTGCATTATTGACTCTATATGGATAATATTTGATGATGTGTGTGTCTTCTGTTTGTGTCATATATTACTATATTCACAAATAAATCTATCTGAAACAGAGTTCATATTCTATTCAACTCTCAGAAATAGCTTAAACTAAAATTCGCAAATATGAATCAATATCAATCAACTATCTGTAATATTAATATTAAATCGTAAAGAGAGTTGGATTGAAAAAGAAAAGGATGAAAGGATGTTGTTCTAGATCAGATTAGTATAACGTCCAGTGCCAGCAAGTGTATAAAATCTTTGACTACAATGTTTTTTTTACTTTTTGTTGTATATTCACATGGACCTGAAGTCAATTGAGTTGAGTTGTTGTGTGTATCGTGTCGACTGGTCTTGAATCGGTTGTGTCCGTTATATTTCCGTCTGAAAGCATCAAGTAATCATAAAGTGATGGAAATTCAATTTACACAATATTAAATATGGCAAGTGGGCAAAGTTGAGAACTCACAACACGCAGAAGACAGGCCGAGTAGGGATTTCTGCCTCATGCTGCAAGACTGTGGCTGCTGGGGCGGCAATTTGGTACTTTTTGTGCTCGAAATTGAGTCTCTGCTCTGTGTGCGTGTGTGTGTGGTTTATTATTATGCAGATTAGGCCAAGTCGTTTGGTTTACCTTTACCTTTGGCTTGACAGACTCCACAACGGGCGTGGCATTGAATCCGTGTGTGTGTGTGTGTGTGTGTGTGTGTGAGAATGAGTGCTCATAAAAATCTACACACACTTTACACACTCCCCTAACAAACAAGCATGCAGTATGTAAATTGCGTTTCATTTTGAGTTTAGCTACCTTTTTCCTCCTGAAAGTGTTCACATATATATATATATATATATATATATATATATATACAACGCACAGTAACTGTCGCATATGCATATATATTTACACACATATTTATGGACAGTCGATTTCTGTTTTCTATTTCTTTTTTTTTTTTTTGCTAAAATTCGACCTCTCAATAAATGTCACGTTTTATGATTGCACGTTCGCATATCAATATTTGTTGTATAGTTTACTCTTAACGCTTTCAACATGGCCAATATAACGGCCGTGTTCTAAGTCCGTATTATGCAAATGCTGGGATTTTCGGCGCGTTGTTCGCATTACCAAATATCTAATCGCGCATTCCAAACCAACTGTAATTAGCTATTAACAGTTTGCAATGAAAAAGTGACAGGCCGACACAAATACAGCCACAGTAACTCGACACAGTTCGACCGAGTTGTGTGGGTTGTGTGTGCAAAAAGCAATTACCCAAAGGAAATTGTGCAATTTGTGAGCAAAAATTGAAAACAAACTAGAAACAAAGTCAGCTAAAGAGTCAAATTAGCAACTCTCAACCGAGTTTCCAAGATTTTCACTCTCCCTCCCTCTCTTTCTCTCTCTCTTCTTCTGTGATCTAAAATTGTTGACCATAATTGTGAATTGGCTCATTTGCATGCGAAAATTGTTGATTTGCATGCTGAGATAGCGTCAGGCATTGCAGTCAGCGATGTGTAAACTGCAGATAGAAGACACCAAAGAAAATGAGGGCCAACTATAGACAGATAGCCTGAGTCTAATGGACTGAAATTTAATGCAGTTTTGTGTAATGTGACAAAGTCAAATCGCTGCACAGCATTTATCGCATTTGGCATAATGGATATAAATAAAAATGCTGGACATTAGGCATTATGACCAATGTCAATGGCCAATGGCCAATGGCCAAAGTGACTGTGCGAATTTTGAAAATGCCGCTGAGTCAACTGTCAATTAATCAATTCGCTTGCCTGGCAAATGTTGCCGTCTACGCCATCAATTTAATGTGTACACGTTAAGGCACTGCCCCAGCTAGCCGGAGTAGGATGAGCAGAAGGACGGGAAGGACGAGGAGTTAGCGGTGCCGACGCGTCGGCCAATAAGTGTTGGCCCAACCTGGAGTGTACAGCAGCTGGGTGTAACAAATGTTTGGGTTTTCAAAACGAAACTGCTTTATGCCGCGTAAATAATACACAGATTTGTGTTATGCTTGGACACGCAGCGAAGCGAACAGAGGCGAACATATTTTATTTTTGACATTTGTCTGTTTTGTTTACCTTGTGGCATGCCTTGTGCATTTTAATGTCTCGGCCGTGCCGCATATTGTGGCGCGAATTTATAGGCATTTATTGAGCATAAGTGTTGGCAATTCAGCTGAAACAGCTGCGTGCCATTCATTATGAAAGCCAATTTTAAAATGGCCGCCATCATCCAGATAGCATTTTAATAAGCACGCCCACCACCACCCCGATTATCTAAGCCAACTTGGCGCTGATGTCACGCACAAAGATGTTGCTAAAGATGAAGATGTTTGTTGTGTGTTTTGTGTGTGTTGAAATGAAGATTTATAAACCTCTCAGCGCTGTTTTTGGGGCTCCTCAACTCAACTTAGACGGTGCGGTTCTTAAGTGTACGTTCAGCAAACCCATAAATCTTGTGCAGAATCTTGTTTAGTTTATTGAATTATCAGCGGGCATATGTGTAAGTATTTATGTGCCAGTATGCGTATGCGTGATTATATATATATATATGCGTGTGTGTGTGTGTGTGTGTTTGACATTGTCTGGCATAAAACTAAAAGAAATATCAAACACGTGCGCCAGCACTTATGTAAATAAGTTTCAACCTCTCAGCTGAAGAGCGACACAAAGATTTGCCCATATTTATAGTTTTATTTGTCTTGCGTAGTATTCTTAGCTTTGTCTTATCTACATCTCTCGCATTTCTTCAATTACCTTCTCCCCTGACTACGAGTGTGACTCTGGCTCTGACTCGTACTCAGTTGTCTCCGTTGTGCGGCAGTTTCGCTTAATTTTCATGACTCA